GGGGGGGGGGGGGGGGGTGGAAAATAACATTCATACCAGTGGCGCTGAGTGTGTAGCGTCGAGGGTCAGGCCGAAAGGCTTGACACTCAGGTATTCTTTGATGAGCTTGCCGCGGACGATGACGCGCTCGCCGGTGACGGGGTCAAAGGAGAGATCGAGGGACTTTGAGTACGTGGATGTCATGAAGACGGGATGGAGCAGCTGCGCAACGAACCTACGGGGCAGTGTGAACAAAGAAAGCTCTCTATACGTAGGGAGGAAAGCTGGCACTGTCATCTTGGCTTTGACTTACATGCCATCTTTGGTGAGAAGTTGGGGGAGGTGTTTGGCGAGGGGCTCGAGGGTAGCGACGTCGTGCATGGACATGTTCATGAGAACTACGTCGAACCCGCCGTTCTTGTCGAATGAGGTGTGTTAGTATCTCATCAAGACTCCCATTTATGCATTAAAAAACGCCAGTAAATCCACGGGAAAAGAACCCCTGCATTTTCTCTTTTTCGGGGGGCAGCACTCGCGTTGCTCATGCTGCAGCTCAACATAAGAACACGGACGAGATCAAAGTGAAATCATTCTTACCGCAGCAGCCCGCTCAACAAACGGTGCAAAGTCGGCATCATCCGTGACGTCCAGCTTCTCGAACCCGATCCGCCCGCCGGCGTCGCCGCGCGCGCCCTCCAGCATGCCCTCGCTGCCGTCCGTGGCCGTTACCTGGGCCCCGGCTGCCGCCAGCCGGCGGGCGCCGATGCCGTTGCCCGTGGAGAGCTCGAGCGCGCGGCACGACGGGACGGTCGCGAGGCGGTCGCCGAGGAGCCGGCCGAGGCAGGGCTCCTGCAGGGCCTTCCAGTACAGGTTGCCGTCGAGGCCGACGCTGGCGTCCCAGGCGGCGGCGTGGGCGTCCCAGCTCTGCAGGGCGGCGCGGGCGAGGCTCGGGTCAGACATGGCAAGGGGTGGTTCTGGATGTTTCGTTTCTCTTTGCTGGTTTTCTCCCTTTTAGATGAGGGCTCTACGGTGAGTGCCTGCTTCGCGAGGTCCCGTGAGCACTTGCGCGCGAATGATGGTTTGGCTAGGGAGAAGGAGACTATGGAAAACACAAGTCGGGCTCGGTCAACATATACGGTTGTCCAAAGGAAGTTGCGTGAATTCAGCCCCGATGAGCCTGTCACGACGCTCTGAGTCACCGGCAAAGGACCCCCGCCCAGAGCCTGCCAATGGACAGTAGGTTTTACGACATTGGATGCTATTTATTTTTTAGAAATTAGAGCAAAAAAGGAGGAGAAATTCGCCGTTTCGTTTTTTTTTTAATTGTATTTCGTATTCAGTCTGTCTGTAAATCAATCTCCGTCATCCCTGCCTGCTTACATCCGGCGGTGCGGTGGCCCGGACTTGTTCTTGGACGGAGGAGAGTCGACATTGACAGTTTGGTAGGAACCGTCGTGAGGCAGGAAACGGTTGTTATGTAATAAGCAGAATGATAAAAAAAAACAGAGCGATCAACTCGGAAAAATCTTGTTTCTCGCTCACCTTATTTCATCCGGTTTCAAGTATGGCGTCCGGGCTGTCATAGCGCTGGGATTTCCAGCTTTTAGGTGGTTTAGTCAGGTCCGGCCACCATGTTGCGACCGACTCCGACCCCGATCAGCCCTACGCGGATGGAGATTACTGTCCGGCTCAATGGTCAACGTACAGGTTTTAATTGAGATGCAGTGAGATCTACCCAGGATAGGAAAGCGAGTCCGCAGACAACCACTGCTTTGACGCAGTTATACAGCACTAGTCAGCAACGCAGGAGAAGCGCCACTAGATAACATTCGGGCAGAGCCTCTACCATTCTGTAGTCAAAAATATGGTTTAAAGGTAGACAGTGTTGCTTGGACCTGTTATCAGATAAAAATGGAAAAGTAAGAGAATTCCTCCGAAACGGTGGATGATCAGCTAATCTCGACCAGGAGCACGAGCGATGAAGACGTCGCACCCGGGTCAAAGCCCTTGGATGCACGGCCTCGAGCAACAGCAACGCGCCAATTCCTCCAACTCCTCCTCGAGGAGGAATTCTCGAAAAGGATGCATCAACAGAAGAGGATCTGTTCAAGATGGCCTCAATGCAGCCCGCCAGTCCTTTTGCGATTTTCGCCATCTTCACTGGCCTGGCTTTCATGGTTATCTGTATTGCTCTGGTGCGTGACAATGCCTTCTCAGAGCAATGTAAAATCGGAATCCTCTAACTACGCCACAGGACCGCTCCATCGTCGCGACCGCCATCCCGAAAATCACGTCCGAATTCCACTCCCTCCCCGACGTCGGCTGGTACGGCTCGGCGTACCTCATGACCACCTGCTGCCTGCAGCTCTTCTTCGGCAAGCTCTACGCCGAGTTCCAGGTCAAATGGGTCTTCCTGTCGGCGCTCGTCATCTTCGAGGTCGGCTCCGTGATTTGCGCGGCGGCGCCCAGCTCGGTCGTGCTGATTGTCGGCCGCGCCATTGCCGGCGCTGGGTGCGCGGGCCTCATGTCCGGCGCGTTCATTGTAGGCTTCTTGTCCATGGATGCCGGGTCTCTCTGCTGAAATTTGGGTGCTGACATCTGCCGTTAGTTGTTTCGTTTCTTCATCCCCGTGAATGATCTTCCCAAGTACACCGGTGCGTTGGGTGGCATGTCGGGCATTGCGCAGGTCATCGCCCCAACTCTAGGAGGTAAGCTTTCACACCTCAAGTCACTAGAAATGTGAATACTGATCGATTGCGCAGGCGTCTTTACAGACAAGTTATCTTGGAGTATGTAACCGCAACCGAGAACACCAAGCCTTTACCTCGCTAACTCACTCCCAGGATGGTGCTTCTGGATCAACCTCCCCATCGGCGGCATCACCTTCCTCGTCATCCTCCTCCTCGTCCACGTCCCGCCCGAGACCAAGGTCATCGCCGGCAGCCACAGCCTCCGCGACTTCATCTCCCGCTTCGACCTCGTTGGCACGCTCCTCTTCATCCCCACCATCGTCTGCCTGCTGCTGGCACTACAATGGGGGGGCGTCCGGTACGACTGGGGCGAGTGGCGCATCGTGCTGCTGCTTGCCCTCTTCGAGGTGCTGCTCTTCGCCTGGGCGGTGTCGCAGTACCTGCAGGGCGACCGCGCGACGGTGCCACTGTCGATGATCAAGCAGCGCTCGCTGGCGGGCGGCGCGTTCTTCGTGTTTTGCTTCTTCGCGGCCTTCTTCGTCATCACGTACTACGTGCCGATCTGGTTCCAGGCAGTGCGCGGCGCGTCGGCGTACGCGTCGGGGATCAACATGCTGGCGGCGAGTGCTGCCATGTCGGTGGCGGTGATTGGCTCCGGGTTTATCGTAGGTTGATACTGCTACTTCTTTTTGCTGATGGGAGACTAACTGGAGTCCTTTGCTGCGCAGGTTACCAGAGTCGGATATTATGTGCCAAACATGATTGTTTCCGTGATTGTGACGTCCATTGGCTGCGGTTTGGTGTACACGTTTGATCGCCATACAAGCACCACTACATGGTAAGAATTTCTGCAGAACATGTCAGAAGCTTGCACAAGCTAACGCCTTGGACAGGGCGGCAGCATTGGTTGTCACCGGTCTGGGAATCGGCCTCGGCATCCAACAGCCCCTCATCGCGGTGCAGACCATCTTCCAGGACGCCGAGCTCGCCGTCGCCACGAGTATCGTCATCTTCCTGCAGAGCCTGGCCGGCACCGTTTTCATATCGGTGGCCCAAAATGTCTTTCAGGGCAAGGTGCAGGACGTCATCCGGCAAAGCCTCCCCGACGTCGACCCGGCCGACGTCCTTGGTGTCGGTGCGTCCGATCTTGGAGTGGCCATGGGCAGAAAGTATCCCGATAAGCTGGGCGCCATCCTGGACTCGTACAATGATGGCCTTCGCTCCGTGTTTCTCATCAGCGTCGTGTTGGCGTGCGTGAGCATCGTGTCTCTTCCGTTGATGGAATGGCGGAGCGTCAAGAGCACTGAGAAGCCGGCGCAGGATGGCGAGGTGCCGGATGTTGAATTGAAAAGACGGCGTAGAGATTCTATGGAAGACAGGTTATTGGAAAGGACCCCTACAAACCGGGCTCCTATAAATCGGACTCCTATAAATCGGTTCAGTGTATATTCGATCTACTAGTTTTTCTTCCCTCAGAAGAGATGATGCAAGCTCGTTGGCGCGGACTCTCACAGCAGAGCTACACCCAACTCTTCTTAGTCAGCTCTTCCGCCTACCTGGAACTCACATCTTGCAACCACTTCAACAAGACAATAATTATCAAAATGAATCAAAATAATATCACAGAATCAAGACGAGAATGCATACTTCTTGAGCGGCTTCCTACTGAAGTCAGTTCACATCCTCTACTCCCGCCTCGACTCAATCACTCTCATAACTAACCAAGGTTAGATCCTGGTCGGCATTCTATCTCATCTGCCTGTCAAGGAGTTACTCAAAACGAGCTTACTCTGCCGCCAACTATACTCCCTGGCAGTACACACCTTGCAGCAGCGCCTACTCGCCGTCTCCTCCATCCCGGGACACGAGCTCATCCTCGAGAGCTTCCACCCGAGCCGCAAGCTCACCACGCCGTACCTCACCTGCCGTCCTCTAGGCACACGTCATCCCACCGACTGCGACCCCTCCTCCTCCGCCTCCGCCGGCACCGGCCCCGCTAGCCTCGGCCGCGTCTGCCAGCTGTACGCGTCGTTCCGGCCTGTCGTGACGGAAGAGAACCGCCGGCGGCGGTTCCGCATGGTCTGGCCAGTGTCCATCGGCAGCAGCAGCAAGGACACGGACCTTGACGAGGACGTGCCGCTCGACGACGAGGTGCAGCTCGACGACGGCGTGCGCTTCTCGCAGCTCTGCGTCGTGCTCAACCTCGTCACGCGCGGGCGCTTCGTCACCCACCACACCGTGAGCGAGCACGTCGTGCGCGTGTTTCGCGGGTGGCTGGACGACATGGCCGGCAGCAGCGGTCGCGCCGGCGACGACGAGGGCAAAATCCCGCTCTCGTCGGAGCGCCTGCTCTGGGTCGATCCGGGCAAGACGATGGCGCTGCGGTTCCGCGTCGCGCCGGGACCGGCCGAGAGGATGCCCCTGCTTTCTGTGCCAGGGGAAGAGGAGCTGGCCAGATCCTACACGCTGACGTATCAAGGTGCGGGCGGGCTCCCCTGGATCAACTCTTCTGACCATTCAACTAATTGCTTTTTTGGTGTAGAACTTTTGATACGCTCAACAAGTCTGCTCATGGCCGTCGAGGCATCTGCGAGCAAGGAGATGGAGCCGTCGCGAAACTCCATCATCCTCGCATCCACTGGATCATAAAGAGAGGGATTCTCCACAGGCGCGTACAGTCGCGTCTCTTTATAACCTTGTAACATGCATGAAAGGCTCCGGGTCTTTCTCTTTTAATTCCCAACTGGGTACCAAGATGTGTCGCTGTGCCGTGCCGTGCCTGCATAGAGCATGCATAAGCCGCCACCAGGGCGTCCCGCTTTCACGAACAAAGCCAGTTGCTCCCCATGGCATGGGCCACGGCGCGATCCGGTCGGTGTGTCAAACAGGTTGAAACGCCAGACTTGGACGCACCGATCTAAGAACAAAAAGATGCCATGTTTAGAGATTCGGGGTTTCACGGGCACGACCATGGCGTGGGTGGCTTTGCTATTCGGCTCAGGCAGAAGCGTGCTTTTCAAAGACTCAGAGTCCAGCCATCTGGTGTCGGAGAGCATTGACTTGGGCGTCGCGGGTCGTCAGCGTACTCCGTACATTAGCTATTATAATAAGAAAGGAGCAGCTGTGGGGAGTATCGCGGCTCGGAGCTTTCTCGATTCGCGATTCCACTCGATTGGTTACTGGGAATTTTTCCAACAGTAAGACGCGCATGCATTGGATGAGGACCAGCGACGCAAGATGGTGGAGATACTTGGAGTTGGGGCACGACATCTTTCGGTGAGTTCTCGAGCTATTGCCCGGGATTCCAATGCCTAGGATCCGCATGTTTCTTATTTTTAACTTGGAGATAATAAATGGCTGGCCAGTAAGGGATTGAGGACATGGTGCAAGGCTGGCTGGCTCAGCTCCCAGCCTCAATATACATACATATATATGTACCTCTATATGTCTGCCAGCGTCTTTCAGCAACGGCAATACAGATTAGCCTGCACGGGATCAGCTCATGTCAGGCACCAGGCACCCAAAACCCGATTTCAACCTGCACATACCCGTATCGGGTGGTACGACCTGCAAAATGTTCAAATTGAGTTCCTTCTTTCTTTCTCGGATAGTCGAGACCGAATTGGTGGGCGCAAGGGCTTTTGACACTGCCTGCGTGGCACCAAGACAGCCTATGCCTATGCCGAAGAAGCAAAAAGCAACAAGTCTCTGTATGCCAATTGAAGTCGCCGAAAGCCTGAATACAAGCTCTAGACTCGTTTCTTTCTTCTCTCATCAGTACGAAAGAGGCAAAAAAAAAAAAAAAAGGGGTTGCGCATCACCCACCCCCTTGCATCATCAACTGCCAACCACCCACCACTTCACCAATCCCAAAGACTCAGAGCGACCCTCATGAGTCAGTCATTTGAACCCAACTTACTGCTCGTAGCCCAAAAGAAAGTGGATAAAGAAGAAAGCAGGAATCTCTCTTGTACTAATAAATAAGTAGAAAGAGCTCGTGCTTTTCTTCGCGGTGGCATTATGTCTCGACACGAAACAGCCGTGCAGCCGACAGACCACCTACACCACCTCCACAATATTCTTTCTTCTTTCCGTCCCTTTTTTTACTTGCATCCCTTGATTGCTTTTTCTGGTTCTTTCTACGTACTATTTCTCTCACTTGCTCTCACTCTCTAACTAGTTAGTTATCCGTAAAGTCCAGAGTTGGTTACCCCTCTTCCTCCCTCGCCTCCCCAAATCATCCGCCCTTCTCTTGGAGGAAAAGCTGCATCTCTTTATCCCATCCCCCATCTTACACGCAATCGCGACAACTCCCTCTCAACGAGACATCACCACCCCCCTCCTCCATCAATGTTTCACCCTGCGTGTTCGACGCGCCCTTGCCGGGATGTATGCTACCTTTCACGAGAGCAACAGCTCCAGGGCGGCATCCACAGTCAGTCGTCGTGCTGCGCAAAGGGCAGCTTCCGTTCCTTGCCAACGAAGATGGCCCAACCAACCTTCACTTTTGACCAATTGTACAACGTCGGCGTCGCTCTATTGCCGAATCCATTCCCTTCCTTCCCTGCTTGCCCTGCTTGCCCTGCTTGCCCTGCTTTTTTGGTGATTGCCCCCTCTGCCGTGCAGCTACTTTTGGCTGCTGCTGCTGCTGCTGCTGCAAAGTGACAAACTGCAGGATCAACACACCGGGCTCGGCATTCATTGGCCTTTTTTGCATGTCTGGCCTCCTCGCTCCGACAAAAGCCACGCGCACAAAATCGTAAAAGACAACATCGCGCACAAACGAAGAAAGAGATAGATAGTCTGGTTTCCCATTGCTGCTGTCCCGCTAACTAGACAAGTTTGCCGTGTCTCGTCAAATCTAGGCCAAACTCCTCATCACAACCTAGATCCTCTCTTTGTTTCCTTCTTCTCTTTCCCACCTTGAACTCTTATTCCTTTTTTTATCCTTCACTGCCTGCTTTATCGTCGATCTTGGGTTGTATCAATTGGGACGCCCCTTGACAGCCTTCTCCTCCTTCCTTCTTTTTCCGGCCTTTCCGTCCCAGACTAATGCAAGCCCAGGGCTCTCGGATGCCTCTTCCTCTTGCCCAGCTAGAGACCCCGTTTCCCAGCATCCCAGGTCACAGCCGCACGTCTGCAGGCGCCGCCGCGCCGCGTCCCGCATTGCTTCTTCTTTGAGAGAGAAGCAGAAACAGAGAGAGAGAGAGAGAGAGAGAGAGAGTAAAAAACAAAAAAAAAAAGGCTCAGGTGAACCCTTGCTTTTGGGCCGTCCTCAGACACAGTGCCGGGAACCTGACTGACCCAGCCAGCTACAGACAGGGGAGGCACTTGCGTGTGTGAGCCCGCTTCCTTTCACTTTCACAAAAAGACTTTTGATTCCTTTTATTATATACGCTTTGCACTCATCTCCTATCCTGTTGACCCCTCTTTCTCTCGTTATACAACGACCGTGGTATCTATACTTGATCGTTGTACCACTCGGCCCCCCCCCCCTCCCCCTCCCAACATCCATCATCACATCACAGCCCATGATGGAGGCGAGTCGACCTACAGCTCGCCCCGGGGTACCCGTGCCTTTGAGGGTGCACTCGCCCAGGTCCCGGGCTCATCACAGTCCGACGCGGAGCCCCGTGTCCGGCACCATGCCCGGCTTCGTCAACAGTAGCTCCAGCTTCACCCTGCCCGTGTCCGCCAGCTATCACACGCGGAAACCTTCCCTGGGATCGTGGTCGACCACGCACAAGAGCGTCGGCATCAAGTACGGGAGGGGAAAGTACGCTGACGTCGAGCTCATGCCCCAGCCGAGTGACGACCCGGACGACCCTTTGGTGAGTCTCTTGTTCTTCCTCTTCTCCCCAAGCATACGGACTAACACCATATCACGTAGAACTGGCCCAGGTGGCGCAAGGACCTCAACCTCGCCGCCCTGCTCTCAGTAGTCGCCCTCGCCGGCGCCCTCAAGACCGTCTTCCTGACGACTGCTGCTGTCGCCGCGGAGCGCTACCGCACCTCGTCCTATCTGGCCGTCGCCGCGCTGACCGGCGTCCCGCTGATGCTCTCCGCGCTGACCGGGACGGCCGCCTGCGTCGCCGCGCGGGTCTGGGGCCGGCGGCCCGTCTACATGCTCGCTACCGGCGCTCTCTTCGTCGGCTCCGTGTGGAACGCGACCGCCGTCGACAGCTACGGCTCATGCATGGGCGCGCGCGTCGTCCAGGGCCTCGCCTGGGGCGTCTTTGACACGCTGGTCATGACGTCCATCCAGGACACCTACTTTGTGAGTTTAACCGGCCTCTGCCCGCCCATCCCATCCCATCCCATCCCATCCCATCCACCTTTCGAGAAGAAGGCCCCCCTCCGTCCCTTGCTAACCCCGAGGCCAGGAGCATCAGCGCAACCTCCGCGTCACGCTCTACAACGTCCTCAACATCACCGCCACCTGGGGCGCCCCCCTCCTCGGCGGCCTCCTCTCCTCCTCGCACCCCTCCGACCTCGTCTACCAACTCCGCGTCATCTCCGGACTCTTCCTCCTCGCCATCCCGCTCCTCTGCCTCGCCGCGCCCGAGACCGCCTTTGACCGCTCCCACGCCGCCGCCGCGCCCACCCCCGTCTCCGGCTTTACTCTGTCTCGCCGCCGCCGGTGGCAGCCCTGGCGCGTCAAGCACCGCCTCACCCGCGCCCGCGTCCTCGGCTACCTGCGCGACATGCGGCCCCTGACCTTTCGCCACCACCGCCAGGTCACCCGGGAGCTGCTGCTGCAGGTGCCCCGGGCGCTCGCCGCGCCGACCACGCTGCTGGTGGTGCTGCTCAGCGTGCTGCCCGTGGCGGCGCTCTGGGGCTTGGCGGGGTCGTTGTCGCTGCTGCTGGCGCCGCGGCCGGTGGGCGCGGGGCCGGCGACGCTCGGCGCGGTCATGACGGGGCCGTGGATCGCGCCGGCGCTCATCGCGGGGTCGCTCGCGCTGTACCGCGGCGTGCACCTGCAGTTCACTCGGCTGGCCAACTGCCTCGTCGTCTGCGGGGGGTCCTCGCTGGCCCTCGTCGGCATCCTCTCCTTTGGTCTCGGCGTCGGCAACTTCATGACCACGTCCCCGTCACCGTTGTCGGGGTCGTTATTCTCCGAGGACGGCGCGGGACAGCTCAGCCTCGCGCTCGTCTCCTTCCAGCTGGCCGTGCTCGCCGCCGGCGCCGCCGTGCTCGACGCCGCCACCCGGCCGAGCCTCGCCCGCAGCGCCTCCTTCACGGCGTCCAACATGACGGCGGCGCTGCGCAGTATCGGCGACATGCACGCGGGAGTGGTCGTCTACCGGAACCTCGCCGCGGGCGTCTTCGCCATGGCCGTGCCCGTCTCCGTCGCGCGGCCCGGTGGGCTCCGGGCGGTCACGCTCGGCCTGGCCGTCGCGCAGCTCGTCGTCTCGGGGGTCGTCGTCGCGCAGCGCTGCTGCTTCGACGAGGCCGTCTGGCGCGCCGACGGCAGGGTCATGGGCCTGATCGACCTGAGCAGCTTGAAGCTCTCGGTCAGCTACTTCGAACCGGATGAGCGAGCTTGAGCGGCCGCCGCGCGCTCCTGTTTTCAACAACCTTACTACTAGACATGACGCCCCCCGGCGAGGATTTAATGGTCTGCCACCCTTATAGAGAGACCTCTTTCGCCTTTTCTTGCTTCTTCAAGCCTCGCGTTGGGCACCTTCGGATGCCCAACAACGGAGAACGACCTTCACAGTCCGCCATTTCTTTCTTTTTCTGCTGGCCATGCCACTCACATTCGTTGCCTTGGGCACCGCTGGTCTCACTTTTACATGATGCCTTTTCGTTTCAAGTGCCTAGGGCACTCCTCACGCTCCTTTACGACTCCATGATGTGCAACGTGCACACGCGACACTCTTTAGACGAATTCATGAAGTGCGATACCCACGGTTACACTCTTTTCATGGGCGCACATGATTTACTTATATCCTTAACTCTTGGTTTGCCTTGACACAGTCCCCAAGGGACCAGATTTGTTTTATTTCTTTGTCTTGCAAAATGTAAAGTAGCTCAAGTCAATCCTTGTTAGGAACGGATTCACACTACCAATATTGCTACCAAATATAGCATCATTAGATCCAACCAACCGGTGATGTGATTGCAACATTGGAGACTCAGCACCGTTCATACACACGCAACAAAATCGTGACTGTGACTTTACATATCCAGACTAGTACCTGATTGTTTTTTTACAAGGTCGTATCATTATCTAACATCGTTTTCGCTATGCAACCATCATCGCCCATGTTTCGCATCATACCACCGAAGGCGTGCTCGTGTCCTGCGACTTGAATCGTCGCTGCAGCTCAACATCACTACTGATCGTTCTGGAGTCTCCGTCGCCTAGGTCAGTCTCACTATGGCTTTCGTAGTGCCTGGCATCGCCGGTCCCATTTCCATGTCCGTTTCCGTTTCCGTTTCCGTTCCCGTCTCCTGGGCCGCCGCAGCTTCCTCGGCCGGCGGTGCGGTTGGCGCTGTCCTGGCGAAGCCTGTTAATCGCCTCGGCGGCAGCAGCCGAGGCGGCCGTGTTCCGTCTATGCCTCTGTAGGACATTCCAGCTGGTGAAGAAGAAGATGATGGAGTTCCACAGGCCTTGAAGGGGGAGGACGGCGGCTGTGGCCAGGTGGTACTCGTATGGTGACTGTCCGTCGATCCAGCTGCGGAGGCGGTTCATGCTGCTTGGAATCCAGGTCACGAGAACACTAATCGCAAACAGGAAGCTGGTTCTAAGGTACGCCCGCTTGACTGGATCGGCCACAACGAACCGTCGGGCTGCAGTCTTGACCCGGGAGACTGCTCTCTTGAGGGCTGAAGGCTGAGTGCTGCGACTCCGCTGGCTTGGCGATTCAACAGAAGAAAAGTATTGAACAAACCCAGAGGGGACATGTGTTGGCGAATGCTCAAATACGCTTCGCGTTGGAATCTGGGTATCGATAGCAGGAGGGGGTGGTCGAGGTGCCGCTGTCGCCGGTGATACTGCTGGTGTGCCGGCGCTTGATGTGATTTGCACTTCTGTGACGACAGTTCCGTAACACCCATCATTCTCGTCAGTGCGAGTCTAACATGCCATGTTAGTCAGATCTGTGATATTTCAGGGGCAGTTCTATACTCACAACCTCGCCAGCGCCTGCATCTCGGCTCGTAGTGGCCGTTAGACTGCGAAGCCTGTCCCTCGACCGAAAGACGTGGTACCCAACCAAGAGGTAGCAGATGAGTGAGCCGACGATGCAAATCCAGATGAGCATGTAGTATGTATATATCCTTATATCATCCCACTGCCTGTCGACCCAGCACCAGATCTGAAGGGGCTTGTTAGATTGACACGGATCAGCCTAGAAGGGGGGATCACCGCTTACGGTTGCTTCGCCATACACCGGACCCCGTCCGGCGGTTTTGGAAAGTAACAATGTGAGAGCAATCGTGAATGGTCCTCCGTAGCATACGAGGCAGTAAATCCACCACCAGCGGGCAAAGGAATCAGGCGTGGCGCGAAAGTAAAAGACAAGCAAGACGTTGATGGCCATGGCCAGTGACCACCAAGGGTCAGACTGCATGAACCTAACAAAGGAATCAGCATGATCCGTCGGTGCATCATGACCATGCACAGTCGTGAGACATTCGTTGACTTACATTTCAAACAAGAAGCTCTGTGCCTTGCATAGAGTCGAGGCCTTGCCCTCTCGAAGCCCGTCAAAGGCAATGATGCTTGCGATGCTGGCACCGACATTGGACACGCTCGCAAAGACGATGAAGGTGTTTTGGACGTTGCGCACTTTCGGAAACACGGCGTACGCAACAAAGATGCAAAACACCCCGATCAAGCTGATGCTGCCTCCTATGCGCTCGAGCTTGATCAGCACGCGGATCTGATCCCCCGTAAACTCCTCCGGAACAGCCATCTGGGCCCATCCCATCTTTGGAAACTTGAATGCAGAGGACGTGTTTTTTTTTTTGTGTACAGCAGACTTTGGTTATCCGATGGTGCGAGCCGAGACGTTTGACTGTAGAACCGTGAGCCCTTCTATACACACAAAGGCTACAGCTTCGTGGCCAGGCTGTCGGCTTATATGCGAAAAAGGATCAGCCCGATTTCAGCTGCGCTCCCTCCTCCCTCCCATTCAATCTTCTCCTTTTCCCAACTCCTTTTCGGTAAGACACACCGCCACAAGGCTGAAGTGCGTGTTATGTGTGTGCGTGTATGTATGTGTGTATGTGTGTGTAGATGCTCGGCTGGGTGTCAGGCAGAGGGAGGAAAAAGGCTGATGTACAAAGCCGTTGTCCCGGAGCCGAATCGCAGCTGCGTCGACGCCGGCGCAAAAGAAAATAGTATGTATGGTATGGTTGGGTGGTGGTGATTAGAGAAACGGGAACCGGCGCAAGATGTCGGTGTCGATGAATTGATCAGACGATGAAGAAATGCATGCCCACTCGTACTCGGGAAAGTACCTGAAAGAAATGGAAATGAGAAGAAAGATGCTGTGTGTGTGTATGTCACCGTCCGTCCAACTCGAGCATGCCGAGTCCCATCTCCTCCTGGCCAAGAGCGACAAAGAAGAAGGACGACGACTAGGCCGGTGCAGCACAAGTAAAGTAAATTGGGGGTGAACTTCTTCAGCAAGAAAATGACACACGCAAAACGTCTGTGTGCCTCTCCCGCCCGCTCGGCAGGTAGATAAGTATGGGGGAAGGAGATTGAAGGATGTGCCAAGAAAAACAAGACAAAAGGGAAATGCTGCAGAGTTTATTATTCCTGTCCTGTGCAGGCGACATCTCGCCCGTGTCACCAACGCAACTAACGAGAAAAAATTCTGGTGTATCCCACCCCCCCGTCTCTTCTTCCCCTCTCTCTGTCTCTCCGTCTCTCTCTCCATCTCTCCGTCTCTCTGTCCCCTCTCTTGCTCGACTACGACTTCCTCGCTCTTGGCGGCGCTGATGGTGTAACCATTTTTCCCTCCCCCATGCGGCGGCGGCTGCACCTGGCCGTGACGAGGTCGGTGTGTGTGGCGAAAAAGAAATAGGGAGGCCAAGAGGCAAGGCAGGAAGAGGGGGAAGCAGTCGCCAGGAGGACGAGGATCAAACACCGCGCCCGATCGGCAGGCAGGCACGGCTAGGTGCTTGCTCGGCGACAAGTGTGACCAGTTTGTCTTTGTAAAAAGACTCCATTGACGGTCAAGTTCGGGACGGGTAAGAGATTCCCGAAGCTTTGTGAAATTAAAGTGCTCGACTTACAAGGAAGAGACACCCCTGCCTTGCTTGCCTGCTTGCCTTCCTCGCGGGCGTGGGAGGAGGGGCAGACAAACCAATAGCCCAATTAAACAACTGTAGACGACATCACATCATCACATTCAGAGCAGACCGCGGTTGGCCTCTGACCGGTCTCTCTCTCGTCTCGCTATCAGTCAGTGGCGCGCTGTGGGTGCGTGGTGGCGCCGATCCTCCTCTTGGCTTGTCAAACATCAAAGGACACGGCGTTGGTGACACCGAAATACCCAGCAGCGAATAAAAGATGGTGTGTGATGGTTACGCTGCATGGAGTATTCACTACAGCCCGGACGCGCGCAAGCAGACTATCGAATTGCGTCGAGGCAGGCCATCTTTCTGTAGGATCTTGCCCCATCTCCATGCCCATCCTTTCAACGGGCAAGACACTTCTGAGTCTCTCTGGGCGTCTCAGTGCAGTCACATGATATCTGGTCCTCTTGTCCAGTCAATTGGTGACCGGTTGCTTGATGGCCTTTCCCTGACACTTCCGATCAAGCTTGGCAACATCCTCCTCCTTGCCTTCCTTCTCTGTTTCCCCGCCAGTTTCCAACAAAGTTCTTCGGGCAGCCAATGAGGCGCCGCCACCACAAGCCGATATCTCCAGCAGCAGGTTCGCCATCCTGAAAATAAATATTACCTGCCCCTTATTTCGGAAAGCTTGCAAGCATACAAGGATCGGACGCCCGATCTACCGCCGCCGCGGCTCGACGGCGGTGTGTGCGCTCCCGAGTCCCGACGCAGCTCGACTTCATCGAGGCGCATTCCAAATGCAAAGAGCCACTGTAGCCAAGGACATCATCAACTGTATGTGCCCTGATTTTTCCAAATTTCTGCAAGTCGCCCGAGTCGAAAAAGGTGAAAGAAACATGGCGGTTAAACTGCAGCTGTCCTGTCATGTAACATTGCACTCCGGGCCCGGCTTCTCTCAGCAGAAAGAAAAGGCAGCTTCTATCATCCACATCCCAAGTTTTTGTATTGACCAATCCCAAATGCTAGCAAACCTAACGCGAAAACGGGCAACAAGATCTCTATAGCCCAAAACACAGTGCATCCCTGCCCAACCATGGTACGCATCGCAGCAAACCACATAGTTATCCGTATTTGCGTAGCAATTATCCTCCCAAGTCTAACCGCGGAACCCTATAGTAATCACCAAAAAAGGAAAAAGAGAAATCAATGCAAAAATGCGTAACCGCCCCCTGCCTCAGTCTACAGGGTGTAGATAAAATCTGGTCTGTTATCGCCTAGGGCCTCAATTTCCGCCTCTGACTTGCCTGCTGTCAAGTAGTCGCGCTCACCAGCCAGGCGCTTCTTGTTTTCCCGGCTCAGCAGCACATGGAAAAGCAGGCTGCCGCCAAACATGGCAATCACGAGGTAGCCAATGATGGTCGAGTGCCCAGCAAAGAAGCGTGGGCCGTCAAAGTAGACATTGCTACTGACAACACCGTTGAGGTTGCCCCAACCGATGACGATGCCCAGGACGACGCCGCGCTTGTAGACACCCTCGACGTTGTTGGCAACCCATGCAATGGTCAGCGACACAGAAGGGTAGATTCCCAGGGCACCAAGGAAAGTTCCAACGTATTTTACCACAGGTTGTGTGGAGGCAATCATCATGACGAAGCCGATCGTTCCGACAACAGCACACGCCATGTTGAAAATGCCACGCTTCTGTATACGGTCAGACCAGAAGCCAATGACAACAGTCATGATAGCGGCCAGCACATATGGTGGGACGCTGAGAAGCTGGTTCTTGATGATGTCGTTCTTGGGAACCAGGTTCATACTCTGAATAATGGTGGGCAGAAACAGACTGAAGGCGTAAAGCGGCATAAGAGGGCCCATGTAGATGAGCATACCGCAGTACGTCTTCCAGTCCTTCAGCGCCTCCATGAGATACGTCGTCTTGAAACTCTCGTCATGCGCCGACGCCTGCTTGTCTTCCTCCAGGCGGCGCACAACACGGGCACGGTCCTCCGGTGTCAAGAACTTGGCCTCGGAAGGGAAGTCATCAACCATGAAGAACGAAGCAAGCGCGATCAGAACCGTAATGCCGCCTTCGATGATGAAAATCCAAGACCAACCAGGACGACCACCAATTCCGTTCATATTCTGGATCGCAGCAGCCAGTAGACCGCCGAAGGAGCCGGAGATGGCGGCGGCGGAGAAGAAGACGGCCGCGCGGACGCCAAATTCGCTGCGCTTGTACCAGCAAGACAGGTAGTAGTTAATGCCGGGGAAAAGACCAGACTCTGTCATGCCAAGAAACCATCGGGCAGCCATCAGTTCTGACCAGTTGCGTACAAAGCCCATGCCAATCATGGTCACGCCCCAGAGCACCCTGTGCACAACATATCGGTGGTTAGCCATATTCTCGGACACGGGCGGCAGGCCCATGTAGTACAAATGCGGGCAGGCATAAACGTGGTCTCAAGTGACACTCACATGATGATGGGGATAAAGATGGATGGCCGCAGACGCTTGAGTAGGACATTGCAGACAGGCTCGAAGAGGGCGTATGACACGAAGAAGATGGTGAGCGTGGCATTGTACTTTGACGTGGAATGGATACCAATATCTTGTTCAAGATGTGCTATCCTAGCATTGCCGATATTGGTCCGGTCCAGAAAGGCCATGAGGTACAGCAAAGAGAGCTAAAGTACGGTGTTAGCAGTAATACCATGCCAGAATACGGCCAAGGCGTTGACGTTGCAACATACCCATGGCATGAGCTTCCAGTCAAGCTTCCATAACAGTTTGCGCTCCTGGGAAACGTCGCGTAAATTAGTGTCGGCGATTTCACTTTTAGGGCTGCTCAATATGTCGTGTGCAATCCGGAAGAGACACAGAGCACTGGGGCAAACATACAATCTTGGCGCGCTCTTCGGCGGAGAGCCCAGCATCAAGGTCACTAAAGGTCCGGCTGACCTCAGTTCTAGAATCGTTGGTATGATCCTGATTGCTGGACTTTTCCATCTTCTCCTCGTTGGTCGTCATTTTGTTGGCTTTTTTTTTGGCGGTGGCGTGTGGCGGCGCGGGAGCCTTGAGATTTTGGCGTGGGAGGCAGCTGGTTCGTTTATAGGCGCTCAGCTGGAGGCCTGGGGTTGGTCTGATGGGATCAGGTACACACTCTACACCTGCAACAGGACAGATTCGAGGTGACGTCGATGAAATGGAGCAGGCCGACAGATAGACCTCAAAAGAAGAAGAACTGTGGAAAATGCTAGAAAAGGGAGAGGATATGACCTGGAGCAAAACCAGGCAGAGAGGGGGGGGGATGGAGGATGGGGGATGGGGGATGATTTACATAGAAAAACATAGAAACCACCACCAGGCTGACCCCGGGAAATGGTTATTCTTTATTATGCTCCACCGGCAGAAGAGTTCGGCAGAAAAACGTTGGGTGTGGTGCGGAAGGCCAGTGCAAGCGAAAAGCTCAAGACAATTGTAACCCAGTTGTTCCTCTGTACTGTACTGTACTGTACTGGTGCGGTCTGTTCAGTACCCCCAACTTTCCAAGCTAGCAGGGCCCTTGTCCCCAGCTGGCGGAACATGGAACGGCGCCGTTTCTCATCCAGGGCAGAGGGAAGGACGATCCCCAATGTACTTGTAGACTTCACCGTCGTAGCTGGCTTGGCTGGTTGGCTTTCTGTGGTGCCAACTCTGGCATGAGTTGCGTGTGGCAGTAAATACCAATGAGCAGTGAGCACACATGCCCGAGGTGGAGGTGCGGGCGGTCTTTTTGCGCCACCGGTAATGCCCTTGCGCCCTTTCACTAGGCGATTTGAATTGGGGGAATGTGATTAGTCTTGCATCTGGTGGCGGCCGTCTCCGTGGGTTGTGTGTCCTTCTCTCGGCGATGGGCTGTCAAATGCTTTACCCCAGGCCAAGACCAATGTCCTGTGGAGGCCAAGCCAGCTAGCCCCCAGGCCAGCCCGAAGAAAGTTCGTGGAGCGATGCGACGCACGGAGCAGCAAGCTTGCAACAAGACAGAGCCTCGCAATGGCGTCACTGATTTTTGTCACGCTTCACACAGACTCGGGCGGGAAAAGATGCTGCAGTGCAGGCAAAAGCAAGTTCTCCGAGGTAGCAGCCGATGTTGCCGCGGCGGAGAAGCCGTTCCCCTCTGTTCCTCGTTTGCTGTGATACAAACAAGGGCTTGCGCTAATTAAAGTGTTGGGCGTCGTTGCTTTTTCGTCTGTCGCAAGGCAATCGCCTGTTGATCCTTGTAGCCTGGTCCTGGGCCGGCGACGTGCGTGAAGCACTGAGGCCAAGCCCTCTAGCGCCGGATTGTAGTCCGCCCAGTGCAGCAGGTCAAATCCGGCTGATTACAGGTCTCATTTCGAGGCCATCACCGCGGCGGTCCAGCAAGGAAGGAAGCTGCCTGGTGCGTCAAATCGACCTGTGGACGGGCGGACAGGGATTCAGCGTCGTCTTGCATCGCAATTTCAATAACGCTATCTGTACTCTTCTTTACCCCTCCCCGGCAAGGCGACCAGTCATAGAGGGCCAATAGTGTCAGTGTTATTATCACTGCCAAGAAGTATTATTCACGTTCGTCGAGGATCCACGGTAACACTGGTTGGCACTTCATGAATTAGCATCAGGAAACAGAACGGAGATTGCTCCCTTTTTTTTGCTTTTTCCTCTCTCGCTTGGGCCGCACCGATTCACGCCGCACACCACAGTTCTTTTTCCGTTGGGGGCCGTTATCCGGTCAGGTGCATGGAGACTGCATTCTCCCTCATCGGCCGAGCAGCTATCCCCATGAGAAAGCATTAGGCAATCACGCCACAAGTTTCCAACTTTCAAGGAAGGCCAGGATGTGTAGGAATACATGCGTTTGTCGTCAGGCTGAAAGTAAAGATGGGGCGTTGCAGATGGTGAAGAAGGGAGGTGGCGGGAAAGGCCGCCACCAACACGTTTGTTTGGCGGGCCCCGGCCTGTCGCCGAATTGCAAGAGCAGCATCAGCCAAACCGGTCAAACGGCTTTTGGAAAACAAACCGAAGGGACAATAACACGCTCGGGTCGCCAGGCAATAAATCCGACCTCGCAATTCATAACCCACGTTTCTTGGCCGTCTTTTTTTATTGTTCTTACCCCCGTTCGCTCGTTCAATTTTCCTGTCTGTAGTCCACATACATGGACTTGTACAACGTTGGACGGGTGTCAGCATTGGGCCAAGAGTCGCACACGGACGCCCAAATGCAAATTTTCAGAAAAAGATTTGCATTGGGCAAAATGATATATGTTTGTGAGCCAAACTGTCGGTATGGACCCCTGATTTGATCCGATTACGAATCCGATTGTACGATCCTACAGCAGGAAATGGTACTACAACCAATGTTTTATTTTTTTACCTTTTTATGTGGCTTATTTATTTTACTATTTTAATCTCACCGGGTACATGAATATTGATGAATATTTGCAACACGCAGGTCATTATGCTAGGCCAAGCTCCTTGTAAAAGTTTTCGGGGTTAGGTTCCCGGCCGAGGAATTCAAGGAGCATCACGTTCTCATCCATGCTGCCGCCACGCTCTAGCACAAGCTTGCGATACCGGCGACCGGCTTCGCCATTCATAGGGTCCTTCTTGAAGGCAGTGTAGAACATGTCGGTTGAAAAGACCTTGGAGTAGAGGTAGCCATAGTATCCAGCATCGTAGCCACCGACAAAGTGGCCGATAGTGGCATGCTTCTGTCCCCACTCACTGTGAATCAGATCTTGTCAGCACAATTCTCATCTCATGTCTCGGGCTGCTTGTCTTGGTATGACTTACATTCCATAGCCGACATCCTCAGGCCCTTTGACGCCGGAAATTTCTCTGCGCAGCTGGTTCCACAAGCGGCCACAGTTCAGCTGCTTCACCGCTTCGTGGGATTCGGGGCTGTGAACGGTCAAGTCGAAAGTTCCGATGAGGATCTGGTACAACGTTCCAATGGATTCGTTGAGATTTTTCGTCTTCACCAACTTGTCAATAAGCTCCTTGGAGATCTTCTCGCCAGATTTCCAGTGGGATGAAAGTTCCCGCAGAACATCGGGCGTCCAGCACCAGTTTTCCAGCATTTGAGAGGGCGCTTCAACAAAGTCCCACATGACAGCAGTGCCGTGGCAGTAAGAGGTCTTGGTCTTGGCTACGAGATCGTGAATACCGTGACCCAGTTCGTGGAAAAGAGTAACGGCCTCAACATGCTTGAGCAGAGCCGGGCGACCTTGAGACGGGCGGCTGAAGTTGCAGACGAGAGCAGTGGAGGGATAGTTTCTAGTGCCGTCCGCCTTTAGGTATCCCGGTCCGAGGGTAAAGTTGGCATTGTGTCCGTACTTGTTGGGGCGTGGGTGAAGATCGAGGAACAGGTAGCCAACAAACTCGCCGCCAGATGCTTCGTCGTTCCAAACACTGATAACCACCACCTCCTCATGCCAAACAATGTCTTTGGCGTTACCAGTAGGGCTTAGGCGAGCCTTAGCAGCCTCATCCAGCTCAACAAACTTCAGGCCGAGGATTTTCTCGAAAATACCGAGCATTCCAGTGAAGGTCTTCCACATAGGGAAGTACTCGGCCACTTCGTTCTCGTCCAGGCTGTATTCCTTCTCTTTGAGAACACGTGAGTAATATCCGATATCCCAGGCGTATATTTCGCCGTTGAATTCGAGGCCACGTTCAGCATAATCTTGCTTCTTTAGCTCGCGAAGCACCTCGGTTTCCTTCTTGCCGCCATCGCCCACACGAGTACGGATGTCAGCCAGGAAGGCCTTGACTTTCTCGGAGTCCTTGGCCATTTTGGCGGATATAGTGAGATCTGCATGATCCTTGTAGCCGGCTTGTCTAGCAGTTTCATCCCGCAGCTCAATGATGGTCTGGAAGAGGGGGACATTTTGGTTCACCTGGGTAGTGTTAGTTGCTTCTATCCTACGCGCACGCGTTTGGGACGATAAAAAAGCTCTCACCTTATTAGCTTCGGCAATAAAATAGTCGCGACGAGTAGACTCATGCTTGGCATATTTGAAGAGGGGGGTGGAGGTCGTATACTTGAAATCAGCTTTGACCTTGCCCTCATTCTCTCCAGTACCTTTTTCGAGCTCGACGACGTCAATATCCGTTTTGGGGATGCCTTCGAGCTGCTCTGGGGTAAACCAAACGCCACCCGTTTCGTTGTTGTGGTTGTTTTGCGACTCAAGGCACAGACGGCTGAGTTTGAGCTGCTGCTTCTTGAAGTGGTCTCGCTCGGGGCCGGGAGGGAGGAGAAGGCCCTTGGTGACATACTGGGTGTACTCCTTTCCCAAGATGGTAGCAGATTCGGTGTCAAGATTCGCTGATGACTTGTTGTTGTAGATGGCGTTGACGCGCTGGAAGATGTCGTCGCGCATTCGCAGCTCAATATCCAGCTCTCTCATCTTCCCATCGGCCTTGAGGGAAGCGTCGCGGGTAGCAGCATCGGGGTGGACATTCTGCAAAAAGCAGATTCTGTAGTTTTCGCCGACGGTCTCATCGTCAACATTGAGGATGGGCTGTATGGCGCTCTGAAAGGTGGCCGTCTCGGGGGTGGTAGAGGCAACCACGTTGTCGATGGCGGCTCTCTTGGCCGCAACAATCTTTTCGATCGCGGTGTCCATCTCCTCCGGGGTAAAGCTGAACACCGGGGGCCTCTGGGGCGGGATGGCGAACTTTTCGGAAGCCATCGTGCTGAGAAAGCGTGAAGCGGGCGGTCTCTGGAGGATCAATGGTGTCTTGCGCAGTTGTCGGGCCAGAGAACCGAGACGGGAGACGTAGCGTGGGGGAGCCAGGGTGACGGCGAGAAGAAGAACGAGACACGACACGAGGAGCAGACGAGTCCTCCTCAATAAGGATTGAGTTTTTGGCGTGGCGTGACCGCGAGCGCCTGTTCGGAGAGGATCTCGCGGAATGGTGGTGGTGGCTGTGGCTTGCCCGTCAACGGACTTCTACTTCCGTCAATTGCGCAGAAGCAGTCCCGTAACGTCGGACAAAAGATATGTAAATAAGCGGAGCAGACAATGTACGAGCTTTGGTAATGGAAACTAGAAATCCGCGATGAGTGTGAAGACGGCGTCGGGGCAATGGATCTGGTGGACAACTGGTGGCCAAGAGAGGCAGGTGCGCTGAGATGGAGATGCAGGCTTGCGGGGCAGCAGAAAATAGCGGGCAAGGTCTACTGCAGGTTAGCTGCGCATTTGAAGGGTTATTATGAAGATTACGTGCAAAGAGATGCCTACGCAAATAGCTGCTACCTGAGCAGGACAATAGCTGAAAATGATTACCACTCATTTATTAGCGTATAGCAAGTATGTAATGAAAATTATGGCAGCCCGATTATCATGCAGCCTCTTCCGTGTCCCGTCTGCAACTGGCTGACACCTACCGGGTACTGCAGGCGGCCAAGGTCATTACGGATAAGAGCGGCACTTGGGCAAAGTTGCAACAGAGTGCACGGCTCGGCTCGTCAAAATGTAGAGCCTCATCAACGGGAGTAACAAGATTGATGCACACTAACGGGTACCGGCTGCAGAAAGCCATGGCGAGCGTGGCGTTTGCCGATGCGTAACAGCCTGTCACTCCAGCAAACGAGCACGTGTATGGCAAAACTTATTGTCTATTCGGCGTCGAACCGAGCGCCTAGCACAAATTATATATGACAAGACACAATAACAAACTCTCCCCGTATTGCGTCATCGTTGCTTCATTATCCCAATCAAGTTGCTTCCTGTACCATGTCCCATAGTCAAACACGTAAGAAAAAATCATCAACGCCTGTCCGTTTGTATGATGCAATCCGGCTCGTTACGAGCGCAGCGTGCGACAATTAGTTGGCAAGGATCGTGCGGACGAGATCTATAGTAGGCAAAAGCGGTTAGATTAGGTCATCGAAACACGGACGTCATGCAAAAAAGTCGTACCGGTATAGTTGACTTGGCCAGAGCTGGTATCGACGGCCTTGAGCAGCTCGTCAACCTCATCCTCGGTCATCTTCTCGCCCAGGTTCGTCAGGATGTACTTGAGCTGGCCAACGCCGATGAAGCCCGTCATGTCCTTGTCAAAGACCTGGAAGCCACGGCAGTACTCCTCCGGCTCGCCAGGGTCGCGGAAGCCGCCAGGGCGGTTGAGGACGCGCTGGAAGGACTCGAAGTCGACTGAGCCGGTTGTTAGCGTTTGCTTCGTCACTCGGCCCTGATGCGCTGAGCTGAGTGCAGGTCACCAAAGCCGCCGCAGCAACGATACGGCGCCAACCGCAACCCAATGCCCACATCAGCGCTCCGCGGCTGTCCATCTACTCACACTCGGGGCCAAGGCCCTTTTGTAGGTCGTCGATCTCCGAAAGAGTCGGGTTCTGGCCGCAGGCGCGCAGCAGGTCGCCAAGGGAGTCGACGGTGCAGCGGCCGTTGCCGCGCTTGTCGAAAAGGGCAAAAGCCTCCTTGTAGTTGGTGGAAGCCTGCGAGTCGAACTGGTTAGAAGCCATGGTGGTTTGATTGATTCTGGGTAGGCGAGCGATGATGTGGAAGGATGGCGGGGAAAAAAATGCGACGATGCAGATGCGAAAAGCGATGACAATGTATTTGTTGCGATGATGCCACAACCACTCCAGCAAACGCGCGCGGAGGCTTTCGGTCAGCCGAAAAGAAAGGGCGTGCGCTTTGGCTGGGCTGGCGAATCAGAGGCACCAGAGGCCCGCGGGGTTGACCATTTGTTTACATTGGTGCTGGTGCTGGGGCAACTCACCATTGTTGACTCTGGACAAGGGCTGTGGGTATGGCTGCGTTGGTGGTGTGTGTGGTTGATCGTTTCGGTTTCGTGCTAATCAAGAAAGCGAAGACGCGCGCAAATCGAACGAGAGAAACGACTGTTCCTTTTGATCCGAAAATCCTGGAGAGGGCGATTTTTTTTGGCAAAAAGAATGTTGTCAAGAACAGAAACCACGAGACCACACCAGTCAAGTAAAAAAGGCCAGCTCCCCCTTGCTGGCCGCCTCCTGAGACCTCGCTCCGCCCCACGCCTCAAGCCTGCAACACCCTGCTCCCATCCCTCCTCCCCCTGTCGACGCCAGTCTTTGTCAGGGCAACGACCTCGAAACAGGCACAAGACAGGGTTCAGGAACAATGTCACTGGTCGATGAATTGGTCAATGGGACAGGCGGTGTGTGATTCCTCCCCATCCAAGCTTGTCAGCGAGTCAATCGTGAATCCAGGTCACAAATCTGCATCGTTTAAGATATTACGTCTCTTATTGAGAATCTTACCTCCCTCAAGGTATCTCGCCTTCTTATTTTTTTTTTAGACAAAGACAAATACATGTTGCTCCCCACTGACTCTACTCACTTTTACACGTTCAAGCTTCAATCACTGGAAAATAGACACTATTAATAGCTCCTAGCTGTCACCAAATTGACCCTTGTCTACATAAACAATGCAACGAACTTTCGAAACACCTCCTCGACGCCGCTGTCTAGACTTGGTCATGTGCGCTTCGCCATCAAGATATACGAGCCCCAGACCGTCTTTACCTTTGCATCTCGCCAGCTCTCCCCCATCTCTCTCCACGTCGCTTCCGACGCAACAATCTCGTCCATGAGCATGTCCACAATGTCACCTGGTCCGCCGTCTACTCGGCTCCGCAGCTCCGGGTGCGCCTGTTGCCATCCAACATAGCTGCTCGCCGTCCGCACGTAGCTTTCAAAGCCGCCCAGAGTGGTCTCCTGGAACATCAACGCGTCTGCGGTATCTGCCTCGGTCGCGTCGGCATTGACATCGTACAGGATGCGCTGCACATTTTCCCATTGCTCCGAAGGCGGGACAACGTCTGCGAGCAGCCTTCGCACCTTGTTTCGGCCGGGTTGCTCCCAGTGACGGCCCATGCTCTCGATACCCGGCGCGACTTCATCCTCGCCGTAGCTATACCTGTCCCAAATCGCATTCGCCTTTGAGTGACCCAGTAGCACATTATCCTTGTAGCCCCAGAACACCATTGACCCTCCTGGCTTGACCACGCGAGCAATCTCAGGCCACGCCTTGCTGTAGTCGAACCAATGCGCTGCCTGGCCCGACACCACCAGGTCAACAGAGTGGTCTGGTAAAAAAGACAAATCTTCTGCTCGGGCCTGTCGAATTTCAATATTGGGGTCTGTTGTCATGCTTTTGGCCTGTGCAGCCATTCCTAAGCTGGGGTCGGTTGCAATGGTCTTGCCGAACTTGGGGCTCAACTCCCGAGAAATCAGACCATGGCCGCAACCCAGATCCAACAATGTACCGCTGGATTTTTGTGCACCATGGTAATCGAGTACCGTCTTGAATAAAACAGCAGGGTACGAGGGTCGGCTTGCAGCGTAGCCAGCGGCCGAAAAGGTCTTTTTCCTGTTGTTGGTCAGCCAACGTCCCGTATATGTCAGCCATGCGTCTTGACTCACGCAAACAAGGACATGATAGCGACTTTATTTATACATCAATGACAAGCAATCAATCCATATGCATTTCCGAGTTGTCCAGTTGATGACTTTATACTCTCCCATTGGTCGTCGCTCCGAGCAAAATCCGACTCGGCCGATGTTAGCGTCCACTGGAAGAAGCCGTTCTCTAGGGTACGTTATGACGTACCGAACCGACGAATGATTCGGCTTTATACACAATGCTATCGGTCATTTAGTCGCTCCGTCAGGGTTTTGGAATCTCCTGGCCGGAAATTTTGGTTCTTATTACTATTATCGCAATTTCAAGGCCGACGTTAGTAGTGTTGGCGTGGACGAGGAGAATAATTAGCTCAACGATATCAACCAACACGACGGCCCTGTCTACCCTTCCCTCCCTACACATACCCGCGTAGCATTCATTGTGTCGGAGCTTAACAAAGGCTTTTATAAATGTACCAAGCCAATGCTGCCAAGCTCCCAAACCAATGGGTTACGTAGGCAGGGGACATCGTTTGGTTTGATGCTGAGTTCGACCTTCTGCGTAAAACGAAACATTTAAAAAAGTCAAAGCATAATTTCGGCAGAATGCAATTGAAGCGTGAGCCTTCAGGATTGTTAATGAGGCGAATTTGCCGTCGGGCTTGCGCAATCACGTCAATTCACTGGTTGAGGCGGGGCAGGCTGGTTTGCCTCTCTCGGCGCCGGAGCACCCCGCCAAGCACAGCCGTACGCAGTAAGCTCGGAGCACGCCCAGAGCCGGCCAGACGACCGGTCCAACCCTCCTCAAGCATTCAACATTTACGAACCCCAAGTCTCTCTCCAGAGACAAACGTCACAATTTTCGCAATCAAAATGGCAACCGAAGCTACTGCACGCAAGTTCTTCACTGCGCCGTCCTTCGCCGTGGTCGGCGCCAGCTCCAACCCGGCCAAATTTGGCCACAAAGGTGAGTCGTCGCCGCAAAGCAGTCTTGCGCTCCAGACCCTCTACTGATTCTTAAAACCAAAGTGCACGCATGGTACCTGGACCGCGACCTGCAGGTTACTCCCATCAACCCTGCCTCGCCGACCGTGACCGTCAATGGCAGCGAGCACGCCACCGTGCCCAATGTTTCGGCCCTGGCCAACCCCAAGCAGACGGCCGTATCCATCATCACACATCCTGCCGTAACGATCGGGGTTCTGAAGGAGGCCAAGACGGCGGGCGTTCCGTCCATCTGGCTGCAGCCGGGCACATGGGACGACGAAGTGCTCAAGTTCGCGTTGGCCGAGGGGTCGTTTGAGGCTGTCGTCTACGGAGAGGGTGGTCGCGGTCACGATGGCTGGTGCGTCTTGGTCGATGGCGACAAGGCGTTAAAGGCTGCCGGAAAGCTGTAATGGAACCTATCTATTATAATTGAGGTGTTGAAGTGGTATTCAGCAATACTATCCGTACTCCACAATGCTCAGTCCAGTTTAGTACTGCGCGAACCTGCCGATGCAATACGGTCTCTAAGACATTGCACAATGCTGATTGCACCTGAACGTAGATACGTAATGCGCCAAGTCCAGCAATTGAAAGTAAAAAGGGCAAATACCGATAGAAATTAATAGCCCACCCAGTTGTTTGCAGGTTAGTAGTTAAAATGTTTCAGCGGCTTCAATTCAAGGCCGCTGTTATGGCTTGGACCGCCCCACTCTAAATACTAAGTAGTGCGAAGTAAACAAACGCGGTGCTAAGATGGCCAAGAGGCGACAACCAGCAACACCATCAAGCTTCAACGGCGCTACGACTATCTTTTTTACGTGGACTGCGTTGAAAAGATCTTTATCCGCATCCTCATCCTATCCATATAGAAGCGGAAAGAGACATGGCAAGCATATTTCTGTAGGATACGCTACATCTGCCACAACAACTGCAACGCGACTAGTCGCTGGCGTTGCGCGACGCAGCTTTTACGGCTTGCTTCTCGCTCTCCCTTTCTCGCATCAATTGATTCACATCCAATAATCGACACCATGGCCGATATTGAAAAATATCTCACATACGATGGGCGCATCGCGTCCTTTCGCAAAACCACCAAGAAGCGCGGATCGACCGCCGGGCGCGGCGCGAAACCGCTGAACTGGCCGCACAAGCAAATCACACCTGCGAGCGTACGTACCTAGCAACGACCCGCTGCCCGAACATACACAGCTGACTGAGATAATTATAGCTCGCAACAGCAGGTTTCTATTTCAACCCGAGCCCCGAGAATCCCGACAACTGCACTTGCTTCTTTTGCCAAAAGGGTCTTGATGGGTGGGAGGCAGGCGATGATCCACTGATAGAACACTTAACACACGCGTCACACTGCGGATGGGCCATCACTAAAGCCATTGAAGCCGAAATTGAGGAATTCTCCAAGCAGGACCCGACGCTACCTCACATGGTAGAGGCTCGAGAAGCTACGTTTGGTTCCAGATGGCCCCATGAAGGCAAGGACGGTTGGCAGTGCAAAACGAAGCAGGTAAGAGCCCCAATCAATAGAGAAGGGGCGGCTGATGATACTGACTTGCCTTCCTCTCTAGCTTGTTGAGTCAGGATGGGTCTACACGCCAACAGATGAATCTGATGACATGGCAACATGCATGTATTGTCAACTAGCACTGGATGGCTGGGAACCTGAAGACAAGCCCTAGTAAGCCAACAGTACGGGTAATTCCTCTCTGATATCAACTGACAGTGGTTTTAGCGACGAACACTATAAGCGCTCACCGAACTGTGCCTTCTTTCTACTGTCGAGCGAACCCGAGCCCGAGCCCGCACCGAAGAAGACTGCTCGCGGCAAAGCGGCCAGAGCATCAAAAGCGTCCCGAGCGTCCACACAATCAGTGCAATCTGTTTCTACGGCAGCCTCCGAAGCTATTGCTATTGAAGAAGCGGCCGAACCGGAGGACAGTGTTCTCACTACCGCGTCAATGGCACAAGGCAAGAAACCTCGGGCAAAGAAGGCCACAGCCAAGGCCGCAAAAGGTGGCAGAAAGAAAACTAAGAAAGAGGCGACTCCTGTTGATGATGCCAGCGATGCTGAGGACGAGGGCGAAGTCCTCAGCAAGCCGCCACCCGTCAAATCAACACGCGGCCGCAAGCGAGGGAGTGAGGCAATTGATGATTCAATGATGAGCACGGCTAGTGTGCCGGCGACCAAGAAGCGAGCAGCCAAGGTACGCGCCAGCGCAGCTGAATCATCTATTGCATCCGAGGACACCGCTGTGCCTGATGCTCCTGCCCCCTCTAAAGCCAAAGGCGGCCGTCAGTCGAAAGCTCGCAAGGCATCCGAAGCGGTATCGATAGCAAACACTTCCATTGTTTCTCTCTGCATCACAGCAGAAACCTTCCCGGATGATGACGAGATCGAGAGACAACTCGAGGCGGATCTCGAGCGCCAGCTTACTGAAGACGAGTTTGTATATGAATATCGACGCCCAGTAACTCAGTTGGATGCAAAGCCAGCAAGCGGGACGCCTCCGAAGTCGGCTGCTTATAGAATGCTTGATCCGGAGCCATCAGAAGCAGACGAGGCCGACGTTGAGGGCGAGCTGAAAAAGCTCCAAAATGAAATGGAGGTTGATGGGCCGGTCAAGGAGCTGAAGGTTGCGAAAAAAGGTCGCAAGGCAGCTGGTACACGGAAGGTGTCAAAGCAGACCAAAGCTAAGAAGAAGGCAAAGGAGCCGTCTCCTCCTCCTCCCTCGCCCTCTCCCCCGCCTCCGCCGCCCGTCCAATCCATCGAGAGTGAAGTGGAAGAGGACGACCACCAGAGTGTTGTTAGTACTGATACCGTGGTGAAGAATATCGACTCTGTTGACTCGATGACCGAGAAACGGGGCCAAACGAAGATTAGGGAATCCTCTGTCGCTTCTGAAGACTCTGTTGATGCGATCTCCTATATGGAGCCAAATGAGACTCCAGCTAAAGATGGACTTGTACCAGAGGAGACTGAGCAGTCTCCAGAGCCCTCACCAACACCATCGCCTGGACCGGACGCTCAGTTGACGAGCGAAGCACACCACGCAGCTGATATGAATAATGATGACGATCTACTTGCGACGGACGATGATCTGCAGATCGCAGAGGACCCTGTCGAGGCTGCTACATCGCCGATAGCAACTTCGGTGGCAGAGCCACCGTCTACGCCTGGGCAAAAGATATCGCCTGCCTCCTCTGCGAAGCAAGCGGCAGTCTCACCCTCACCCTCGCCTCAGTCGTCTGACGCTGAGAACCGGCCGCCATCTTCCAGGCCCAGCACATCGACGAAGCGTATTGCTCTGGCACCGCTTGCTCCAACCCCCTCCCAGATGTCGCCTTCAAAGCGCAACGTCATTGCGGGGTTGCAGAGCACGACACCGTGGTCAGCAGCCAATCTGGATGCCATCTTTGGCACTCCCAAGGTAGGGGCAGACAAGGAGAATGGCATGGAACGGCTGCTCAAACAAGGCAAGGAGTTGAGCAGCCCTGAGAAACAAATGACGGTGGAAGAGTGGATCCAGTTTAACGCAGGGGAGGCAGAGAAGAAGCTCAAGCATGAATGTGAGCAGATGGTGAATCTGTTCGAGAATGAGGGTACAAGAGCCATGAATGTGCTCGAAAGCCTGTCGGTTGAGTAAACGCATACACGATGACAACTGAGGTTATGGGTAAAGACTTTGTTTCTAGGCATTGATTGAGCGGGCATGGTTTTGCACAGTGGTACACTGTGTGGCATTTTGGATTGTCGTGCAAGCTGGGATACGCGTTTCATTTACAAAACCGGAGTACGGGATATGTTGATAACTGGAAATACATTTTTGATTTGGGCTCATGAGTAATGATGGTCTGTGATGTAACCGTGCCGAGACAGTGGCAGGCAATAGCGGAATGCTAGCCACGTCGTGGCTTATTATTATCATGGACTTGGACTTGGGCTTGCGTCGCGTGCCCGATGGCATGGAAGCGGCATGGAAGCGGCACGGATGTTGAGACCCAGGCACCACCATTATTTGCGAGGCCATGTGCGTGCATATTGATTGATTGATATCCGTTGAGCTGACGCCGATCAAGGCAAGAGGAACCTTTGTTTCGACGACGTCCCGCTGACGCAACGCCTTCCAAGCAAGCCTCTTACATCAAAGTTCATGCCCGCGCGCTCCTTCTACAAGGGCCCATGATTTTCTTTCACAGCCTGGCCTCCGCCAAGCGATCGTCGGCCGCTCGCGCCTCCAGCTCAGAAACGAGCCAGCGAGCCAGAACATATTCGTAACTAGCGCAGAAGCTTGGCTGGAGAGCTCGCCCCAGTGATCGAACTGCGGGGGAGGAGACAAGAAGCGAACAACAAGGCAAAAGGGGAAATAAATGGAGGGACCAACGTTCCAGCCCCAGAAATTGGGCAGCTGACCATGAGGTTGAGATGGAGGCGGGGGGAGGCTTGTTACTGGAGGGGGGAGGTTCTTTGGTGGTGGTGGGTGGTGGTGGTGGTGGTGGCGGGGATTGGATCCGGATAACAAGGGGGTGACGAAAGTGTATCTCGTAGGTAGGTTGAATACCTCTGATAAGCATTTTCAAGATGTAAAATAAATAGTAAAAATACAACTGAAAAGTGGTGATTGCTTATCGGGCTTTCATGAATGATCGCTGCTGAACTCATATGCAACTCATATTGTTTGTTGAATTTTCTTGGCTGGTTCATATCTGCTGTGAGTTGCCATCTACATACATCGTTTTCTACAAAAGTACACGTCGATTTTCTGTCGTCACATCAGCATACCGCAACACTAGGCGGCGCGAGAGGCAAACTTGGAGCCTGTCGCCGTGATGGTGGACGGAGCCGAGATCTCATTCGCTAGCCTGGCTGATCCCGTCTTGAGTCTATCACATCCTAGCTTCGGCAGTTGCTCTGCCCGCATCCACGGAGCCCTCTGCCGAATATATTGGAGCTCAGACCACGCAACCCCGATGGAGGGGGAGGGTGGGCTGCCCGTATCGTGCGAGAGCCCGTCCGGGTGGTCCGAGTCCATATTCTTGTTTGATGCGATGTGATGGCAAGTTGGAGTAAGAAGCGGGGTACACACATCTACTTGACGAAAGCGTGCATGACTTGCTTGTTAACTGAATCGTGAGGTGTACCAGCCGTTTTCTTTGAAGGGGCAAGGGCGAACAAACCACGAGGGCGAAAAAAAGTATATAACTACCCGAGTGGCCGCCTCGTCTCTAGCACTCGATTCTTGATCTTGCTCAAACGAGGAGAAGCGCTCCGGTCTCGACCCCCCCTCATCATCTCTCGGGATGGTCTGGGGGGAATCGAGACTGAGTTGTCGCGGACCTCATTGCATTGTCTTTTCAGCCTTGCTAGCATTTACTTGCTTTTTGAGAAGCATCGCTTTATTACGACTTCATTACAACAACAACCCCTCCCACACGGAATTCATTATCAAAGCACACTCCCAGAAAAATCCAGACAAAAATCAAGAAAGACACACAAAAAAAGGGTTGAGTTCGGTTCGGCTTTTTCATCTTCGTTGACCGTTTTTCATCTTGTCTTCCCTTCTGTCTTCCTCTTTTATATCACGCCACCAAAAAAACTACATATGGTCTTCTACAACGATCAAGATTTTTAAAAATCGATAAAAAAAAGTCCTATTCTTTCTCTTCCCCCCTCACTTCCTTCCTTGCAACAAGAAGCGGCGTTCTTCTCTTTACAACATCGCAATGCTTCGGCGGTCACTTGTCCAACGAAAACCTCTTTTTCTTGCCTCGCGCCCTAGCTTACCCTACGCAACAACCTCACCGAAAACTCGTTCTGTTCGTTTTCGAGGGGCGACAGGGCGGCGAACGCTTTAACGCCTGAATACGGTCTTTTCTGCCAAGATGTTCAGAAATCGAGGAGACTGCTTTTCGTTTTGCTCTTCACGGAATCCAGAAGCAAAAAGATATTAATGCCCACCCACTCCTTTTTCCCTTACACCCCTTACAATGGCGTTGATTTGGCAAATGTTGCTTTGCTACTTCGAGTTTTACGATTTACCGGGATGCGCGACTCTTTATGACGAAAATCTTACGAAAATGACGCGAAAAAATGACGGTTTTTAATGGTGATGATTGTTCTTTGGGGTGGAAATAGGTTTCTTTCTACATACTGTACTTTTATTCACATTTTTTCGTTGTCGATGGGAGATGTTTGGTTGTACTTACTATGTTACTTTTGTACTGCAGTGTTCTCAGTGTAACGGCTTCAACAAGATTGGATTATTTTTTTAATCTCCTTTTTCCACATCCAAGTGACTGCAATGCGTTGAGTATTTACCGTCAGCTTGGTGCAGAGTAGCTCTCCCTCGTGTCAAGGTATGGTCTGTTTTAAAAAAATGGTCTGTTATATAAAGTAGTAACATTGTTTAAATATTCAGCCTAAATCTGCAAGCTACTGTACTTGGTCATTATTGCGTGTAATTTCGAATCGAATAACCTGGAGGCGCCGCGGCGCATCTCGGTTCTTGTCCTCCTCATTAATCATCTCGTCCGTTCCCGCAACAAATCTAAATAAGAAGAGCAACAATCATGGCTGAAATTGATGCTCGGAATACACTGCCTAGGCCGAAGCGGATAGAGGCGCCGCCGACGACAATCACGGCCGGCGTCGTCGCGCCCGGTGTAGCCGTGGCCGTGATGGCGACGGAAGTAGTCTTGCGGCCTGCAGAGCTACCGGCACCTGTAGAGCTGCCGGCACCTGTAGAGCTGCCAGCACCTGTAGAGCTGCCGGCACCTGCAGAGCTGCCGGCACCTGCGGATTTGCTGGCACTTGCGGATTTGCTGGCACCTGCGGAGCTGCCGGCACCAGTGCGCGTATCCTGATTCGGCTCAGAGCCAGCAGATGTCGTATGCTGGCCCGGTTCGGCCGAGGAAGCACCACTAGCCTTGGCCGAGGCGTCCGACTTGCCCGTCGCGTCCGACTTGCCCGTCGCGTCCGACTTGCCCGTCACGTCCGACGGCTGGCCTCGCGTCGTGCTCGGTGGCTGGGTTTGCGCCGCCGGCGCCTGCGAGGTGGTGCTAGACGGCGGGTTAAAGGTTCCCGAGCTCGCGCCGAGCTGCGTGGTCGTCTTCTGCGGCGCAACTGCGGACTCTGGGCCCGGTGGCGAGCTGCTTCCACCCGGCGGGACGACCGTCGTTCTATTCACCGGCTTCGAGGGGCTGCCGTTGCAAAATTCGAGATACTGCTTAAAGTTTAAGCTTAGGTAGCCCTCAAGCCCCATCTTGCCTTGCGCATTGACGCATTGCTGACACAGCGCCAGCTCGAGCTGAAATTTCGACCCTGTCCGACATAGCTCATCTGTCTTGCCTGCTGCTTCGGCGGCCACGTTCGCGTTGCTGCACACGTCGAAGCACAGCCCCCCGAGAAGCCTTTTCCTTAGTGCGTTGTTGCCAGGTCCGGAGCCAGTACCGGCACCGGCACCACCATCGGGATCGCTATCAAAATCGCCATCGGTCTTGCTGCCATCGGGGTAGCCACCGGTATTGTTGCTAGGCTTGGCGCCGTATTGTGGGTTCGTAAACACTTCGCGCGTGAGGTTGAACTCGATTGGGTCCAGCATAAAGTATCCCTTCGGCGGTGGGTAATACTTTGGGCCAAAGGGCTTCCAATGGACCAGGGTGAAGGGAGGCGTGGCTATGCAGTCCCTGGGGAAGCACCGGAAGTCGTCGGACGGCGGGCCGGACCACATGTTGCACCCATCGGGCATTTGCGGCGAGCAGACAGTGCCGGGTCTGCAACCAAAGGTGAGGTTAGACTTCGGGTCCAGCGGCGCGTACAGCCCGGTCGGCTGAGGACAAACCGTCACGGAGGTGGTTGAAGGCTTCGCTGTGACAGTACTAGCGGGTTGAGTCACGGTGCTGGCCGGCTGCGTCACGGTGCTGGCCGGCTGCGTCACGGTACTGACCGGCTGCGTTACGGTACCGCCTGGCTGCGTTACAGTACTGCCTGGCTGCGTCACGGTACTGCCTGGCTGCGTCACGGTACTGCCTGGCTGCGACACGGTGCTCGCGGGCTGCGTCACGGTACTAGCGGGCTGCGTCACGGTTGTGTATGAGACGACGGGATAGCTGGTGGTGATGGTGGTGACGATGGTCTCGGTGGTGGTTACCTTACTCGTTACCGTCACATCATGCTCAGAGGTCACGGTGACCGGATACATTGATGTCCGTGTGATGGTAGCCGTGTATGTCGTTGGTACCCACTGGGTGATTGTCTGGTTCCGGATATCCGTCACCGTCTTAGTACCTGTCACTGTCGTGGGCACGAGTGACACAGTAGGGACAAGAACCGTCGTTGTGGACGTTTCAGTCTTCCATTCCGTGGTTGTTACAGTCTCACATTCAGGGGCCGGTTCCTCGGGGGGTGTTCGCTTTCCCTTGTAGCCGGTCGTCGTAGGCGATACAGGTGGTTTCTTGGTGCAGCTGTCTATGGGTTAGCAGGGGCGTGTGATAAGAGAGGCGAAAGAGGCATACTTGATCTTTTGGGTAACTGTCACGGGATAGGACTGGGAAAACGTCAGCAAGAAAGGCGCAGACTCGAATATGTTTGTGTCACTGACGGTGGTGAATGTAGACACTGACGTCTTGGTCACAAACTCGGTCGTGTGCTGGATCTCTGTAGATACGTCGTGCTCTATGGCGGTTGTATAGAACTGCAAGTCTGATTAGCCTAGCTCGCTGTACATAAGCATAGATTGCTCTCGTACAGTTTCCGTTTCCGTAACACTATTCACAGATCAGCTATCCGATTCGCACAACAAGGATATTTCTGCTCTTACTAGTAGGTTTCCTTGATGGTCGTCTGGTGCACCGTATCTCGGCAACAAGACGGGCACATCGCCATCTTTATCGAATTGTCCTTCACAACCATGACGTTCCTCGGGACGAGCAAGTTGACGGCGTTGGCAGACACGAGCCCCGCGACATGGGCCGCCGCAAGCACGAGGGACGTCTTCATGATGGCTGCACTTTTACCCGCGAACTTACAGCTGCCCAGTGAGTGCGTTACCGAGGGACACAAGACCAACTGACTGCGAAATCGGATGGGTGAAGCCGAGTCTTTGTAGTCGTTGAAATTATTCACAGTAACTAGTTAGTTGCCAGCCTGCGGGGGCGTTGGCCGGCCGGCAGCAGGCAAAAAAAAAAAAAATGAAACCGAGGAAATTGTTCAAATCTCTTAACTGGTGAGGCTGCCCTCCAAGGCGTCCCATCCATGCAGGCAGTGGACTTTGTCGCACTTTGTTGCTGGATGTGAGTGTACATGGCGAGCGCCCGCAGACATGTTCCACAAGATTTGGCGTATGCAGACCGTCGTAATCAACACCTTCAGGTCTTATTAGTTAAAAAAAAATATAAGACATGCACGTTGAGGCTTGCACATGGAGGATTGGGCTGCGAGGGAGGTGAGGCTGCTGCAACCATGCAAGACCTGGGGGTTGCTGTGAGCTGTGATGCTCCAAGGACGGGTCGTAGACGTCCATCCTGATCCGCAGGTTGCCCTTCAACTGAATACGCGGGCTCAGATGGCGCGAGCACCTCTCGACTGTTGCTTGAAAGAAGGAGGAAGTTCCCGAGATAATATGGCGGAGGGGACTTCTTTGCGCAGCCGCAACCAGGCGACTGTTGACTGTTTACCGCTGGTGCCGCTGTAACCATCCCATAACTCCCTCTCATATCATAACTAATGTCAATGTTGTGGCAAACTGCAGGTCTCAGGCATGACGCACGGACAGCAAACAAATCGACCCTCTCGCGGGCCGCAGTAGCCTCCTGATTGGCCGCTGTGGCTTGTCCGAAGTTGAATATCAAGCCACTGTTGCAGAAGTTATGTACGTTGGGCCTTGAACCCTGCAAAAGAAACACAGGTATAATAAATGCTGACGGATACGAGCGCCGCGCACTAGTTAGGTAGTTTTTGGCTTGGCATTCAGCCGAAACGTGCTGAGTAAGGATACCCGAGTTGAATGCAGTGACTCAATTAACTATAATTCGCATGCTAGAAACAGTGGGTGTTGAATCTCAGTGGCGGTGTTGAACCCCCAGTTGCGCGTGAGGATGTTGAAGTCTTTACGCCTTCGGTGTTGCAACCGGTTCAAATTTAGAGTTGCTCAAGTAAAATGACTTATATGTGTATTGGGCCGTGAGTACAGGCTGGGCATGTTAGTAGTCGTCTCCACGACTAATAACTTCCTTGTACGGTTCTCGAAGTAGAATGGTCTGGATTCGATTAAGCTTTGGTTGTACGAGAGGGTAATCTCCAAGCACTTACATGTTCGAACTGGGCAGAATAGGAGCCAGCGATGTCAACCAACGGAGCATATGCTTCCAAGATGCCGTTTTCGACAAGGCAATTGAGCTGCGGAGGGTTAGTATGTTGCAAGTATTGTTTGAGAGACGATGTCTTACCCCAGCCACGTAGCGATCGACTCCAAGGCGTTCTAGGTATCGGCGCGCAAAGACCAGCGTACCAAAGTTCTCCTTGATAGTCTTAAAAACACGATTGGCCGAGCTTAGGGGAAAATTTACACGCGGTGGTGCGTCATCGTTCAGCCCGTATCCGTAGATGCCATTCTGCAGCAACGTTAGCCACAGCCATCGAAAATCAAGCATATTTGAGAGGCGCACGCACCTCCTCGCGGGTGTATCCGCGGCCCGTTGATCCGAATGTCTCAATCGCGAAGACTTCGCCCTCCTCCATCTTCGTTTCATCCGAGTGTTTGGTAAATGGAATCATCTTTTCGCCGTGGATGTGGTAATGCTTGATGTCGTGCCCACAGAGATTGCGCACTGGCTTCACGGGGTAAACCTTGCCGCGAATCTCGACTTCGTAGCTCTCCATAGTCTCCTGGATGGCGGCGCTGACATCACAGATGCGCACGTCGATGCCAGCGGTCTCGAAGAAAGGCCTGTTAGCAGGGCATGTACTTGGCCAATGTGCCAGTCCTTCTTACCTGTATACCGGTATTGGTGGCGTCCTTGACAGCGGCTAACAGGTTGTCATACGTCGGATTAAACGACATGGTAAAAGCACTGTCGACGATCCAGCCGTTGATTTGTACGCCAAAGTCGACCTTCATGACGTCGTCATACTGAAGAACGGTGTCTTTTCGCCCGGGATTGGGCGTATAGTGAGCCACGCAGTTGTTCAGTGACAGGCCTGTCGGGAAGCCTAAGCCGGACCGGAGGGACATCCCTGGCTCTAGGCCTTGGTTTCCCAAGAGTGCCCTGACGCCATCCTCGATGCCGACGGCAATCTCGGTCAGTGTGTGGCCTGGCTTGACGGTGTCTTGAACCCAGCGCCTGACCTGGCGATGTACCTCGGCTGATTTCCTGTAGTTGTTGAGAAATTCAGCATCCTCCAGGTTGGGCCACCTTCCCCGGCGCAGCTCCACGGCCTTGGCTCGCAGAGTCGTGTCTAGCGGTGCGTTGTAGTTCATGAGCTGGCCGGGCTTAAACTCTCCCGACGTCACCAATCCATCCAGCGGAATCCGAGGTGGCGACGACTGCTTGGATGCTGCGGACGCCTTCTTCTTCTTGGCTCGCTTACGTTTCTTCTTGATGTTTGTATCCGGGGCAGCAGTTGGGGTTAGCGCGGCGGTGGAAGCCGCGGCTTTTGCCTCGGCATCATCGTCATTGTCTTCATCGCATCCGTCGCTTCCCATGCACCCGTCACCATCCCGAGAGATGTGGTTTCCGCGCGGTTCGCCGCCAACGGCGTTGGACCCGTTTGAAGGCGGTGCGTCTTGGTGATGTTAGTTAGTTTTATGGGCAATAGACTGGCTGTGGCTGTTTGAGTATGGAATTGAGCGTACCTTGCCTTCCGGGATCCTCATCTTCCAGAGTTTTGGAGCCCATGCTTGCATAACCAAAGGCGTGGGTTTTGTTTGTTCAGTTGACCCGGGGTTGCAGGTGGGAGATTTTCGGGGTAAGCTTGGCCCGGAGATATTCCCCACATGAGGCTATCCGATTGTAACTGTTTTGGAGGCGAGTGAAACTGGGACAAAATTGAAAAAGAAAAGAGATACCAGTTGGAAGAAAAAAAAAATTCTCAAATTTAAAGCTGCATATCTCTAATCCGTACTTTGTCCACTGTCTGTGCTGTTCTCTGTTCCTATACTCAGTTGAATTGACGATGGTAGTGGCTTCATCTATTGGAAATCCCTTCACAATGACAACCGGAATACTCGACCGTTCCACACACCCCCTGATTTTGGCCGTTCAAAAGAAAAATCACCAATCGGAGTAAATCCCAAATTCTCATAATATCTGCATTCATTAGCACAAAATACGTCCTATCAGCTTTCTTCCACTCACTTCACCAGTCCCAGCGTCCCACCAACCCAGCAGTCCAAGTAAATGGCCTTCATGCCTCGATCTCGAGCATATTGCTTTGCGTACTCGATTTGCGCAGCTCCAGCTCCCTTTGCTCGCTTCCCAGCACGAACATCTGAGATGACAAAGACAATGCCCAAAAAGCCGCCCTCAAAGGACTTGGCTTCTTCTAGATACGGCCGCAAGTCCTCCATCTCGGAAAAGTAATCGCCCAGGTCGTTTTCCGCGAGTTCCAGGTTGCCGACTGGGAGCCAGGATCTCCCATCGGCATCGACGCGACGCGGCAAACCGTCCTCGACATTCGCATCCTCTACCTCGGCGATAAATGTCCGCTTTGCTTTGCCTTCCCCAGTCAGGCGATACTTCTCAGACTTCTGAAGATCTTCTTCCACATCTTCGCGGTATCCGTCCTTGTCTGAGAATAACTTTGAGCCCCATTGTTCGCCGTTGCCATTGCGCGCGAGGTGCACGACGGACGCGTCCATAGAGCCCATGATGGCATCTAAATCAATTGGTGAGGTCCCCCCATCGCGAATGAAAAATCTCCAGATCTGAGACATCTTGATATCAATTCTCTATTGTTAAATTGAGGTTATTCGTGCCGCGCCAGGGTTAATCATCACTAGGTTAGCGGCTTATAGCTTCTGTCCTACACCCATACAGTATGTACACTAGCTACGGAGTACGTATAACTCAAGCCTGATGTGACTCACTAGACGGAATCTCAGCTGCATCATCATCCTGCAGATGTCAAAGGTCTCTAAAGTTGATTTTAAATTGGGTAGCATTCAACGAGGCTGTGCGGGGCTTGGCCCATGACCCGAGACCTCCCTCCATCCATGTATGGCAGCCATGCTGCCTGCTTTCAGCGTTGCTGTGTTAATGAGTATTTTGTATGGGAAGCCTGAAACTCAAGTCTTGATACTCCCAAACTCGCCGACTGAGCCCTACTTTGAGGAGCGACACAATGATGCCCAGCCCAACACGCCTTGGCGAAGCTCTCACACAACTAACTAGGCAAAACACGCCTACAGCAGGGTAAAGCAAGCTGTCCACTTTCGGCCAGAAATCGACAAGTACTCCCTAAAGTTTCCTCAAGCGGCATTTTAAGTCCAAGATCCCACGGTTGTGTGTGGAAGGCTGTTGCGGGCGCTGCGCTATGCAGCTCTGCAGTCCCCCCTCATATTGCTTTGTTTGCTCAAGCCACATCCCAGCCTGTTGCAGAACCAGATGGCTAGGAATACAGACTAATAAATCGACTGTTGCTGACGTGACTTGCCGCCTGAGACATATTGGGAGACCTGTCCACTGGGCACTTCGTTGAAGAAAAACGGTGTGGTTGCCTTTCATGTTGTCGGAATTTTTGAAGCTCCCCATCTCTTGCTTTTGCGAATTTTCATATGAATTCTCCGGTATAATTCAGCGGTATTTCCTGTGCTTACTTCGGAGCTTGGATCCAACTATCCATGTGAAAGCCGGCTTGGTTTATCGGACATATAAACAACCGGCTGGAGAAGCTACTCCAGACGCCGAAAGGGCGACCGGTCGCCGTCTATCACCATGAAGTCAATATTACTGAGGCATTTAATAATCTCATTTGGGGTTGCCTCTGCACAATTTACCAACTGGACTCCCGACCAGATCAATACAACCATCTGTACCTGGAACCAACCACGGGGTACGAGAATACCATAACCGTATCTACACGCAACAACAAAAGCTTACAAGTCCAACAGCAGCCTTGGTGCGCAACAAAATTTATGTCGATGGGGGTTCAGTATGGTGGACTCCAGGATTAAAAAACGGAACAAACGGCCCAGTAGCCAATAAAGGTAAGTTCATCAAGCCAACCAGTAAAGCAGACGAGACACCATTTGCTTACGCTGTGGTGCGAACCCCCTTCAGGAAACCTTCAGGGGATCATAATGTCGTATGATCTGAGCAAGTCGTTTAATCGCGACACAAATGTGACGGGAATCCTCTTGGACGGGAAAATGTCAAAGGCTCGAGGCGGCACCGGCAACGCCAACGGTGACGCACCCGTATACTTTGATGGTGCCCTTCTCGCCAACGATAACGAGTTCTTCCTCTACGGCGGAGCAGTACTTGCAGCCGAACCAGTATATGATCCACCCCCGGCCAATGAAGTTCTAGAGTACCAAGCATATTCTGACCTGGCCGAGGCGCCGCCTCTGTGGAAGCCCAGCTTCAGCAACAGACGGCTGCCGGACGGCGTGACAAGATATGCCGTCTATGGCGGTGCTGCCAACGCCCCTTCGGAGAACAAGGCGTGGTATTTCTCTGGTTTGACAGCTCCCGCTAGAGGTCCTTTCTTCTGGAATCCGACAAACGATTCCGAGACAGCGACTATTCCATCAGACACGCTCATCACATTGGATATGGCGAGCCAACTGAGGGAAAAGTGGACAAATTCTACTTTACCCAGCTACATAAAGGGAAGGGCAAATCCGGAGCTCGTATGGGTTCCTGTCGGGGAACAAGGCATCCTGGTTGTTCTTGGTGGTGCAACATACCCCGAATTCGCGAGCATTTTTCACACCTCCTCGAACGCAACCCTCAGTGTAAGTCGTAGTAAGATGGCGTGACTCCGGAGTGATAATTAACGAGGCGAAGGAGAAAGAAAGTCCTGTATTCATGAGCACGATTGACATATACGACGTCGCGAACAACACCTGGTATCAGCAACCGACCACTGGAGGCCCTGGCACGAGAACGCGAGGCTGTGCCGTTGTCGCCCCGGCCGCTGATCGATCGAGCTTCAACATATACTACTACGGTGGCTTTGATGGGATACACGCAAGCAAGGACTATTACGATGACGTCTGGGTCCTGTCGCTGCCTTCATTCACATGGACCAAGATCAGCGACGGCAAGCCAAGCCACGGGCGAGCCGGCCACAAGTGCTTCCTGCCCTACCCCGATCAGATGATGGTCGTTGGCGGCTACACGGCTTTTAAGAGCGACACTCTGGACTGCCTGGAGGGCGGGCCCATCGCCCTGCTGAACATCACCAGCGGCGAGTGGATGGACGGCTACGATCCCGCAAAGTACGGAGCATATGGCGTTCCGAGCAAGGTGCAGGCGGCCATTGGCGGTAATGGCGGCGGACATGCAACGGCGACAACACCCGCACCGTCGGGATGGGCGACACCGGCGCTCGGCAAGGTATTCGCCACGCAGTATGACTTCAGCAAGATCAAGATGAACTGGCCCTACAAGTCATCCAGGGACGCCAACGAGACGCAAACTCCAGTGCCGCAGCCAGCGCCGCTAAGCAATCAGTCCAAAGGCATGCCCAGCTGGATAGCGCCGGTACTGGGCGTCGTGCTCGGCCTCGTCGTGCTTACTGGCAGCCTTCTTGTCTTCTGCATCTGGCGACGCCGTCTCGCGACTCGCGAACGGCCCGACACGCCGGCCTCGCACGAAGAGATATCTGAACGGCTCTTCTACTGGGTCAAGGGCCACCCGCAGCGCAAGCCGACCGTCGCGTCGACACACTCCTGCTGCCCGGCGACGGAGACCGCGCGCACCTCTCCTACCCAGGATCAGGACCAGGAGCCAAGGCACGAGACAACAGATACACCTGTGTCTGCCCTTGAGCCTTCGACAGGGTGCCACGAGATGGAAAACACGCAGATTGCCGAACTCGAAGGTAAGTTCCACAGACAACTACCGCCCATCCCCCTACCTCTCACCCTTTCTGTTCCTGACCACTTTTCTCCAGACACGTCGCCACCGGTGGAACTCCACGGCATGGGCGTCACTGCTACCGATGTCGCTTTACGAAAGGCCGGCTTCAAACCGACCTTGACGAGATTTGGCTCCGTTCGCTCGCACGGGTCCGTCGAGGCCGAATCCCCCGTCGCGGTGAGCAGCATGAGCGGCGGCGGTAGTGAGAGGACGCCCAACTCGCCGATTCACGGGGGGCGCTGGCACGCGCGGAAGTTGTCGGCGATCTCCTCCGTCAGCTTCGAGAGCGGTGAAGGCACTAACGAGCCCTCGATTGACGGCCTTGTCAGCCCTATTGGGCCGACTAACCATTCCGATGAGGACTTTGCGGCGAGGGTGAGTCCTCTAAAGAATGTCATGAACAAAAACGATAGCCGACGGGATCCGAATAAGCAAGGTTTGAATGAACTCGATGAATAGCATTGACGCGGCATCATGTTTGTTTTTCCTATGTACAATAATGTGAGAATGTGTTGTGCCGTCTTTCTAGGCCGATTTTGCCAATTTGTCATGTGTGTTTTCTCTATCCAACTCCTAATGCAATTTTATCGCCTACGGTTAAACTTCAGTGATGTCTTCTTCTTCGTCTGCGAGTTCCGTCATTCTCTTCTGGTCAGGCACTTGGCCCTCGCCTTCCTCGTCACGCATGAGGACCTGAACCAGTCTATCACAGGCCGCCTGGACCTCCTCATCGTTGACCCGGTTGTGTGTCTCACGCACGACGGGGTAAACGTTGACGTCACGAAGGTATTTGCGCCCCGGTCGCGTTGTTGTGAGTAGCAGAAGAGTCTCAAGATGTGTCTGGATAATGGTGTTGTCCGAGTCGCGCTTCTTGTCGGGCGGCAGCAGCTGCAGGTCGGGAAGCATGTCCATGGTCTCGTCGACATCGTATTCCTCGTTCCCGGTAATTGGAAGCAAGATGTATGGGAGAATATCGATGCCTTCGGTAGAAAGGAACGAAGGGTGTGAGTCAACGTCGAAGGCGACGTTCTTGAGCGTGCTGGCGACACCTTTGCGGCGAATATCCGACTCATGCTCGGTGAATACCTTGAGCTTGGTGATGGGGATAACTTTATCGAAAGCTTGCTCAGTGACAAAGTACTTGCGGATATTGTCATGTTTGGACAAATCAGCAAAAACATAGGCGAGATAGTCAAAGTCGGCCTTGGGATTGTAGGAGCCAGCTTGACCCTTGACGAAGAGATCCATGAGCTGGTTCAGGATGCAGTCATCGGAGTTTAACTCTTTGGGGGGCTCTTGCTTTTTATCCATTATCCGCTTGAGACTGTCCGATTTCGTCATGTTGGCCAAGACCATAGTGAGAAGGTTGGCATTCTCTTCCTTGGGCCCCTGTATAGTGAGTGATGTTAGCTAACGAAGGACCAAGTCTCTACACTGCGTTCAAACATACCACAATAAACGACAAGACCAAGTCCAAGAATTTATCGTCCGATGCTAAGCATTCCAGAACATCTGGGTCGCCTGACAGGTTTATCAAGCAGCTCAATGCATGCTCTGCGACTGTCTGTAAGGATTGTGAGCAACGCCTGCCGTTTACATGCAGCCAATGTCACATACATGATGGTCGTTTAGCAGAACTTTGAGGTTCTTGATCGGCCTCATGTCCTCCACTTTGAAGATGCTGGGATCTGAGAGTGAATATGGAACCAGATTCTCAGTGGCAAGTAGCCTGATCTGAGGGTTCTGATGGGTGATGAAGCCCACGAGCTGAGAATTGATTAGCATTAGCATGAGAACTGCAAGTGGGAGGGCTTGGGACGTACTTCTTCGAGCTCGGTAGGCATTTTTGAAATTATTTTTACCAGGGAAGAAAATATGATACTATGCACAGCCTTTTTGGCAAAATAGTATAAAATTCTAGGACGGCCGATGAGTGAGAGCTGTTACAATGATGAAAGATAAATGTTTGGAGGGGCATTTTTGATCTTTTGGTGGGGCAATCAGTGATTTACAGTGAGCAGCAGCGTAGTGACTTCTAGAAGGCTAAGCAGAGATCGCAAAAGCATGCAATTTACGGGACACAACAAAGTAATTCAGCCACAAAATATTAGTAAAAATATTACAGATTGATACTCATACCAAACGCCAATTTTGTACTCGATGTAAAAAATAATTGCGGCCAGAGTATGGCTTCAGCGATCTGTCCGGATACAACATGCCCAAAGGCGGTCAGCACCCAGTCGCCAAATTTGAGGAAGCGCTAAACCTGTTTAGGTAAGAGGGGTGGCAGTACCGCCAGCCAGACACAAAATTTTGAATTTCGGGCGCAACTTTTTGTGAGGGCTGCTTTTGAGGTTCAGCGTCCACCAAGAAGCAAGTCAAACGGAGAAAGAGAGGCTCGTTCCGCCCAAATATAATTTTCAAAAATGCCCAAGGCGACGACCCCTACAGCGAGCCGCGGCTCCCGCCGTCACAACCCCCTCGAGGACGATATTCTTGCCACGGGCATTCTACGTAACAAGCCTAGCAAGAAGGGATCCAAGAATGACGACGATGACGAGGGCCACGAGGGATTTGTCGACTCGAAGGCGTCTAAGAATATTCTCCGCATCGGCCGTGAGCTAGCCGAAGAAGAGAATGCTGAGCGCGCCGGCGCTGTCGCCCCTCCCACAGTTGACAATTTTGGTTACGACTCTCGCTTTGGTGACTTTGACGACGAGGCCAAGGTGTATGGCGATGACGATGAAGCTTGGGGCGACGAGGAGGAAGAGGTAGAGGAAATTGAGGTGGACCCTAATGACTTGGACACATACCGGAAATTCATGCCGGACGAGGAGGACGACCTACTCAAGCACGGTTGGGACCGTCAGCCCACTGGCGACGAACAGATCGAAGAACCCACCAACCTGGCCGACCTCATCCTCCAAAAAATTGCGCAGCACGAAGCTCAGCAGGAGCGTGGCGACGTTGCCCCTCCACCGGATGATTATGAGATCCCCCCCAAGGTTGTCGAAGTCTACACCAAGTAAGTTGAACAAAGGCGAGTGTCCTAGACGACCAAATGCTAATCAGCCGCCTAGGATCGGTGAAATTCTCTCCCGCTACAAGTCCGGTCCCCTGCCCAAGCCTTTCAAGATTCTGCCCACGATCCCCCATTGGGAAGACATTATCGACATTACCAAGCCCGAGAAATGGACGGCGAATGCCACGTACCAAGCGACTCGCATTTTCGTCTCCGCCAAGCCCCACGTCGTCCAGAGATTCCTCGAAATGGTCGTCCTCGAAAAGGTCCGCGAAGATATTTATGAGAACAAGAAGCTCAACGTCCACCTTTTCAACTCTCTCAAGAAGGGTCTCTACAAGCCCTCGGCCTTCTTCAAGGGCTTCCTCTTCCCGCTCGTGGGCAGCGGAACCTGCACCATCCGCGAGGCGCACATCATCTCAGCCGTCCTCGCCAGGGTCTCCATCCCAGTTCTCCACTCCGCCGCGGCCATCAAGGGACTCTGCGACATTGCCGCCCAGGAAGCCTCCCAGAACAGCGAGGGCGGCGGCGCCACCAACCTGTTCCTCAAGACGCTCCTCGAGAAGAAGTACGCGCTGCCCTACCAGGCCATCGACGCCCTCGTCTTCCACTTCCTCCGCTTCCGTAGCGTTGACCCGGCGTCGGTACAAGAGGACGAGGCCATGGCTGGCGTGTCCGGCGACGTGCGGACCAAGCTGCCCGTCATCTGGCACCAGGGACTTCTCGTGTTTGCCCAGCGATACAAAGGTGACATCACTGAAGACCAGCGCGAAGCCCTTCTGGATCTTCTCCTGACACACGGACACTCCGCCATTGGTCCTGAGGTCAGACGAGAACTTCTAGCCGGAAGAGGTCGCGGCGTGCCGTTAGAGCCTCAGGGCGATGCTCTGGATGGTGACGACACCATGCTGATTGATTAGACGATACACATAACTAGCACAGGAAAAGTCATGATTGCATGCATGTTTTGCAGGGTGTTTTGGCGTTTTTTCTCTGGCTCGGGAATTTTCAACATGCGTGCTCTATAGTCCAACGCACACTCAATATATTCTCTTTTTTTCTGTGTACCTGCTCCTTCTTAAAGTAGGTCCCCTCGCCGTTTGCTCCTGCCGCTTTTCCAGCATGCCAGTTGCCTGGAACATCATGGTCCAGAGAGCTCGCTCGGGAATCTCGATATTCACATCATTAATTTCGCCCGTGCCCTACTTACCTAAGAAGTTCCTTCACCCGTGGTCATGATTTTGCGTCTTTTGCAGTCCTCTGCGGTTGATATTTTTGCTTGACGACCGGCGATTTTGTGTCTTTTCGCCGTGTCTTTTGCGTCATTCCTCATCTTCTGGGTCTTGGACGTTGTCCGCAATGACGTCGTCTGTGCTTCATCGGCCATGGTCACCTCATCCGAGCACCTCTGGAGAACCAAAGTATGTCGCAGATCAGGGCTTGGACAAGTCACATTGGTCGTGTGCTGATTGGTGCGATATAGCTATTTCAGTCTTCCAATGCAAGCGTTTTCCGATGCCTCGCCGTTCCTTTTCATGCACATGAATACGCCTACATCGATGGGCATCGACGAGAGTATCAACCCACCCAAATGGAAGCCGATTGGGGCATTCAGTACTGCCACAGACGCAGCTTCGTTAACACCGACGGCTACCACGATGCAGCGTACAGGATCATCGCCCCCCTTTGGCTTTGACCCTCCTCGCCCGCCGCGCGACGGGTACGAGTAGGTCTGGTTTCCCGAAGGCTTCTAGGCAGAGCGACAGCCATCTTTACTGCCAAGGAGGGGTAGCATATCCAGCGCCCGCTTCTGGAAGTGGCGCTCTCGTTCCAACAAGTCGACGAGCGAACACGAGGCAAGAGATATCTCATACGCATCGCCGCTGTCTTCTATGTCTGCAGAGAAGCAGCACCATCTACAGCAGTCATCAAGCCCGTACTTAACCGAGTCGGCTCACGTTCTCTCGCTGCAAAGGCCGGTTCAGTCGTCATCATCACGCCGTGGCAGCCGCGCGCCGCGACTGACACCTGGCTCCACCACTTCTCAGCTCAAGGTGGCTGGTATTACAGTAGATGTCAATATTGAAACTGAGCATGGCCACTCACAAAGGCACGATTCGTCTACATGGCATAAACTCTTTCACCACGCCAAGTTCCGCCTCAAAAAGCATAAATCTGTAAGTACTGCCCCAGAATGCAACTTCAAAATCGAGACTTGTTGATAGTTCCCAGAAAAACTGTCTCGATGAGGAGGTATGTGAAAATTTACAATCATTGCCTGTGGATGGCCACATACATCACGAGAAAGCCAGCCCAGGGTTGGGCAAAACGGGGACTTGGCTGCGGGAAGAATTCGGAAGCGGGAAAAGAACAAAGAAAATATTCGGCCGTGCACCTTGGAACCGAAAGGATTCAATTGCGACTTTTAGCAGCGTTTCTAGCTCTCTCAGAGAAGTACTGCGCGGGGATACGCCGCCAGCATCGCCATTGCTGGTGAATAATGCTCTCTGTGAGTACTTGACACCTTCTTGGGATAAAAACCTCGCCACTAACTCAAGTAGATCTCAATAATAAATGGATGGCAAACACATTTCCAGGCGGTGTATGTCATACAAGATTATTCCCTTCCCCATAAAGCTGACACTGTGTAGGAAGCAGTGCGTGTAAGCACGCCACCGATGGACGAAGATACAGCAGATGGCAAGCCCCGTGGCTTCTTTGGGCCCTTGACGCCTCCAGTTATCGAAACGCCAGGCTCGCAGAGCTGCCTCACTCCTATGGCTTCGTTATTCGCCAGTCCGAAATACAATGCCCATCGCATGAGCATCGCTGTCCCGTCTCGTGAGTGGTGGGAGGGGAAGCCCCCCAAGCCGCCCAGGCATGGAGACACGGGCAGCGCCGTCAATTTTGAGTTCGACGTCCCCGAACATTTGCCCAACAGTCCCATGTGCCCAGCAAATTTGCGCCATAAAAGTGGTGGTACTGGCCTGTGTGTCTATCATGGTCGCAGGAGAGCGTTATCAACTGTTCGCGACGAAGGTCCCAAGAGACATGGATCCAACAGTACCAGCTAAGTTTAGGACCCCCCGAACTATCCACGGGGCGGCCAGGCCAAGGTTGCCCGCAGAAGAGAAGAGCCACTGTTGCTAGCTATAGCTTTGTGGTTCTCATTTCTCTTGCTCGCGCTGGTTAGACGATGGCTATCCGGTATAGCTTGCTTTTCGCTGGTAGGGCGCTGGGGGCCGTTGGGTGCGTTGATATTGGTATTGGGGCTTCTGCAGTACTGGGGAGATTGGGAGCGCAGTAATGAATATGAACGTCGATATGTATTAGTTCCTAGTAGTCTATACTCCTAATAGGTATTTGCAATTAAGTCCTGAATAGTACACTTTTGTCAGACGGTCAAGGATAAACACTCCAGGCGTATTGCTTCTGCAACGTACCCAAGGTTAGACTTGATCACTGCCGTCAACTTTTCGATGCGTGTTACCCGCATGGCTGTATATCGAATGCGGTGACCCTGGCCGTGGTATGGCCCTGGGAGACACGTCCCTAAACGACACCCTCCGCCGTTTCGGAGGCACACTAATGCCCTCTTGCAGGGTATCCGCGGCTGAGAGGTCCGTATTTTCCCTCGTCGGCGGCCAGAAGCGCAGCGCCACTTGCTGGCTATCACCGTCGTCCCGCACCGGATCCCTTTCCTTCCTCCTGCGCGGACGGAACAAGCTTATCACGTTGCGCGCCGTGTCGAGCAGCGACCGACTTCTGCCGCTGCCGCCGCTGCTACCGCGAACGTGAACGAGAACCGTGACGATGAGCCAGCCAAAGAGAACCGTCGGGATGGGCCAGGGGCTGTCGAGGAAGTTGTCCGCCTTGTCGGGGTCGAAGAAAAGTACCGACGTGACGGCGAGGCCGATGCCCAGCAGGGTGCAGATGATGAAGCGCAAGCGCGGGAGGCGGCCAAGTGGTGACATGCGCGACACGAGCGCCATGATGACGAGCAGGACGAGGGTGCAGCCGCAGGCAATGTAAGTGTAAGCAAACTAGGGCACTAATGTTAGCGGGAGGAAGATCTCGAGGTAAGAAAGGGGGAGGGGAGCAAGAGGGAGACATACGACGAGGCGAGAGCGCTGTCTCGTCTTCTCGCTGATGGTGATTTGGTTTTCGGCTAGCTTGATGGGATTGGAATCGCCGTTTTGCTTCAGGCTGACGTCCGTGCTGAGATCAATGTCAAAGGACGAGAAGATGCTGTTGGCCAGCGCCGAGATGATGACGACAAGCTGCTCTACAAAAGTAGAGAATCCTTTTAGTGTTGCCTCATCTGGCTCCGTCTCGTTGCTGCTTGTTAGATAGTATTCAAGGTCTGGCCAGGTCCTGTCTGGGATCGTCGAGATGTTGGCAATGGAGCTATTCACTATGGCGCGCACCATCGAGTCCTGGGGCGGGTATAGGCGAAAAATTTCAGCGGATGCGTTGGCCAGCTCGTTGGCGATGCTACGGCTCGTCTCGTTGACATCACTAACAGGGGTCGTGTCCGGTAGCCAAGCATTGGTGAGGTTATCAACAACGTTGAACGCCTTCACGAAAAGGATGAGCTGCGTATATCCTTGCATGAACAGCACCAGAGACAGGTGAAAAGGGTAGTGCAGGGCTGTCCAGAGTTGCTGTCGAAGGGCAGGCAACTGAAGGTGTCGCATCCAATCAAAGTAGACGAGAAAGACACAGTAGATTGTGGCGGTGGCGGCCGTGATCATACCAATGGTATAGGGATCTGTGATTCACTGTCAGCTTTGGCACTTCCTGCATTTGCGGATACTGCTTACTCCATGCGGATGGTGTCTTGACTATCGTGGCGATATTTTGGGCTACGGTTTGGATGCTCTCACCCAGAATCATGACAGTGATGAGGCTGAGACGCTTCATCAGGTGCGTGCGTGTGAAGCTCAGCGTCCTCCAGTAGTTGGAAACGACAAGGCTCAGTATGGCTTCAGCCGCTGTAAAAACATACCATGTTATGAAAACACGGCTTTGCTTCTCCTCGAAACAGAATGTCACCCCAAGGTATACTGCCGCGCTGATGACGTTGATGGCGATTTGAATGTAGAAGGGTCGCCGTGCGCGCTTGTACTTGAAAATCTGTGCAAGGGTATGTGCGTATTCGATGGCCAAGCAAATTCGGGAGGCGAATAACATGAGAGCTGTGCCGTCCGTCAGTGGATGTTGGCTTGGGTTCCAGAAAGCCAACACACTTACACATTGTCATCATCGTGGGTTCATCTTGATCTTCTGGATCAAAGTTTGGCGCGACAACGGTGAAACCAACAAGCACACCAAGCTGGACGGCTCGCGCTATGCGTTCTACCAGTAGCCGTTAGACGCTAGCAGACTAAGAACGAGTAGCAATACTTACCAAAGATGCTGTCTGTAACATAGCGGACATCATACAGAGTGACCATAAACCAGGTGCCCCAAAGCAAGCTGAAGTAGCCTACATAGGATTTGAAGCGGCGGTGGTTGGTCACCGATTGACTTTGGGCAAAGACGTTGTAGTTTGCTGCGAAGAACAAGTCATACAATATCTCCAGTAGAGTTGGCTCTTCGTACTATCAACATATTAGCGACTGGAGACCAGCTATAAAGCACCTAAGAGTTCGACGCACGCGCTTGAACGGAGGATAGCCGCTGTAATCGTATTCATCCGAGCTAGTCTGTAGAGAGTCTTTGAATGGACTCGGGGGCGGGTGTGATTCAGAAGGTCGTCGTAGCCTATCAGACGCTAATGGGCTCTTGAACCAGCGCGGCTTCTCGGCGGTGACGATGCGAGGTTCTTCGTGGTCCATGTTGACGGCTGAATCAACTGTATCGTCAATGTATTCATGTCCCCTTTCCGCGGGCGCGGGCGACCGAGAGATTGATATGTGGGAGAAGAAGAAGAACGGGAAGGGGATCAGAGGTGAGCGACCGTAGAAAACCATAGAGCCCGACTGGGGAAGAGAAAACTTGTCGGCGCCCACATCCGTCGACCCCGGCGGGCCACGGGACCCGGTTCGCGAAACTTTTAACCTTTAAGCCAAAGGTCTAATCCGTGAAGGTAGGCTCAACAAGACGGCGATCTCCAGCCCACCACCTGGTAATAACTGGGAGCAGCGCTCGGCAGTGGGCGATGGCAGGGCTGATTCGCTAGCTTGGCACGTCACCTTTTCAAGATGTTACCATATTCGGCCGTAGCCGGTCCACCAGCATTATGGCTATAGGGGGCCCATCCTTAGCGATAAAACGAGGCGCAGCTCGCCGCGTCACATCTATTGGCACTATACCGCGGAAATGAGGTTGCTCCCTCCGCTCATAACGATCAAGATCGAGAGTGGCCGGTGGCTCGGTGTTGGTGTTTGGTGGAGGTTGAGCCGTTTGCGAGGCGCTTACCAGCTGGCAGCTGTGATGCAGTCAGCACCGAGTACGAACGTACTGGGAACATCCCTTGCCTTCATATGACTCGCGCATTGGAGCTTTATAGAACTAACTAGTTAGACCAGGCACCGCGGTAAAAGAGACCCTGCGCAGGAGCCAGCATGCATTTTTATGCCGAAGAAATTTTTTGGTTCGCTCTGAAACCCTCCCTACATTGTTCCGCGCGGCAAAAAACGCCTTCACTCGAGACAGGTCAGTGTAGATCACATATGCAAAAACAGCCAAAGTGGTTATCACATTATGTAACAAAGAGTAAACGGGGTCCATAATTCTCTCTTCTATACAGGTGTCTGTGTTTTGAAAATACAAGACGCATACCCCTTTACTCCAGCAACGAGGCTTGGTTAGTGTACAGAACATCAACAACGTTACTCAGCTTGTCAATCGTCGACAGGGCTGCGTCGTAAGACTGATCACGCTGTGTCTCGTCGTAAATGATGAGGCACCCAGCACCCTGGTCCAAAACGCCAATAATGACCTTGTCCAGGATCATCTGCGACAGCTTGCGCTCAACCTGCTGGGTGTCGAGGCCGACCATCTTGGCAATGTGGTCAATTTCCACGCGTGAAAAAGGCTCAATGACCTTGATTAGGTTCTGCTCCAACATGGCATCGTAAAGGCGGCGGAGGTGGTTGCGGATGAAGGCGTCGCTACCAAGCTCGTAGCGGTAGGTAGATAGAGCGCGCTCATACTCCTCCAAAGAGCGGTTGCCGTGGGCGCGTGCGATAGCTTTCATCGCCTCCAGGTTCTGGCCGGCGTACTTGACGGCCTGCTTCGATGTCATGAGCTGGTTGACATCGTCGACGAGGTTCAGCATAATCTTGCAGAGCAACATGTACTGCAGGGCGGCCTGAGCCTTGTGACTTTCGTCCTGGGAGTGGTAGCCGTCCAGGGCCTCGATAAAGTAAGAGAAAGCAGTGTTGAAGTCCTTATCTTCTGCGTGAAGCATACCACTCTGCATATCGAGGTTGGCCTGTAGGAGCGGTGGTGTGTAGACGCTTGCGGCGCTCGTCCGTGCGCTCGTGAGGGCTGCGCGAGCCTTGGGGATGTTGCCGAGGGCGTGGTAGACGCGCGATTCCAGAAGTTGTACCTCGACAAGGCGCAGCTTGTCATCCAGACGTTTCAGCTCGCGGAGCAGACCGTTGATCAGAGTTAGCGCCTCATAGTAGGACTGCTTGGTCATTTGCAGCGCGACCAGGCGGACCTCAAGGTCCTGGCGTTGGAAGGCTCGACGCTCAGCTGTGGCCCATTCGATACAGTCTCTCGTGACGGCGACTTCGATGTCGGTACTGTTGGGGATCTCCTTGAAGAGATCCAAGAGTTGGCGGACTGCGAATGGGGAAGTTTGTTAGAAAAGCAGGGTACTGGCTGTAGGGAGCGAAACATACTCAGCTTTGACGACTTTGCCTTGGCAAACGACGACAGAACCGAGCGACTCTGTCGCACGAGCTCTACCAGCTCTTGTGATTTCCTATTGAGTAAGAATGGCTTGTTAATATCGCGTTACCTTTATAGTTTTTCCGGCGAAGCGATCGTGAACTAACTTCTCATCCTTGTACAGCTCTCCCAAGCTGATTAAAGCTTGTTCGTACTCGCGCGTCGCCGCATCTGACGTCGCCGCAGGAGCCTGAGATACAACCTCCTTGTAAATAGCCTCTGCCTTTCTTGGGTCCGTCTTTAAAAGCTTCTGCGCTTCCTGGACCCGGCTCGAGTCCCCAGCTGCCATTTTGAAGGGTGCGGTTCGGTTTGTGATGTCGGGTTTGCTTCGCAGGCAGAGTCGGAGGCCGGGTGCAGAACCGTTAATAGGCAAGATCTGGATCCGTTTCGTAGAGCGAGCAGTCTATAATATTATTCAGTTTCCCGATTGATGGGTAGAATGGGTGATGGTGAGACGAGAGAGCACCACGGGTGATGAATGGTGAGCTTCTAACTAGGTTGCCATGGCGCGACGTAAGAGCCGCCGCCTCTGGGTTGTGGCTCAATGTCGAGCTTCACCAGCCACCTTTTCAGCGAGGCGGCCGCTGTGGCTCAGCGCGCATCCACTGTGAGTTGCTGGAGCCTTCTACCAGTCCGCGTAAAAACGCTCGGCCAATCATTGATCCGGGAGCCAAGAAATGCATCCCTGCAAGCCTAATTATTCCCCTAAACCGGAGCGAACCGCCAGAGCTATACACATTGAATTTTCTGGTCACATTCGCCGAACGCCATTTTCCCTAACAGCTGCCTTTCTTGCCATTGCCTCGTCAATTCTTGGCTCTGCTTCCTTAATTCATATATATTCCTTATTCACAATGTTGCGCCAAGCTGTCGCCGCTCTCCCTAGATCTCTTCGCGCCGCTGCGCCCAAGGCTTCCGCCAGTCAGCTCCTGGTGCGTCCACAGGCGTACGCTGTCAGCGCACCGGCTCTCAGATCCTTCCAGCCCGCCACGTCAAGATGGTACAGTGAGACTAAGGAGGAGAAAGCTGAGGAGAAGAAGACTGAGGAGGCCAAGGAAGAAAAGGGAGCCTCCGACGAGGTCTCGGAGCTAAAGAAGAGCCTCGAGGCCAAGGACGCCGAGGCACGCGAGTGGAAGGTTTGTCCGCACCCACACGGCCAGCTTCAACAATTGAAACGTACTGACCGCGCATCACCCGCACGCACAGGATAAGTGCATGCGCACCGTCGCCGACTTCCGCAACCTCCAGGACCGCACCCAGCGCGAGGTCAAGACGGCGCGCGACTTTGCCATCCAAAAGTTCGCCAAGGACCTCGTCGACAGCGTCGACAACCTGGACCGCGCCCTGGCCAACGTCCCCGCCGACAAGATTAACGCCCCCGAGAAGAACGACGATATCAAGGAGCTCGTCAACCTCTACGAGGGCCTCAAGATGACCGAGCGCATCCTTATCCAAACGCTGGCCAAGCACGGCCTCGAGCGCCTGGAGCCCGAGGGCGAAAAGTTCAACCCCAACGAGCACGAGGCCACATTTATGACCCCGCAGCCCGACAAAGAGAACAACACCGTCTTCTTCGTCCAGCAAAAGGGCTTCAAGCTCAACGGCCGCATCCTGCGCGCCGCCAAGGTTGGCGTCGTCAAGAACGCCTAATGCGCAGACGGGACAGACTGCCTCGAGAACTCTTCTCTAATAAACCGAGGCTCTACTTCCTAGATGGATGGAGCACTCCGTGTGTACTATTATTACAACGAAAAACTTGGGATACACCTTAGGCCGGCGTTGGGTCAAACACGATGTATTAATGCTCCTCTCATGATGTTGATTCTGGAAAAGATGAAAAAGAAGAAAAGATCGCATGGCGACTGGCGGACGCCTAGGGAGACGAAAAAAAAAAACAATTCGTTTCTCTCTTTTTGTACAAGTAGGAGGATAGAGGGGAAAATCGAGGGGAAACTAGAGGGGAAAAATAGCTGAGGTTATACATGCCCGTTATATTAGAAGCCATCTAGTCTTGGGCGATCATGATCGCATGGAATTGTACCACCATTCATTCCAACTTGTTTAACATTAAACCGTTGCAAGCAAGAATTTCCAAGCCGCTAGGCACCGCCAACACGATCTCATTGCTTTGTAGCCATCGTGCATGTTCCTTTTCATCTCTCGTTCCTAATGCTCTATAGTTTTTCCATCGCCTAGCCAAGGATGAGCTCGTACAGTATAATCAATGTATTTGCGATTATTAACGGCACTGTCAAAACGTTAGCATCTTGCGCGTTCAGCTTCGCACGCGTGATGGATGCGCCTGGCCAACGTACTTCTCATCAACGTCCGTACACTGGCAATGAGGTGTACAATCTTGGCCTGCACGCTCTGCGGCTCCGAAGCCGTGCCGAATCCCGGGTCGTGCGATCCAGGTGACAGGTTTATGCGCGCCAGGAACCGGTCTTCTGACAGAATGGCCACCGCGTTGATCAGCAGGCAGCTAACGTAGAAGAGGTTGCCGAGGAAGAACATGCTCAATCGAATGGTCCCCTCTGCGACCTCAGGTGTGTATGATCAAATTGAAGCTTATTGTCCCCTCTGGTATGCCGCCGTTCGAGCGTCGTTTCCCTGTCAAGTCGCAAAGCACAGGTCGTGGTACAGTCCGCGGATGCCCAAATAGGGGTGGGGCTATCAGCCGTGCTGTCCTGGGTGGTAAGAAACGGAATGAGGAAGCTCGTGGGTCGATAAAAAACTGTAAATTAAGCACGTCCCTGTCACTTCGGAAAAATTCGACGTTGTAGATGCTGTAACTTGGAGTTGTCAAGCAAGCTGAGCTCGTTGGCGGCGGCAGTGCGGCAAGGTACTAAGAGACGTGGTCCCTTCAATCGATAAGGAACCTCTTATCGCACGTGTCATTTTGGTTAGCAGCTGAACGGGGCAATAACTCAGCAAACTTCCCACTTCTTCACGCACTGAAGAGCCAAGTGGGCACTTTTAAAGTAGGCTAATTAGAGCTACGATATCTCGGCTGGGCACAACCCAGCATCTGTGGGGGGCTTCAGGAAACAACAGCGACCTGCACATTGGTTATTGCTCAACCAACGCCAGCTGTTGTGAAGCAGGCACACAGTGCAGATCACTACAGAGTACTGTTAGAGTAAGAATGAAATTTGGTACTGTATTTATTCACAGCACAATAAACTACTATCAAGGGACACTCGTGCAGATCTGATAGAGAACCAAAGAAGAAATAAACATTAAACACGAAACTTCTCTGGTGTATCTCCCTGGGCCCTCCAGTCCGCTGCCTGAAAAGCGGGCAGGGTTTTGAGGTTCGTGTAAATCTCCATAACTCTAGGTGCAAAACCCATATCCATCTTGTAAATGGTAGCCTGATCTATAGCTGGGACCAGACAAACGTCTGCCATGGTGACTGCATCACCCACGGTGAAGCCTCCATCCCCACCATGTGTTTGAAGTAAAGCCTCGTATGCCTTGAAGCCATCGGTAAAGCAAGCCTTGGCAAAGTCGACCTGATCCTCAAGTCGGTCCCGAATAGCTTTCACACGCTTGGCGATGCGCGAATTGGTCGGTGGCTGTACATCGCTGGTAATGATATTCGTAAAGTCGCGAATAAGAGCGCGCTTTTCGGCTTCCGCGCCAATGGGGGGTAACAGCGGATACCTGTCAGGAAAGCGCTCCTCAAAGTACTCTAGAATCGAGACCGACTGCCGAATCACGACCCTGATGCCCTTTGTCTCGTCCGTAATGACAAGTGTTGGAACACTGTGGCTGGGGTTAAGCGACTGCGTGTATTCGAGATCATGCTGCTCTTGGGTGGAGAGATTGACATAAGAAAATGTGAGTGGAATCGATTTCAGATGTGCAGCAATGATAATACGCTGTGCACAAGATGAACAGTAGAAGGAGTGCAGACAGAACGTCTCGGCCGGGTCCATTTTCACGCGTGAAGGATGAGTATGAAGAATGAGCTATATACGTTGTTAAACAATTATAAAAACCCATTAAGGCAGCATTCTTGAATGTTTTTATAGTTGCGTGCGCGCGGTATTTCATCGGGCCGAAGGATGTTTGCTTCACGGCAACACTCCTCCTAACCACTTGTTTTTTTTTATGATATACAGTCAATTGGCTCGTTAGCTCAAGGCCTGCTCTATAATTTCAAGAGCGGGATTTGTTGTTGTATTCGTCCTTCAGGCCGAGTAGCACTTCTTGCGAAAACACCGCATCACTTCACCTGCTGCACCCCCTCTTTTGTTTCTCTCCTTTTCGTTTCTTAAGTTGTAAAAGACAATTGCCATCGAAGACACATGTCAATGTTGCTCAAACGTCTCCCGCTTTGTGGACTTTTTTTCTATCATCTCGGCGACGACCGACTGTCAAAAGTGCAAAGCACAACAGTCTTGTGTCAAGGATGCCAATCGAGGACTGGACATGTGTGTTGCGATCAACAACAAAGTAACATCAAGAGATGTTTACATCACGGTCTCATCGCTCTATGAGCAGGCAGGACAGGGGCTGGCTTGCATTTGGCGCTGGAAGTCTCATGCGAGATTCTCTGATGCTCCGCGGGTAATAATTCCGGTCATTGATTAAGCGCGACGTAACCCATATTCCTAAACAGATACACCATCTATAAAATTGTCTTATGATAACAAAACTCCAAATCCATGCAATCAACACAGTACACCTTACAGTATTATTTCTTCGCTTTGGCTTTGGCCTTTGATTTGGCCTTGGGCTTTTCGTCCTCCTCGTCATCCACCTTTGCTTTTGTTTTCTTGATCGCCTTCTTGGCCTTTGGCTGCTTGATATACTTGTCCTTTTTGAAATCGATCTCGTCGTCATCCTCAGCGGGACCTTCTAATACTTCGGCGTCGTCTTCTTCCTCAATTGCTTCTTCCAGATCAGGCATGTCCTTGGCTGACTTCTTGGGGGCCACAACATTTGTGCTGGCCTTCATAAAGGGCACCGGGTGGCTCATGGCGTTGTAACTGAGCAACAAGTTAGTTATGCATCGAGACAATAGAGCGGATAATACATGCGTTCGCGTAAAAGCTGCCTTGGTTTTGGGCTCAATTTTGACGCTACCTTCATCCATCCATCCGACACCGAGCTCCTGAATGGCATCAAAGTCTTCTCGCGTCAGAAAATATGCGTCCATCAGCTCTATAACCTCTGGCACGGCCTCAGAGCCTTCAACTTGAAGCTTGTCAATGAGCTGCTTCCAAAGGACAGGCAAATATTGCTGGCGGATTTCATTATGGTCGCCGGAGCTTTTCAGGCGCATGTGAGAATGAAGTTCACGGATATACCTTCCAAGTTTTCCACTCTTGCTGAGGTTTCCGAGATATGACGTAAAGTTGGACCCCATAAGCTGCCCTGCGATAAAGCTTGCGGGACGGACAGTGCTAAATATGGCATGCGTTGGCATCAGACTCCAGTGTTGCTGAGGACCATGGATCATGCGGTCGACCAAGTCGCCATCGCTGATGCTTTCAGCGGCTTTATCAAACAGCTCCAGTGTTTTGAGCCGCTCTTCTCGCTTGTTGTAGCCCTTGCCATTGAGTGCCATTGGTTTAGTGCGGAGGTAGTTCTCTTGAATCATGAGGAAGCTGAACTCATGGTCATTGAAGTACAGCTCAATTTTGTCATTGAGAGTAGCTTTGCTAGCTGGCGCAAAAAGCCCACCACTTAGTATCTTTTGACAGATATCCCATGGCTTGAGAACAACGTGCTTCTCCCACGCTTTAGTCATGGCCTTGCCTTGGTCGAAGTTCATGCTCGTTTGATCCAGCTTTGCTGTTGAAATCATGTTGATGATCTGCCTGATATCCTTGTTGCTGCCTTCGATCAAGGCATCAACAACATTTGGCGGCAGTCTCAAACCTTCGCGGTGACAGATCGTCATGATGCGTGATCTCACTTGGTCCACAGTTGGGCGGTTGAACCGAATGTCGAACGCAACGTGGTCGAAAGGCTTCATCTTTGGCAATCGTCGCTCGTTGCAGATCAGAATCAAAGGGACTTCTGTCTTCTTGCAGAACTTGGCCATCGCGCCAACACCTCCTCTATCACCACCAGACATACCGTCAACCTCATCCATGATGAGAACAATCTTCTTTTTTGTAGCGTCAACGCTTTTGCCATCACCGGCGAAGAAGCCACGAAGTGATGTATTGTTCATGACATCACTTACACCGGCTTCCACAAGTTTCTTGCTGCGAGCGTCACTGGCGTTACTTTCGAGGACGTCATAACCTTCCAGCCTGGCAGCCAGGTGAGCAGCGGTCGTCTTGCCGATACCAGGGGGGCCCGAGATAATGATTGCTCGCTCACCGCCCATGCCATCAGCACCGCGCTTCTGGAAATTGTACTTTTTGGCTTTTGGCCAATTCCTTAGCCAGACTTGGATTTTTTCCACTTGGCTTTTGTTGCCGCAAATGTGATTGAGCTGAGTAGGAGCGTATTTGGAGGTGAGAAGAAGGGTAGGGACATTAGAGGGAGGTGGCGGGCGAGCTGCCCCAGGCATACTGGCTGCCGCTTTGGCGGCCTTTACTTCGGCGGCTTTCTTGGCTTTCTCCTCGGCTTCCATCTCAGCAATTTGCAGTTTAATCTTTTCCTCCTCGGCTTTCTTCTTTTCTTGCGCCTTCTGTGCTCCTTTGCCAGATCCTCCGTGAGCAGGAAGCTTCCGAATCAAGTCGAACAAGCCGTTTTCGTCAATGGTTCTGATACCGAAGGATTTAATCTTGGCCAGTTTGCTAGGGCCAGCATCGTCGCCCAATACGACGAAGCTAGTCTTGCTGCTGGGCTGGCCAGTAACTTTGCCACCATATCGCTTCACGAGCGCCTGTCCCTCTTCACGTCCAATTGTCTGCAGAACTCCAGTGAAGACAAAAGATAAGCCAGTCAAGCACTCCTCTTCGCCTTCTGGGATATCTGCGCTGCCTACTGGCTGGGCGGCCGCATTTCCGCCGCCGGCGGCTTTTCGCCAGTCGAATTTTGCATTGGGATCCTTCGGCGGTGGAGTTGGGGGGCGAACCGTGGCAACGCTGTTCAGAATATCTTCAATCGCGGCGTCTTCGGGCTGATCAGCCTTCTTCGCACGAGGAGCACGAGGCTTTGCAGCTGTTGGCTTTTTTCGGGGAAGTACTTCCTCTTCATCACCATCTGAGTCTGGCTCCGGACTCTTTCGCTTCGTGCTCGCTGAAGCAGCACGGCTGGGCTTGGTCTCTTGGGCGGGTTTTCCTCGAGATGCCACACGGGACGGCTGAGGAAGCATGTCTTCATCAGAGTCCTCCTTATAATCATCATCCCCCTTGCCGCGACCCTTGATATCAGCGGCGAAAATATCATCACCATCCTCACCGGCATCTTCCATGTATGCGTCGTCATCATCGTCTTGTGTGCGCCGGTGTGAAGGCCTGGATGTTCGCTTGGGTGCTGGTTTATCATTTGACAGTACTACTGTTTTTGCCACAGTTGCTTTTGATCGTGGGCTGCTCCTTACCGGAACATCTGATTTGGTTGCTGCTGTGGTGGGTTTCTTGGGTGTGGCTTGGTTGGCGGTAGATGCTTTGCTGGTGAAGTATTCGCTTGCTGAAACCTCGACGCCATCCTCTCTGTTACCTCGTCAGCATTACACTTTCAGGTCATTCATAGGACATACTCGGTTTTCTTCTTGGCGGGCTTAGGTTTAGGCTTCGCGGCGGGTTTCTTCCTATTTGCGTGTTAGCATTATAGGTGTATAAGGTGTCGTATGGACTTACTCGACGACCTCATCGTCGTCACTATCTTCGACAACCTTGCGACCAACTTCTATCTCATAGTCAGTATATAAAGGCAGAGGATAGGTTGCCAATGTCGCATACTTCTCCTCTTGTTGTCGGGTTTCTGGCTGGGCGGCTCAGCTTTCACGGAGGCCGCAGCGGCACCACCTTTGGAGGTGAAGAAAGAGCGAATATCAGGCATGGTGAAGAATCTGTAGCACAATACTAGGAGAAGTGCAGCAAGACAAAACGGTCTGCTTTATATGCGCATCAATCGCGGCTCAGCCGACAGCCTTCTTCGTATTGGATTCTAGGCAGAGGTCGGAGCCTGGATCATCGAACTTGGCTTGCAGCTCCACAAGGTGGACGCGAAGCTGACGCGAGGTGCGTGACCTTGCAGCTGCTTAATTGAAGTGGATTCATGCCTGATGCGTCAGGCCACAACAACCTACCATGGTAGACTGAGGCTAAGATTTTTGAAGCTTCAGGAACAGGAGCAATGCGAACTTGAAGCCGGCAATCCTTCCCGCCCAAGATGAACCCCAGCATCCCATCGACGCTGGCCAATGCCTTCAGAGGCTTACAAATTTGCAGTCCATCGCCATTGCGACAAATCCGAAACCCCTTGCTCAGGCAATTGGGAGCTCTGTCCACAGCCTGGGCGCAACAACCAAAAGCGTTCTCGACAACCGCACCCGTTTTTGGAACATGGCTCGAGCCCGATATCAACCGAAAGAAGAAGATGGCCAAGGGCCGTCCTCGTGTGGCCACTGGAGGCTCAACAAAGGGAACCACTGTCATTTGGGGTGACTTTGGCCTTCGCATGACGGACAAGCAACGTCGCATCAGTGCAAAGTCGCTGAAGATGGCAGAAGACACCATCAAAGTACGACTCCGAGGGCAGAAGTATCGGCTTTACAAGCGCAAGTGCTGCAACATCGGTGTCTACGTCAGCGGTAACGAGGTAACAGGTCACCGAAACGGATGTTCTCGACTGCCATGCTAACACCGGATAGATGAGAATGGGAAAGGGTAAAGGTTCCTTTGACCACTGGGCTACGAGAATGGCGGTAAGCCAGGTCTTGTTCGAGGTTCGCGGTCGCATCCACGAGCAGGTTGTCCGAGACGCTTTCCGACTGGCCGGCAACAAGCTGCCAGGTAAGTTTTCGCGCTGATTGCAGCATGTCTAGAGGCCTTATGCTAATCCAACGGAAGGTCAATGGGAATTTGTCAAGAAGGGCGAAGCGCCAGTTGTTGGCATTACCAAGCTCGACGGCGTAACGCTTGAGGAGCTTAAGCGTCCTAGACGCCAAATCCCAACGGCACAGGTCATCGAAGCGGTGGAAACCGCTCCTTCAGTTTCTGAGGCAGGTAACGGTAGCCAACCTCCGGCTTCATCATAAATCAACCGATGTATAATCCGAATATGTATATTATCATGCCACAGGAGAGTGGCCGCAGCGACATGTCTCAAAAGAGTATTGGAAAATGTACAGCATACCATGTACCAAAAAAACTTACAAAATATCGCGAGTAAATTGTATTCTAGTTATCTTCTAGAAATCCGTCTATTGTGACAGGCATTTTGTGTTACGCCGTCTGCAGGACTGGTTAATATGTACCTATGTAGGTATGTTGGTAGGCCAGGCAGCCAGCTCTTGGTGGAGAGCTGCTGGACCAGGGCCGCCGCACTTAACGCGCCAACGCGTCTCTCGTTCTGCAAGGCCAAGAAAAGGACTTTACACTCCTCCATCACCGCGAAGTAATCGGCAACCACAACAGCAATGGCTCTCATTGTCGATAAGCATAGGCCCAGGTCTCTCGATGCGCTAACCTATCACGACGAACTTACAGAACGCCTTCGCTCTCTGGTACGAACGCCTGTTCACAACTCCGCATACCTCAATAGCTTACAAGGCGACAGGCACAAAGCGGCGATTTCCCCCATCTCCTCGTATACGGACCGTCCGGTGCTGGAAAGAAGACTAGAATTGTGGCAACACTAAAGGAGCTTTACGGCCCTGGCGTGGAGAAGATCAAGATTGACTCGCGCGTCTTCCAGACGAGTAGCAATCGCAAGCTCGAGTTCAACATTGTCGCATCAGTCTACCACCAGGAGATCACGCCGTCCGACGTCGGAAACTATGACAGGGTAGTTGTACAAGATCTTCTGAAAGAGGTGGCTCAGACGCAGCAGGTCGACCAGTCGGCCAAACAGCGCTTCAAGGTTGTTGTGATCAACGAGGCCGATCACCTGAGCCGCGATGCGCAAGCGGCGCTCCGTCGCACCATGGAGAAATACTCGCCCAACCTTCGACTCATCCTCCTCGCAAACTCCACCTCAAACATCATCGCCCCGATTCGGTCACGAACGCTGCTGGTCCGAGTGGCGGCACCGTCACACGACCAGATCTGCGACGTGCTTGCGTACGCAGCGAAGAAAGAGAACTGGAGCGTAGTCAAAGGACTGCACCAAAGAATAGCAGTGGAGAGCGGCCGTAACCTGCGCAAGGCTCTCTTGATGTATGAGGCAGTGCATGCGCAAAAGTACGTCCTCCTTTTCAGCTCTGCCCATACTGGGGCTGCGTACAAACTTGTTCTCCGTGGTACTGACTCTCGTTGCAGCGAAAAAGTCACCGACAGCACCCCGATTCCACCTGCAGACTGGGACGCGCTCATTGGGCAGATTGCCAAGGAGATCATGGATGAGCACACGCCCGCTCGAATTCTACAGGTTCGCGCAAAACTGTACGACCTGCTGACCCATTGTATTCCGCCGACAATCATCCTCAAGACGCTCACGTTCAAGTTGTTGGGCATGATTGATGACGATCTGAAGGGCGAGGTGATCCAGTGGTCTGCATTCTACGAGCACCGCATCAAGACGGGGACCAAGGTCATCTTCCACCTGGAGGCATTTGTGGCCAAGTTTATGAGAGTTCTGGAAATGTACTTGATGAGCATGGACATGTGAGCAGAGCATGTAGCGACCAGATAACTCGGCGTTTAGGTGTCTCTGAAAATAGTACGGAAATTTAATATTAACAACGGCTTTCTATTGCCAGGGATGTTACGGCCATCTTCTATTGCTGTATAGAACAGCAGTGACGTCTCTGATCTGCGCGACCTCCAGCATGACGGTTTGGTTTTACTTTTCGTATTGGATAACTTCACTTGGAGGTATTTGATTGAAACGGTATACTGTATGCAGGCTCTATGAGGTGTGCTAGCCATTTCTAGCAGAAGAATCTATACTGAATGTTGCAGCAAATGGCTGCTCGAAAAAAATGCAGGCCTCTTATTCGTCCCAACTACTCGTAGAGCCATTTCCCAGCCTTCACAGGTCACTGAGCCCATACGTGTAGATATCATCAATCGAGACGAATATAACCAATACACTGCCCCCCCGCCCCCTTGTGCTCACAGCATATACCATCTAGACAGAGTTGGCCTCGATCCATTTTTGATATGGGTTAATCTTGGTGAACACGTCGGGATACTCGTTTCCGCATGGAACGCCAAAGGATGTGAGGCCGACCTGGTACGTCTTGTTGTTGCCGTCGACCCAGACGAGAGGCCCGCCCGAGTCGCCCTGGCAGGTCCCCCGGCCGCCCGTTCCCGTGCAGACCTGGTTGTCCGTGATGTTCTTGCCGTCGTACGCGCGGTAGGCATCATTGCACGCGGCGGTGGTGATGGTGCTCAGCTGCACAAAGTGCAGCTCGTCCGGCCTCGTCCGTCCCGGCCAGGTGCTGTAGCCCCAGCCGTAGGCGGTGACGTTGGTGCCGGCGTCGACTTCCTGCCGCGGGAAGGGCGCGACGGTCTGGATGGCGGGGGTGAGGTCGAACGGCGCGGCGAGCTTGAGCAGGGCAATGTCGTTGATGCGCTTGATGGAGTCGAAGTCGGGGTTGGTGATGCCCTGGGAGACGTTGCGTTCGACGCCGCCCGTCTTGACGGAGTGCGAGCCGGCGACGACAGTGAGTGTCCGCGGCACGACGTCCATGAGGCAGTGGCCGGCGGTTAGGACAACGTCCCTGCGGATGAGGGTGCCGCCGCAGTTGTGTGAGCCGTTCTTGCGGATGCTGACGATATAGGGCGCGGCGCCGTCTCCGGCGATCTGGCCGCCGATGATGGCGGGCGCCGAGGAGGCGAGCTGGGCGCCTAACGCAGCAGCGTAGATGGAGAATGAGAGCCTCATTTTTATTCCCTAGGTATTTGACTAAAATGCAGAAAATCAGGGTAATCAGGTTATGGATAGATGGGCGAGGTCGAGCGAGTGACTGATGAGGCTGCTATGAGGATGGAGAGGCGTGCCCAGAACCGAAGCAAAGCGAAGGCGTGGTGTGAAGATGTGCAAAGTGTTCCAGAGAACATGGGTAATATATGTCCCTTTCATCATTCCATCTACAGATCATCAGGGGTTACGGAAACGAATTATGGACCACAAGGGCATCTTATTACTGGGCTGCCAGTGAATTTGACTGTGTGTCTCACGCTGTGCCTTGGTTTCTGTGATCGCCCAAGATGGCTGTGCGCACTCCTGGGTCCTTGCATGACAGCTGAACGGCGCATTCTGGATGTTTGTGAACAATAATAGGTGCTAATTGTCGTTTCAGATTGAGCCGGTTTTTTTATTTCCAATTCGGATGCTCTTTATTATTGGACAGATTCCTCGTATTCTTCCCGGAGCTATGAAGTACAGTTACTCCCGTGGTCCTCTTCCCACGTAGCATCGGGAGAAAAAGGGAGGACGAGAAACCCCACAAATTGTCAGACAGTGTATATCACACAGCAGAAACCATGTTGCCAAATTGATTTGCATATTCAAGGATCTGGTAATATTGCCGTTGCCGAATAAAGAGGTCTTGCGTTTGTTGATCGATGCGACAAAACGGCCGATGCTGAGATAAAGTATGAAAGACAACATTTCTAAAAAGACAAAATATTCATTGATTTCATGCAGTCCTCCGCAGCCTTAATATCTCATTTATTTGGCAGGTTTGCCAAGCGTAAGCAGGCCAAATCGTTTTGCCATCAAGTACAGACGCCAGCGCAGGGGCACAAACATGGCAAGGAACCAAGCGAGCGTGGACTTTGCGCCTGCCCAGAACCGAAGGGGTCGCTTCTTGGACTGGATCATGCGCACAACGGTGCGAGCGTACACGTCGGTTGCCATGGACTCGTCACTGTTGGAGATTTGCGTGCGATTGCGCCAAAACTTCTCAATTGGCATGTACAGCGAGTCCGCGGGCAGGCTTGGGTTCCCTCGAGCTATCCCGTGTTGTTAGCAGGGTGGGCATAGCAAGGCATCGGGAAGGGGCATCTATCATGTCGTACTGATATTACTCTTGACACCACCGGTGACAACCGTCACGACGTCGACACTATCACAGGGTCAGCACTGAACGAAGTCGTACAGGGATCATCGCGACTGAGAAGGGTGAAGGGGGGATTCCGCGGCACGTACCCAAACGGCTTCATCTCCATGCTCAAAGCGTCGCCGTACGCATGAAGCGCCGCCTTCGTGGAGTTGTACGACGACGAAAACGCCAGGGGCACGACCGGCGCGATGCTGCCAATGTTGACCACGCAGCCCTTGGCGGCGATCAACTGCTTCCCAAACGCCTGGACGACGCGCATCGGCCCCAGCACGTTGACGTCGAACACGTGGCGGACGTCGCCGTCAATGTCCGAGTCCAGCGCCGGGCGGTGCTTGACGACCCCAGCATTATTGACGAGCACATCGAGCGTGCCGCCCGTGACGGCGGCAACTTCGGCCGCGGCCGCCTCGACCGACGCCGTATCCGTCACCTCGAGCTTCACGACGGCCATGCCGGGCCGGAGGAGCTCAGTGATGCTGTCGGGGCGCCGCACGGCGCAGAAGACAAAGTAGCCCTGGCGGTGCAGCTCCGTGGCGAGCGCGCCGCCGATGCCCCCAACGCCGGTGCCGGTGATGAGCGCCGTCTTTTGGCCCGGCTGAGGACGCTCGGTGATTTCGGTTGCCATTGCTATAGAAACTCCGATGCAAGTAGAGTCAATTTCCAAGGTGTGTTGGTTAAGTGAGGAAAGTTGTCGTGTTTGATTGCGCCCTTGTTTGCCGTTTGTCTGGGTTGGACGGGAGCAGTTGCTCCTACCTTGGTCCCCTGTCTAGATGCCTCGGCTTGCTAGCAGCCTACCCTACAGCAGGTGTATGTTGCAAAGAACCGTTTTCGCGACGTACCACACTAACTTTTGACAGTCAAACTTTGGTTGTCCATAAAAAGTCTGGTTCTACTTATATACTACTCCCATTAATTCAAATTAGTGGCGTTCAGAGTCTAAAAGGGTAATCCTACATACGTCTGAGCCGGCGTCGGCGCTTAGCAAAACTCCGGCTTCTACCGCTGTCTACTGACAGTTTTGCTGATGATCAGGGGCGGGCTCCGCGCTTAGAGAAAAGGTCGGGATCGTTATATTCCGCTCGGCGGTTGAGCTTCACAAGGCTTACCGGTCTACCTGCAAGAAAAACTGGGAGATAAGAACTCACTCTCGCGTCGGTCCTCGGCCCTCGGCCTCAGCTGGGTAGATGCTTCGTCTTTACACGGAGATGTATCTTGATCCCCAGGCTATTTTCCCGACCGCGATTTCCTGTGCCATGCTACTCCGGTAAAATTGCGCTTGCCAGCTTCAGTATAAGCTTTAGAGAGATGCTGCGGCCGCTTTTTGCACTAATAAGTCAATTCTTGCCCCGGTGTTCTGCGCGTTGCTATCAACCACGCTGTATGCTACCAGAAAGTGTAGGGGAGACAATTGAGTTTCGCTGTTACTGGTTTTTATTTTATTTCCCTTAAAAAAGGCGTGGGCAATGCTTTCCGTCGTCCCAATACCTCCGCAAGACCTCCACATGGTGTGGCGAGAGTAGATGGAGGAGCGCTTACAAATGTACCTACAGAATGCCTTGTGACTGATAGGGCTACCATGCTACGCTTATTATAAGCCTCGAAGAAGCTGATTTGCATTAGCTTCTATTGGGTATATAGGTGAAGATGCCGATGCCTGGCTATAGGCTGAGCTGAGAGCCTTGTCCTCAATCGTGGGGGTGGCAGCTGGGTGGCAGCTGGGTGGCAGGATATCTAGATGGTTACAACGCCGAGATTAAACTGTATCGCCTTTTTTATGTCTCTTTCCTTTTTCTTTTTTTTTAACCCCTGCAATATTGATTCCTCCTGTTGTTGAAGGCCGGTTCTCCACTGCTGCGTAGTAGTCGCGATACCGGAATTCCGCCTCGTGGCGCAGTCAGATGGTAGGTAAGGCCATGGAGGTAAGAGCGAAACAACAACGAAATTAGAAAAAGAAAGCAAGTGGTTGTTTGTTTAATCAGCCAAGTCGCAAGATAATCATCTGATACGGTAACTAGAGGATAGCACGGGTAAACAGTGTGACGATTAGCAATGGAGTGGCCAGATGGGCTCTAGAAGCATTTACGTATATGGCCACAACGCAGTCATCGTCTAAGACCTACATAGTAAATAAAGGTCAAAACTGCCTTTCACGGCCGGGTAGGAGCTCTTCACCACCGAGAAAGAATCTGCCAAGGTTTGCGGGTATAAGCCATCTCTGCAGCCCTGTTTCCGGTTGTCTTGGCCTTCAAGTTCCCAGCAACAGCGCGAAGCCAGAAATGGAATTCCAGCGCGAGATTGTGAGAGGCCGCAGATGAAACAGTTCGACACCAACAATGAATGGGCCGCTACGGCCATACCAGTGACACGAGACACGCTGTCTCTTGTAACAGACCACGACCTGTGCGGGAGCTGAACTGTTGAATCTTAATGCTGTATTCATTAGAGCACCCGATTGACGCAGACTTGAGGCGAGCGTGTGGGTGGACGGAGCCACGGACCATCACCTGGACAGAGATGCTCATTTTCCCAACTGCCCGATGAAACCTCAAAACTATCATTGTCAGCTTCCATATCCTTGGCCTGGAGCAAGGCGAAAGATGCCCGCTCGCCACCCCACGAACTAGGCCGACGCGGGCGGCTCGTCCATGCCATCCAGGTCGTCGTCCAGACACGGCTCCTCACCCGACCGCGCGGCCTTTACCACGATCGAGTTCTACCACACACGGTCCCCGGCTCTCCCGACACCAATAGTAGCATCGCTATGCAAACTTCTATCCGACCTCAGTCTCTTCGACGTCCCACAAATCCGCATGCAGTTCAAGCCTCTGGACTCGGCCATCCGCGCGGTTCTGGCGGCCACCTCTTCACATACGCAGTCTGATGCTTGCCATCGTCCCTCACGGTCAAACACACTGTATATTCAAGCATTATTCGGGCTTGGACAGTCCAAGCAGTGCGGTGGTTTGCCCCAAGATGGCTGGCATAACACGGCCTTTACGTCTCTGATGCTTCAACTTGTCGAGGTAAAGCGTGCTCCCGCCGCGACCACGCACAGCGCGTTTCTAACATTGACGATGGCAGATACTCGACGGTGCAAACACTTCAATGGAAGACTAGCTCAGCCATTCGACCCAAATCGGAAACATGTCGCCCATGAGCAGCATCCGGCAGTATGGCGCACCCGACCTCTTGACGCTGACGTATTGCCGCACGGCAATGCTGGCACGGGATCTCTTCGGTGGCTACCAGCCTTCAGGAGTCAACGCATGGGACCTCAAATCTTGGGGAGATGTCATAAATGACGACTTACATCGCGTGTTGGATGTCGTCGCTCTGCCCCCCTCTCACGTCCAGCAATCAGACCTCATCGCCGTCCACCCCTACGACGGCACCGCCAGGTTGAACTTTGAGCGGCAACACGAGCAACTCTCCGCGCTGGTGCAGGGCCTCTACGCGGCGCAAGCCTTCCGTGAGCACTTTCCACAGTGGGTGACGCAGCCGTACGGGATGCTCAGCAGCCCCTGCGCTGACGGCGACGTTGCCTGCATCAGCGTCGAAGCCTGTCAGAGACTTGCCCCTTTTCTGGCTCGCGCAGATGATCTTATTCACAAAGAGTGAAAAGATGCGATGCTCGATGCCGCTGATGCCGGAGCATATGAATCGGAGCATCGAAGGGGACGTTGAGGGGCTCGTCATGTTCGAGACGGTGAACAACATGCAGCACGCCGTCGCGCACAGCATCGCGGGCGACAACAGCCTGGTTGGGGTGCAGACAATAATGATGCCGCTGCGCATGATCTACCACTTTGCTATGACGTACAGCATGGCTGAGACGCAAGACTGGTGCCGCCATGCAGTTCGAGGTCTGGTAGATCGAAACTGCAGTGTTGCGTCTTGGTCAATGCTGACTGCGCGAGGAATTTCGACTTTGTAAAGAATTTGGTGAAGAAAACGCTCTTCTTGAGAAATGTGCTGGATAATTTTTATATGTTTATATGTAATTAAATGCGCGAAGCGATTTTGAACGCTTGCCGCGTTTTCTGTATAATAGGCCACAATAGGTGTGTAATAGGGCAAGCGCTGGTTGTAATCTTGAAACCATCTGCATTGGACAACGACATAAAAACATCGCTGGTCAAGTATTTGAGAAGACTTGTAACAGTTATCTGCACTATAGAAAAGAAGACAATCTCCTAATCTTACACCTCGGCGGCTGCTTCTCACGTCACCACGTATCTGATCTCCTCTTCCCCATTTGGAGGTTCGAATCCATTCCAGTACATCTCAAACGTCTCCGGCTCGATATCATACGCCGAATCACCATCCCTCGCGCCGCTCTCCACCGGTATTCTGTCCCGCGCGGTCCTCCGGCCCTGGATGCGGCTCCAGAGCAGCTCCTTGCCGGCGTCCAGGAAGACCAGCACCCAGCGGCCGCCGGCCTTCTCGATGATGGCCTTGTACTCGTCGCGGTACGCCCTGTTCCAGAAGGACAGGTCCAGCACGGCGTCGCGGGTGCCCTCGCGGAGCAGCGCGGCCAGCTCCGTCTTGATCTGCGCCTGCGCCTCGTCGAGGTACCCGGAGTACTTGTCGCGCGCAAAGTCGATGCCGTACAGGCCGTACTTGTCGCGGATGATCTTGTCGACGGAGAAGCGCACGAAGTTGGGTAGCTTTGCGATGACGGTCTTGGCCAGCGTGCTCTTGCCGGCGCCTGGAGGAAGGTTAGCGAGGGGACGCTGCGGAGTTGCTGTGGTGTATGAGCGTGCCTGCGATAGCGCATGTCATGAGAACGATCGGGCGCTCATCTTCAGTGGTTCGAGATAGCTTCGGTCGTATCTATTCTTCGTTAGCCACTGATGTAAGTGTCGAGGGCGGATGCTGGGCGGTAGTTTGGCTGGTCTTACGACTTCGAAGGCGGGAGACTCTATGGGCTGTGGCGACTCTACAGAGTCGACAGTTGACGTTGCCATGGCAGAATTCTTGAGGGAGCTCAATCAGGGCCCATCTGGAATATATGCTGGTTTATAAGTTTGGCTTCAGTCGAGTCATTGATGGCATCCAGCTGATGACTCAACACTAGCGCCAGCGCTGCTGATCGCCAGCCCCGACATCTCGCCGATTGAAAGAAAGAATGTGTCATTTTGTAGACTTGATCATTTTCGCTTGTTATGCTTTATTGTATACTAAGATCGAAGACAGGCTGAATATGCAAGTTTTGTGACAACACAAGTCATCCTCTGAGAGCATGACTGCACTACGGGCCAGACCAAGAGATGATGCATGCTTAAATGATTTGCCTTAATCAACGAACCAAACTTGATCATCTGCCGTGTCCTTCATGTGAATAACGTTGGAATAGTCGACCAGGATCAATGGCCAGGTAGACCCCTCCATGTCATCCCCCATCGTACTCGCCACGAGCTGTGCAAATTCCGGATCTTGCTTCCACTCCCGATCAACTGTCTTCTCCAACCACGACCGAACCTCTGCAAGGCAATTGTCGCGTTCCGGGCCGGCCTCCTCGCCGCACGCCAGCAAGTTGGCCGTGACCTGGTCGTCCGCCAGCCTATTGGCGATGACAATCACCTTGTTCAGCAGAGCCACCTCCTGCTCTCCCAGACGCCAGCACATGACCGTGCGCTCCCGCTCAAACAGCATCGCCCTCTGCTGACCCTCCCCCCCCTCCTCCTCCTCCTCGTCGCCGTCATCCGCGCACTCCTGCGCCTTGCCCAGGATGGCCACGTTGACCTCGGCGTCGACGTCAAACTTGTTGAAGACGAGCGCCGCGCTGTCGGACCGGATGCAGTCAAACATGGGCGTCGGGTGCGCCTCGTCGTACGCCTTGCGCTCCTCCTCCGTCCACGTGCCCAGCTTGCGGCTGCGGTGCCAGTCCGCGATGCGGTACCAGTCGTCGGTCGCCTCGCGGTGGATGAGCACGTGGGCCTCGATGGAGCGCTTCGTGACGCCCTTCCACGGCAGCACGGAAAAGTTCTCGCGGAGGGGGGCGACCCGGAGGAGACCGCCCTGGGCCCGCATGCGGAATCCCCGAGGGGTGGGCATGCCGACGGACTGCGGGGTGACGGGCAGCGGGACGGAGAAGCGGAGGGATCGCTCGTCCATCCCGAGCGTGGAGTCCTCGCCGAGGCTGCCGAGGAGGCTTTTGGGAGCCCAGCGCCAGCCCTTGAGGGACAAGGTCTCTTCGAGATAAAAGACGACCGACGTGGAGATTCCGCAGAGGGTCTCGGCCAAGGCGGCCCAGACACGAGCCATGCGCTCTTGTCCGTCAGTCATCAATGTCAGCCCTTCAATTTGCAGGTTCATCAAGACGGCTATGCAGAGGGGCTCATCGGACGAGACCGACACGGTGCGGAAGTGAATAGCTCTCTGCAGCACGACGAGCTGCGGCCTGTGGTATGAATCATCCAGGCCGCGACTTGCTTGCTCAAAGTTTTGAAGGTAATTGAACTGTGTGAGTTAGCCCCGAGATATCTGGGGGCTTGCAAGGAACTGTGCAAGGTTAGATGTATCGTCATACCTCGTTGAGAAGGTCGTGCCAAATTCGGAGGCGCCGCATGTCCTTTATGCCTTCAATGTACAAGTCGCGCATGAGGTCTGCAGCGGATGCTGCCTTGTCTTGGAACTGAATGCAGAGATTCTTTGGAAGGATGGCCTCTGGTGAAGATCCGCGTGAGTATCCGAGGAGCGCAGACTAATATGAAGGAAGAATACGGAAGGGGGGAAGTTGGTGAATACCTTGAAGAGTCCAGAGTCGCCGCATCCAAGCAGAGCAGCTAAAAGTCCTCAGCAACATCTCGGCCAAGTCGCTTGTGGTGGTGTCCATGCAAGTCAGAGATGAATCGAGAATGAGGACATGCGTCGAGTTTTTGTAGACATCTGCGATCCGCTCCAAAGCAATGGCCTTTCCCTCGAGCTCAACCGGACAGCAGATTGTGTCAACCCACACGCGATATTCGGTTTCTGGATCGTCCTTGCTCTCATTCATCGTCCGGTTGAGCTCCGCGACGGCCTTGGCGATTCTCATCACCTGGCAATGGGGCAGCGCATTGATGCGTGGATTCCCCAGCCCGTCGGCCCAGACGTGGGATAGGGCGACGTAGTTGACACCAGGCCTATACGTCTCCAGCGTGACGTTCGCGGGCCCCGCGCCATCCGGCCCGATGTCTATCTTCAACACGGGATACGAGGTAGTTCCTCTTAGGGCTCGGACCAGCTCGGCCTCGTCTACGTGCACGTCGTCGCACTGACAACCCTCCATTGCGTGCCGCGGCTTGTACTGCTCAATGTCAATCTGAAAGGCCCGGCAGGCGTAGTTTGCGCACCGGACGTGATCGCCCGGCCTGGTCCGCGGCCTTAGCCTCGTGACATAGTGCAGCGAAGCGACGCCCTGGAAGAGATTTCGCAGCTTCTCGACCTCGCTCGGGCACCAGCCCACGCTCAGCATGTGCTTCTCCACGTCGTTGCCGGCCCTGAGGTAGTCCCTGAACCAGTTGAACGACGACGTGGGCAGCACGATGCGCGGCGTCACTAAATGGCTGCTCGCGTAGATGTTGGTCATGAAGAGCTCGCCCAGGCCGGCCACCGAGTAGCGGATCGCGTAGTCCAGCTGGTTGAAGGTGTTGTTGACGACCTGCACGGATCGGGTCAGGCAAGCGTGCAGGTAGTGGAAGCGCGGCGCGAGCTCCCCGGCCAGCTTAACCCTCTCGACGAACATGTCCGCCTTTCCGAGGATGGGCGCGGCGGTGAGGAGCTTCTGCCCGTCGTCGCCGGTCGTGGAGAATTCACGATACAGCTCAGCCATCTCCTCGCGCGCCTGGTCGAGGCTGACGAGGCGCGTTCCATCCTCGAGCTCGTTGAGGCTCAGAAATTCAGCTAGGAGACCGAAGAAGAGCCACGTCTGCACGAAAGACTGCAGCTTGGCGGCCGGGACGGCGTCAAAGATGCGCTGTAGCGGGAGCGTCAGCAGTGCATGGGTGGTTGGCAGCTGAGGCGCATTTGTGAGGCCCAAGTCTTGATATTTCCTGTCCAGGAAGCCGCGGAAAGGACCAAAGTCCCAGTTCTGCGATGAAAGAAATGGAGTCTCTGGAGTCGGGAAAGTCGGATCTTTGGGCAATGGTAAGAAATCCATGTTTGCGCAAGTCTTCACCAAGAGGGAGTGTGAGACAGGGTGAGAGGGTGAAGACTAAAGTCAACAAAGGAAAATCTCACGATAGGTGTTTGTATTGATAAAGAGGCATTCTGTTAGGCGTTTTCAGCGCACTGCGCCACTATGCTACTACTCGAATAAGGACAAAACGCGAGCTGAATTGGGCTGAAGTAGTGCAGCAACTCGGCGACTGCAGAGAGCAACCAGCATACAGTTGGTGGTAAGATAGACATTTAAAGCGCAGTTTACAACCTCGTACTGAAAAAGGAAGAGGAGCTAGAGCTACTTAGTTAGAATAAGGTTGATGGGGTGTATGGAATGATGGGTAAAGACTTACAAATACATACACCAACAGCAGCTTCAACCCCGCCCTTAAATACAGCAGTAGTTCAAGAACCGCGAAACCAATGGCCATCTTTACCAAGCATCATCTACAATGGAAACAAATACTCCAGATACCATGCGGGCTGTTGTGTGTGAGACGCCTGGTCCAGTTCAAGTTCTCCAGATCAAACAGGTACCGGTTCCAGTACCAGAGCCAGGACAAGTACTTGTTAAAGTGCTCGCCTTTGGCATCAATCGCGCAGGTAAGACTTGGACTTGGTTCCGATTTATTAATTTTACGAACTAATAATTATGCCAGAAATGTTTACACGACAAGGTCACTCTCCTACCGTCAAATTCCCTCGCATTATTGGTATCGAGCTTGTCGGTCGTGTCGCCGCCTATGCCGAGGGACAGGCTGCTGCTATTCCCATCGGAACACTCGTGGCGACGTGCATGGGCGGCTTAGGTCGCGAAATTCCAGGATCCTATGCCGAGTATGTCTGCCCGGCTCATCATTTCGTGAAGCCATTTCCAGACCTCGGCCTGGACTTGGCGACCGTGGCCGCGCTTCCCGAGATGCTCCAGACCACCTACGGGTCTCTCACCGAGGCGCTGAATCTGCAGCCCGGAGAATCGCTTCTTATTCGTGGCGCGACAAGCTCCATCGGACTGGCAGCGATTCAGCTGGCCAAATATCTAGGCGCTTCTAGGGTCGGAGCGACAACCCGGTCTGCCGGCCGCGAGACTCTACTGAAAAGCAGCGGCGCTGACATGGTGTTTGTCGATGACGGGACCGTTTCAAGGCAGATCGCAGCCGAAGAACAATTCGACAAGGTCCTCGAGCTCATTGGCACGAAAACACTCAAGGATAGCATCTTGTGCCTCAAACCAAAGGGCACCGTCTGCATGACAGGCATCCAGGGAGGCGAGTGGACATTGCACGACTTTTCGCCCATCACGGACCTGCCGCAGAGACGCCGTCTCACTTCCTACGGCGGCGACGAGCACGATTTTGTGTCTATGCCTTGGGACAGACTGCTTACAGCCGTCAAAGATGGTAAAATCAATATTCCAGTTCGCCAGTTTAAGCTGGACCAAATCCAGGAAATTCACACACTTCTAGAAAATGGCGGAGGCGGCCACAAGATGGTGGTTGTGATTTGACAAGTAACTCTAATTACAAAAGAATAGTACGAATTAAATATTACCCATATTAGTATGAATAGAATTTCAAGCTGGCTCTGTTTAATTACAAAATGACATTAAAGCGTGCCACATCCTTTATCACTTTGGCCTCCCAGCTTCTGCTTGAGCCTTGGCCTTGAGGCTTCGCCATTCCACGCAGACACTTGCAAAGATAGTGACCGCACAAGTGCCAACCGCAATGTAAAAGACTTTTACAATAGCGGCATTGTAATAAGTAAGAAGAATGTCGAGATCATTCCCGGAAACCAACGACCGCAATTCAGTAGCACCGCCCTTGATGATTTTGGCCGCATCCACACCAGGAAGTGCCGTCAGCTTCGAGACGAGATCCCGGAGAAAAATATTCTGTGCAATGGGAATGAAAATTGCCGGTCCAAGAAATCGAACGAGCATGACTGCAGCGGATCCCACAGCAATGTCAGAGCGCTCCAGAACTGTCTGCACAACGTTTAGGTGCTGCTGCACGCCGAGGCCGGCACCGAAGCCGAAGACGACCTGCGAGCCAATCCACATGCCTTGACTAGTTGACTTGGTGAACGTGCAAAGCACTCCGGCCCCGATAGGAGTTAAAATGGAGCTGACGATGTAGAAGGGCGCATAGTAGCCAACACGCGAGATGACGATGCCCGAGGCGATGGACGCAACGACGAGGGACAGGATTGTTGGCAATAGCATGAGGCCCGAATTCACAGCCGAGGCACCCTTGACAGCCTGGAACCAGACAGGGAGGTAATACATGAGAACCATCATGCCGGCACCGTTGAAGAAGCAGAAGAACATGGCGGCAGCGATGCTGCGCTGTCTGACGATGCGCGGTGGCAGAGTGGCATTTTCCTGTTTCCAGGCCTGGATCCCGATAAAAACAGCGACGAGAACAATGCACGCAACGAGAAGCGCAATGATTCTCGGGTTGCTCCAGGAGTATCGCGTGCCTCCCCATTGCAACGCGAGGATGAGACAGACGATGCCAGGGAAGAAGGCTAAATTGCCGATGGGATCCAGCTGCTGGAACCTGCCGAGGAGCGTCTTCGCGCGAGGCTCCAGCTTCTGGTTCGGCAGATGCACAAGAAACACCGTCACCAGAATGGAAAACGCTCCGATCGGAAGGTTGAGGTAGAAGCACCAGCGCCAGGTGACGCTGTCCGTCAGCGCGCCGCCGACCAGCGGCCCGACGACGGAGGCGACCGCGAACAGGGCCCCCGCGGCGCCCTGCCACAGCGGCCGCTGACGGAGCGGGATCGTGTGGAACATGATGACCATCAGGCCGGAGAAGAGCCCCGAGGCGCCGAACCCGGCTACGGCGCGTCCGACGATGAAGACGATGGAGCTCGGGGCCGCGCCGCAGATGGCGGAGCCGACCTCGAAGAAGAAGACGCCGGTGAGGAAGAGCGGCTTGGCGGGGTAGTGCTTGTAGACCTTGCCCATGAGAAGCTGGAAGCTGCAGGTGGTGAGGAGGTAGGCGCTACCGTACCAGCCGATGTCGTCGATGGAGTGGAATTCGTCCGTGATTCGCGGGATCGCGGTCGCAATGATGTTTTGGTCCTGGACGCTGATGAGCAACAGCATGTTGGTAGGTTGATATTGGTACTTACGAGAGTGATGAGGAACATTGATAGATACAGGGCAATCATGATGAGAATGCGTTTGACGACAGGCGGATATTCGACTGGTGCAACGGCAGGTTTGGCGTCGCTTGGTGGCTGCTTTTCTTCATCCTGTTGTGAATCGGGGGGCATTTTTGGAGCGGCTCTTGTCGACATTATGAGAAGAAAATATGTGCAAAAAATAAGAGACGAGATAGACGGGGGAAGAAAAGGGACAGAATATGAATACAATTATTATGACAGGAAGGGGCAGCAAGCCTTCGAATGCTGCCACGGACTTATAAGTGAAGCTGGCTGACAACGATCTTTCCCAATGGGGTAATTCGGTGTTGGCGCGGCGCTGGCTCGGGGCTCAAAATGCAGAATTTGACCCCCGAGCCCCGAGCCTTCACCATTAGAACTTGCCAGCCTCGGAGCGCTTAACCCCAGCCCCGAACAGCGAAAATTAATTGCCCGTTCCAACCAGTGTTATCGAAGCACGCTCGAGTCCAGAATATGGAGCCGCAAGATCCCTCACCTGGACCGAGCACCGACGGTGGCAGCGTCAAGCCCTTCTCGTGCCTCGTTTGCCGCCAGCGCAAGGTCCGATGCGACCGCGTTCAGCCGTGCGGCAACTGCAAGCGCGCCAGGGCCGAATGCGAGTACGTGGCGCCGGTGCGAGGGAAGCGCAAGCGTTCGAAGCCGTCGCGCGAGACCCTGCACGCCAAACTTCGGCGGTACGAGGAGATGCTCACGACCAGGGGCGTCGACGTCGGGGAGAAGGCGAGCACGAGGCGTGAAGAGGAAGTGGAAGGGGGAGGGGATGAGGATGGGCTATCGGAGGGCAACGACACGGCGGATTCACTTACGAGCTTTTCGGTAACGACGCCGGGCGGCGAGGCTGCTCCGTCGATGGGGTTGCGATCTGCATTGATCAGGACGCCGGGGTCGGGGCCGAAGCTGGTCAGCAAGGAGGGTAATTCGAGATACTACGAAAAGTGCGTCACAACATCTCAGATGTTGTCAATGCTCTGCATGTGCTAATGTGAGATACAGTAGTACTCTGTGGACAGATATTACTGATGATGTGAGTATTCTTTGGCTTGCCCCCTTTCCCACATGCCGTCTGACCAACCCAGTTTCGGCACCCTGATGAATATGTCCCCGTTGGTGATGACGACGACGACGATGACGAGCCCGAAGCCGATATTTTCCTAGGATCAAGTTCTAGCAACAGCTTCAATGGTCAGCTGCGCGACTGGCATCCCACGATACACTGCTTGTATGCCCTCCGGGATATATACGTCGACAGAGTCGACCCGCTCATGAAGATTATGCACATGCCCACATTTTGGGCGTTGGTACTGCAAGCGGCAGAACGAAAGGAGGATGTTTCCAGACCAATCGAGGCAGTGATGTTTTGCTTTTATTTTGCGACGATCAGCGTCATCGAAGAGAAGGAGTGCCAGAAGCTGTTCAACGAAAGCAAAAAGACAATGTTCGCCAAGTACAGAGCCATCGCGAGGCACACCCTCAAGAGAGCCGGACTGCTCAGTACAACTAGTCCTATGACTCTAAGAGCATTTTGCCTTTTCATGGTATGGTCATTAAACTCGTTCACTTCTAAGCAGTCCTAACATGGTACTAGATGGGACTGCGCGGTACCATGAGATATGAATCTCAGCACATCCTGTGCGGTATTGCTCTGCGACTGGCCCAGAAGATGGGTCTGCACCGCGATGGAACGTCTCTCGGGCTGTCCATTTTCGAAACGGAAATGAGACGCCGCCTGTGGTGGTACGTTGCCCACCTCGACTTTCGCACCTCAGACTTGCTCGGCGCGAAGCCGTCGCTGGACATCCACACCGGCGACGCCGGCCTGCCATGGAACGTCGAAGACGAGGATCTGCAGCCGTCCATGACCGAGGTGCCCAAAGACCGCAAGGCCATCACGTCCATCACCATGTGCCTCGTCCGCTGCGACCTCGCCAAGTCGCTCCAACGCCTCTCCGGCACCCCCGCCACGACCTCCGCCGCGTCCTGGGGCGACATCGGCACCGGCTCCCGCGTGCCGCCCGCCGACAAGGACGCCCTCATCGACGCCATCGAGGACCGCTTCGAGACCAAGTACCTGCGCTACTGCGACCCCTCGCGCCCGCTCGACATGCTCGTCTCGTGCATGATCCGCGCCGCCGTCTGCAACACGCGGCTCTTCGCGCACAACCCTCGGCGCTTCGCCGACTCCGCCGTCGCGGCCACCCCCGCGGAGCGCGACGTGGCCTTTCGCAACGCCGCCAAGCTGCTCGAGTACGCGTCCATGGTGGGCGAGCACGCGGCGCTGCGCAAGTACGAGTGGCGCCTCAACTCGACCTACCTGTGGGACAAGATCCTGTTCGTGCTAATCGAGGCGCGCCGCCGGGGTGGTGACGCGGAGCTGGACGGCGTGTGGAGGCTGATTGGGCGCGTGTTCGCGCAGTACCCGGACGCGTTCGGGCAGTCCTCAGCGAGGGCGGTGTACAGGGTGCTGAGCAGGTGGACGCTGGAGGTCTGGGACGGGTACGTGGCGGCGAGGCGTGCGGTGGCGGTGGCGGGGATGCCGGAGCCGGAGGAGCCGGCGTACATCAAGGCAATGAGGGAGAAGAGAGAGGTGGCTGGGGAGGTTGCCGCGGCAAGGACGAGTGAAGGGGTGGTTGTCGATACTGCAGCGCTGGGAAGCAGTGGTGGTGCTGCGCAGACTGCAGAGCCGCCGGCTGAGGAAGGATATAGCGGGTTCTCGGATCTCGGATCGTTTGAGATGAATCTGGACGAGTGGGTGAACTGGGACCAGCTGGTGTCTGAGCAGACTGGCTTTTTCCATGTGGAGGGATATTGACAGCACGGTGTGTGAGCATAACAGTGGTTCAGAACGGAGCTTGTATTGCTACCAGGAGGACTCTTCATCGAAGGAGCCTAGCGATGCTGAGCGCGTGCCACGCCCTACAATCTCGATTTAGGGTGACTAGTTCTCTTTGCCACCCGCTGGCGGCACCGTCCGAGTCAATTTCCCTTCTCGGAGCACTGGATGAGCGTCTCAGGCGTCGAGTCAAGCTTCGCGTCCGCCACACATACGGAGCAAGCACGCTCCCTGGCTTGGATGACCTTGCACTCGGCCACCGCCTTGTCGTAGGCAGCCCATTTCTCGTCATCAGACTTCCATTCATTGTTCAGGCTAGCGTTGGCCGCGCTGACGCACGCGTTGTACTTGCCGTCGTACTGCTGCTTGCAAGTCGCGGCAAGGTCCCGCTGGAGCGCCTTCATCTTTGCCTCGTCCTTGATCCTCTGGTTGTCGCCGTCGTCGAAGCCCTTCTCCCCGAGGTTGGCGTTGATGAAGTCGAGGTGGCTGCCGATCCTGGTGAAGATGTTGGCATCCGCGCAACCGACTCCCTGCGCGTTCATGACAGAAATCGACACGAGGCCGAGCAGCACCCCGGTCTTGGAGTCGATCAGCGGACCGCCGCTGTCACCTGAGCACACAGTCTTTCCAGGCTTGCCGGCACAGATTAGTGCGCCTTGATCGCCGAAAATCTGCGAGGGTACACATTTACTCATTGGCTGCTGCTCGAGCAGGGCCTCTGCTCGCTTCGGGACGCTGAAAGGAGCGTCGCCTTCTTTCACAGTCTTGTCGCGTCCCCTGAGGAGCTGTCAGCCCGGCTCGAATACCCGCTTCGCGGTTGTGGGCAGTTCTAGGTTTGCTTACCAGCCAAGAGCAACGAATTTTGAGCCGTCAGGGATCGAGTCAGATGTTGGCAGTGGTGCATACTCGATGCTGTCACTCGTCTCAATGGGAGTAGCTAGCTTAATGATTCCAATGTCGCTCAGCTTTTCCTTGCCTTTGGCTTGGTAGTTGACCGGCTTGTGGTCAGGTCGTTGGAGCGTTGAAATCTTGACCGTCACTCCCCCAGCAGCTTCAAGATCCTATGAAGTTGAGACATTAGTCTATGTAACGGAGAGACATCACAAGGGGGTAAAGAAGAGGATGCAAAGAAAGAAGAAGTAGAAGTAGAAGAAGAAGAAGAAGAAGAAGGAGAAGGGAAAAATTATCATACCGTCTTTCCTGCAGTTACGAACCCTGCGTCGGTAGTGTTGAGGAAGCAATGACTGGCAGTAAGGACAGTAGTACTGTCCAGCAGCATTCCTCCGCAGGAATGGGCCTTCTTGCTATCCTGGATGCTTACGACAAACTTGTAGCGATCCGTGGGCTCATCAGGTCCGATGACTCTGGGCTTCAGTATGGCAGATGCTAGAGCAGCGGGAAGCCCTGCGGTCAGGGTAACAGCGACAGTGGCTTTCATGATGGTATCAAAGGAGTAAAGTAGCAAGATCTGCTTTTTATCGATGTCTCTGGGGATGGAGATGAAGAAGTCAGCGAGACGGCCTGCTCGTTAAATATGTATTCTGGGCAATAGCTAGAGGGGCGATATTGCGTTACAATTGACCTGTGCGGAGGACAATTCCGAGGTTGAAACGGGCTGAGCAATTAATTATTTGAAGTCATGCCCACATCCCCATCACCAGAGATATACATTTTTTAGCAGGGATATATTGCGACGAAAAGACGTAATTCCAGAAAGATAGGATTTTGGAAGTTTAATTAGACGCACACCTGTCCGTCTCCAAGAGAAGTAAGGCGAAGATGCTGTCTTGTTGGAACTAATCTGTACATTATCAATTACCCTGTCAATACGGGTACCTGGCTCGATGATCGCCCCGGGATTGTATACTTGCTCATAGCTATCATACATACAGCTTTGTATCTTCATCATAGACAGATTGACGGCACTGTCCACGAAGCCATCGAATGTCGCGTGACACTCACCATGGCATGGCACTTGCCATCACCACAAGAGCATTGACTCGCGTGTATACAGTTACATGTTAATAAGAGCGACAAGTCTTGACTCACGCTGACATTGCTGGTAATAAAGAGATTTGTCGTGCTGGAGTTGGCCATTTTTTGCCCAGCTCTTGTAATCCCTGTCCGGCCGCCCTGCATGACTCGACTTTTTATGATTGCGACGCCTTCCCCTCTTACAAGGGGACTTGCCGCAAGTGATGCCGTCGAACTCGCGGGGATTGTAGTCCTTGCCCCCTCTCGTCTCGACTTCGCCAATCGTTGCCGTCGACGGCGCCGTTGCAGCGGCTGGCCGGCGCATGCTCAGCTATCTAGAGGTACCATCACAGCTGCCATCTTCAACGGAGGCGGCGCAGACAGCCGCGGCGGTTGCCAGGATAACGAGAACTTTGCTGTCATGACAGGTTTGAAGCTTGTTATTTCCAAGTCTTGAAGCAAAAGAAGGACGGCAGAGGGATGGGTCCAGCGGCCGAGTTAGATAACTAGTTCATTGCGAGATAACAGCAATGATGCACAAAATGGCGACATAGTTGAAGCGTAATTAGCTGATTTCCCAACTATATACAATATATAAAATAGGCATTTCCTAACTTTTATCAGCGCTATAAGATGGACACTACATGGAGAGCGGTACAGGCGTAGATTGATTACTTTGACGAGCATTTATCATTAATTCTGTCGGCTAATCTTTTAAGCATTGTGTATAGCGGCATAGTCGGACCATCTTTTTCATGTTTTGCATACAGAAAGCCGTAAATGCATCTATATTCCCATCATGCCACTATAATGCGAACAGAAGCCGACCCGCAGCGAAGCACTTGCGGGGCCGAGGAGAGAGAATCTCATAAATACAAGAGGGTCAGGTTTAAAACAGCTGTTAATAAGCCTGGGAAAGTGCCAACCGACTCTCCGTTCTCGGCCGCGCCGTATGGTCGCCGAGCTTGGCACATAACCGCTTACTTGTATCGACTGAAACTAAAAGGACCAGTGGTTCCTGTCTAAATCCATGCGAGGGAGTTTGCGTGTCATGACTCTACAACATCGAGCCTATCATGAATAGCTTCTCATCGTCGCTCTTATATTTGAGAATAACAATGCGACTGGCTTGCATTGGCAACCCGGGTCAGGTATTGATGCGGCGCTTTGATAATGGCAGGACAGATCAAATATATCTTTAGAATCTCTGAATTTTTCCTGGGTATTTTCTTTTTCTTTTTCTTACGGCTAACATTTATCGACATCCGGCTTGCGAACACGCTCATCGACGAATTCCCCCATGGTCCACACTGGACCACCAACACGCGCGAGGTTTTTGAACGCACGGTTGAGAATCGTGATGAGTCGATAAGATACGGCGTCTTTTTTTCGCCGTTTCCTTTTTTCTTTTTTTTTCTTTCCAAAAAAAAAAGATAAATTCCAATAAGCCAATGTCCAACATTCCTCACGGTATAACGCACGCTTCACAACCGTCAAGGACCAATTTGACCCCAAGCGTATTTACCGCAGTGTCGTTGGCGAAATCATTGGCATGTACGACAGGGCTTTTCCTCTTCTTCAGAGACACTACTTCGATTGAAGACATGCACGAAACAAGCTGCATGATGGTGCAAATGAATGTATGCTTTTGGCGACAATCTAAGGTATTAAGTTACGGGGTATTCTCCCTAGCAAAGGCATGAAAATATATGACGTAAAACAAGGTACAGAAAAAGAAAAGCCCTCTATATCAAAGTCGTCGTGGCACATTCTTTAATACATGATACACCATATGCTAGAGTCGCGACGCGAGATTTAAGCCGAGACAGGCTTGCTCTCGACAGCGGCAGCCTCGACATCGTGGGGGTTGGCAGCGTAGTCGTCCTCGCCAGACAGCTCCTCGAGCGTCTTGCGGGCCGTCTCGGGGATGAGAAGGGTGGTGAAGCAGCCGAGAAGCATGAAGAGGGCGAAGATCTCGAGGACGTGGTCGAGCCAAGGGGAGGCGTTGGTCTTGGTGGCACCGCGGGTGCGCAGACTGGCGATGGCACCCTGGCCGATGATGGAGCCAATCTTGCCAGAGGCGGCAGAGATACCGTGTGAGGTAGAACGGTAGCGGGTAGGGAAGACCTCACCGGGGACGATGAAGGTGGTGGCGTTGGGACCAAAGTTGAAGAAGAACTGGGCAATGACGTAGATGGCGAGGAGGGCGTTGGCGGAAAGATGGTGGTAGGCGAAGCCCATGACGATGAAGAGAATGGTGAGGATGATGAAGCCGGCCATCTGGACGGGCTTGCGGCCGATGGTATCAATGGTGGCAACGGAGACCCAGTAACCGGGGACGGCACCAGCAAGAACGATGATGACGTTGCCGACAGCGGTGTTGTAGAGGAGCTGGTAGACGTTCTTGACTTTGCCGCCAGAGGTGGCGAAGCCAATGGCCTCAAGAATGGTACCGTTGTTCAGGGAGAGACCGTAGAAGGCGACATCAAGGCAGAACCAAGAGCCAGCAGTACCGAGGAGGAGCAGGAAGTTCTTGGTCTTGCTGTAGTGGCGGCAGAAGTCGCGGAAGCTGGCCTTGGGGACCTCGAGGCCCTTCTGGGCCTGCTTCTGGGTCTCGGCGCGGGAAACCTGGTCAGGCTCACCCTCGCGCTTGCCGCTGATGTAGGCCTTGACGTCCTCGTCGGCCTGCTCGACATCGCGAGCAACATCGAAGGTGTAACGGGGGGTTTCGGGGATGGTAAGACGGTCTGTCACGGCTGTTAGGAAGACTGCGGTAGTCACGAGAGGGCTGAGTACGTACAGTAGAGGGCAATGCAGGCGGGAACGACACCGCAGCCAATGAGGGTCCTCCACATCTTGTCGACGGCGACCTGGCAATCACCGGTGCAGTGAGCGACGTCCTTGGCACCCTCAAGAGCGTTCTTGAAGCCGAGGGTGACGAACAACATGACAAGGGCGGCACCGAGCTGGCCGAAACCCTGCATGGCGAAGACGGCGCCCATCATGGCACCACGCCACTTGGTGGTAGCGAACCTGGATGTTGTTAGAGGCGGATTTAGGGACGTGGCAGTACAAGTCGGTCAAGATCGGAAGGACCAGCAGTGTCGAAACTTACTCGGAAGTAATAATACTGGAGAGAGGGTAGTCACCACCGATACCGATACCCATGATGACCTAAAACATGTCAATTGGCGTCACAAGACAGTGTATGAGGAGGCCAGGAGACTTACACGCCAGAAGATGATGAGACCGACAATGTTGACGGCAGGGCCCTGGGCAGTGAGGGACTGGGCAAGAGAGGCAAAGATGATGACCATGAGTTCGAGACCGTACATGCGCTTACGACCGACGATATCGGCCAGCATACCGAAACCAAGCTGACCGACGACGGTACCGGCCGAGGTGGCCAGCTTGATGGCGTTGTCCGAGGAGGCAGGCATCTTGCCGACGCCAGGATAGTAGACGATGCCCAGCATGATGGTCAGCATCGAGGCCGTGAAGATGTCGTACGAGTCAGTGAAGAAACCGACACCGGCAACCACACACGCGCGGACATGGTACCAGCCAAAGGGGGCCTTGTCGATCTCGGCGAGGGCCAGGCGGCGGCGCTCGGCCAGCGACTCGACGTGGGCGAACTGGTTGTTGAAGTTGGTGTAGGCAGAGTTTCCGCCGGCCGTCTTGCCAAAGGCGGCGACGGTGGTGGTGTTGGTCTCCTCGGCACTCATGATGACTGGACAAGGTTTGAAGAAGAGCAAAAAGGAAGAAGAGAGGGTATCTGCCAAGTTGCCAAGGACGATCGCCAAGGTGCTAGTCTTGGGGAGGAAGGGAACAAGAAGGAAACAGAGGTGGGTGCAAGGAGGGGATCTTCTTTATATTATGCATGAGACAGATGAGCGGGCTGAAGAAGAGGCAACCATGTCGTGTGTGGTGTGTGTGAGCTCTGGGGGGGGGGGGGGGGGGGGGCATGCTCATCAACGGAGGAGCGTGAATGGCTCGGAGCTGGAAAAGTTGGCGCGCGAGCATGATCCATGCATCGGTCTAGCGAATTTTTCCTTCCTTCCTTCTACGAATACAACTTGTTCCCAGGGCACCGCGAGGCAGCATGATACAGGCAAGGGGGGCAAGACCGGGGCGGACAGTCAGGCTCTCTAAGGGTTAGATAGCTAGCGCGTCGACGGTGGCGGGAACGAGGCGTTTACGGATGGAGAATAACGGGTAAGAGAAATACTACGCCGGTGGGCAAGGAGAGAGAGAGAAAGAAAAATTGAAACGGGTACAGGGCGAACGGAAGGGTTGCGTTGAGCCCGACTGCACTGTCGTTGTGCCAAAAGTTCATGTAAGTGAGTGGTAGTGCAGCAGAGAGAGCCAACGACGCGCCAATTGGGGCTAAAATAAAGGTTCAAGATTGGGCCAGTGAGAGATCTGGAATCCAACACGTTGCGGCGCCACAGTCGTGCCGTCTTTCCCAGGGCCGCCGCCTCAACGGGGTCGGTATCGAAAGAGGCTTCTTGGCAGCCGATTGGCCAAGAGATGCAAATGCGGAGGCGGAAGACGAGGCTTGCAGGGGGGGGGGGGGGGGATGATAATTCTTTGGGTGAAGAGTTGTTGATGGTTGTTGATGGTTGTTGTTGTTGTTGTTGTTGTTGCCTTCGCAAGGGATATTTTATGAGGCTATGATGTTGAGTTGAGTCTTTTCGCAACTACAGTGATAACTCCCCGTGGCAGAGAAACTCGCGGTTCTGACTTCTCAATGGTCCATCCATCTCAATGGTAATTAGTTATCATTGAGTACTCTTCCACCATTATCATTGCCCATGCTCTGCCTGATACCCCAGCTGCAACCTAGTCCACCCCCCCTCGCCTCTCCCATTGGCCATCTCCATGCACCCCCATTCCATTTCAGGCCACCGAGTGTCTCGATAGTCTCGACCAGTTTTGACTTTCGGTCGATGTCCTGGGCCTGTTGTCTCTGATTACGCCGTAATCTGTACTCACCCGCTCCCCCGAGTGCAACACCCTCCTTCTCGCCTCACTTGCCCTCTCAGCTGCTTCTCCTTCTTCTTCTTCTTCTTCTTCTGCTTCCAGGCCCAGTCTTGCTTTCGGTTTTTCCCGGCCCCCGCCTGACCCCTCCAGACAAATCCATTTCATGTTTGCGCCCCAGGCAAAACGGTCCCTTAATTCGCACCTTACTCAATTATTAGCTCGCCATTTGTCACTCCACATCTCACCACGTGGGTGTTTACCCGTCGCGGATTGCAGGCTTTGGACTTCTTCAGCTGGTGTTTCTAGTCTGGAGAACTCGGCTGTAATACCAATTATAGAAAGCTGGTTGTCACTGGTGACTTTCCCTTTTCTTTTTCCCTTTTTTTTTTTTTTTTTTCGTCGTTTTTTTTTCAAGTCGGACTGTCGCGCGACTCATGAGTCACGGCACGCGACGAACCCAGGACCGTAACTCATCCTTTTTACTTTACCCTCATCTAAATTTCAGAAAAGTCTTGATCTTTTCATCGTCAGTTTGTCCATCCATCTAGCCAAACAACGTATCACTACCAGCCAATTGACGCGCAACAATGTCAACGACACAGACCCAAATGGCACCCTCTACGCGCATCACCACCACCTCCTCCACCTCCTCCTCCAACGAGCCCGAGATCCCTCAGCTCACGTACACGGTCGCGCAGACGACAGAAGAGAAGCGCGACGCCCTGCGCCTCGTCGCCGACACCATCGCGCAGCAGCGCCAGGTCGCCTCCACCACCATCATCTTCCACCCGGCCGTCCTCGGGCCCTTTGCCGCTCTTCTCTCCGCGCTCGTCTACCGCAGCCGGCACGACTGGGTCGGCGCCGTCATTTTCGTCGCCGGCGTGCTGGTCGCCTACCTGGCCGCCGTGCAGTACTTTACCTACGGCTACCTGCAGCGCGCCGAGGCCTTCAACTGGAAGGCCTTCATCACCCCGGAGGAGGGGGAGGGGGAGGACACGGTCATGTACGCGCGCTACGGCGATAGCATCATCGCCACGCTTGTGCTGCGTCTGGGCAAGGCTACCAAGACAAATACCTCGTCGAAGAAGAAGGGAAGCCGCTCGGCCGCGCAGATTCGCGCGTGGGCTACGCGTCTGCGCTACCGCGGCACCGGCGTCGGCGGTGACATGCTGCGCAACGCGGTCGCATTTTCCCGCTCCTCGCTCGGCCTGGCGGCCTCGATCGAGTTCAGCGATCCTCATGCTCATACTGTCGATACCACCAAGCGCTTCACCGCGCCCTTTGCGCGCCGTGAAGCGAAGGCACGCCAGGCTCTCGCTCAGGCCATCGAGGATGTCGACGCAGCCACTGATCAATAAATAGAGCATATACTATTGTACAACCATCATTCATACACATAAATACCCTAATAGAATTTACAGCGAATTTTTTTTCAAGCTCTATATACGTGTTTTAAAGTTATCAGAAGCGTCGCCAAGATGGCGCTGTCTCACCTCGACGACGAGCAAGTCTATAGTAATCTTCACGTGCGTCAACCCAATCACCAACGACCGCTCAACGTCGCCTCCAGCTCTTCAGGATCTTAACTATTGTACAACCATGAGGAAACATCTTGTTGCTTATTGGTGAGACTCCCTCTCCGCTTGTAGCGCCCGCACTCTTTGACCCATCTCCCCATCGTCTTGGCTTCAGCCACTGTGCGTCTCTGGCTGATGTGCGTGGCCGCCGCTCGTCTTGGCCCGTCTTGGCACAGCATTGAGGAACTTCTCGGTGCCGATCACGGGAATAAAAGCTTTGGCAGCAAGGCTCTCTTGCTTCGATCTCGAGAATTCTCTCCGAATCGGGCCACTCCTACGAGTTTCCGGGCTTGCTGGTAGCACCACTTTACATTACAACATCCTACCCTGTAGCTAGAAGTGCGCGCCACGCCAGCATCTCATCCAGTCGGCGTTCATCTGTACCCTACCTCTGTAAACATGCTTGGAGTAACAGCGTCCTCATTATGACATTTGTAGCTGTTTTGTAGTTTTGGGGTTACTAGAATGTGCCGCAAGACAACAGATTCTTTGGCGAGTATTAATACCTTCGAGCAGGGAGTCATCCAAAAGGCCCTTGTTGAAGCAACAACTCAACTTCCAATATATATATGTATATATTGATACCCTCTGGAATTAACAGTGCCCTCCCACGCCGGTGTTGGAACACAAAAATAGCACTGGTGTCGACGCACAGAAATCCCCCTTCTGCCGTTTGTGGCTGCCAACAGCCGGGTGATAGCTATGAAAATCCACAGCGCCGTTGCTCCAGTCCAGGCCTTCCGCCGTGCCCGTCGTGACCTAGCCCAGGGAGTCTACGTCGGGCCTCCCGGACTTGACGTTGATGCCGCTCCTGTACGTCGCCGTCATCCGAACCCCCCTCCGCGCCGGACGCGCCTGCAGGTGCTCGGCGAGCTGGAAGGAGGTCACGCCGTCAAAAGTGTAGAATGCAAAAGCTTCAGAGGAGCCGATATTTGCAGCGATCAAGGCTAGAGTTCGTGTAAAAGGCATGACAACTGATCATTGGCTAGGATAGATGTTTGGCAGTGAGCAACTCTCGTAGTAGAACAACTTCGATATGTAGATACTCCCTTCTGTGTGTGATGTCTCTCCTAGATCAGTGAAAATCGCCACCTCTCGTAGTCAATCCTATTTCTCGTTTTTATCGGCAGAACATACATATTTGGGGTGGCCTTTGCTATTACTCCTCAAGGACGTCTTCCCGGTACTACATTACGACGCCAAAATGCGCTCGTCTTAGTCCCGAGAAGTTCGGAAAAATTTCCTTTTACAGGTTGCGCATCAGGCTGTGCATATTTAACTGTCTTGATCAAGGTGGTGAAGCATCCGAGACTAGGGATACGTGCCAGCTATGAATGTCGCATGCTGAGACCAAACCGACTTTATTGCAACACGTTCGTCAGCTTGCACATTTTTAAATGGGTATTGTTTTTAATACACTAATATGCTCTGTGTTCTGGTAGTAAGTAATGGGGAAAACCAGAGTCCTCCCAGTATAAATCGTATTAGTCTAAATAAATCTGGCCAACAGTATACATGAAGAAGAGCTTGTCCACCCGACCCGGAGACGTAACTGCCCTCGAATGCAGTGTTTCGCAGTCCACCAGTTGTCCGCTTTTCAGTATGATGAATTGAAAATTCGAATGCCTTGTATTTAGAGACCGCCAATGGGGCTCTTGGCGCCGCCGCCGAGGCCGTCGAGGAGGGAGCCGGCCGTGTCGTCGCCCTGGCCGCTGCCAGTGCCGCCGAGACCGGGGACGATGCTCTCAATGCTGTCGAGGAGAGGGCCGACCGACTTGATGATGCCGGAATGGCCGCCGAGAAGAGGCAGGTCGCGCTTTTCCGTGGGGGCAGCGGCGACGCTGGTGACGAGAGTGGCCACGATGGCAGCGATGGTGTTGGCCTTCATTGTGTGTGGTTGTTTTGTGAAAGGTTATTAATAAATGGTATAAGTTTTTTTTTTCGGCTAAACAAAGAATTGAGTAGATGCAGCGACAGTGTTTTCTATTGTTATGATACTAGCACTTCGTCCTCCTCTTATAGTCTCTTGGGCGTTGGCGATCTGAGACACATTGTTGACGCCATTGTTAGCTTTACACAATAACGGCACACAATCGCAACTGCCGTGCCCTCGCGCACTTCCCCTAATGATGGTGTGATGCCCTATTTTCCTTCACTGGGAGATTACTTCAAGACGTTTCTCTATGTCGCGATTTTAGTGTCATTAGGCGAATGGCGTTCCTGGCGCCGATCCCATCACCCCACGAATGTCCGCCAGGCGCTGTGCAAGAGATAGGTGGCTGGCCCAGCCGATTAGATCTCATAATAAGCATGGTCTTAATTTAATTTCTTGTTAGTGTATCTCAGCAGCTCGCTTCTACCGAAAGCGTCAATAAACTTTGCTCATCACTTACACGATGTCACGGTTGGGGAATCCAGCAGCATTCAGCTCATCATGCAAGCAGGATCAGAGCACGCCTACAAGATATTATTTGAAGCTAACTAGCTGTGCAGTATGGTAGTCACTCAAATATACATAAAAAGCAAGTTAGTATCTCAATCAGGACCAATCACGGAGCAGATCCAGGCTCCTCCGCTGCTCACAGCACAGATGCGGCCTCCGCTGCTTCGCCAAGTGCCAATGCCGAGGTATTCGCCGTGGACCGTGTGGTACGTCCCTACCAGAGGCTGCGTGAGCACCTCGCCGCAGTCCTTTAGCACCAGATCATACCTATGCTGCACCACCTTGCGCTGGGCCACCAGGCTCGCGCCGCCTCCGGCAGGATCCAGCCGGGCGCTCTGCAGGTCCCGCAGCGCGGCCAGCCACTCGTCGCCGCCAAGGTCCTCGCCAAACACGATCCCCGCGCCCTTGCCTCCCCGAACGGGCTTGAGGAGGTATGCGTCCTTAAGGGCGGGATCGACGCGGGACTGGCGGAGCAGGCGCCTCATGCGCGCCTCGCCGGGCAGGGTCGTGTCGGCGATGCCCTTGGCCAGCGCCCGGGCCTGCCCCGCCGCGAGCACGCCGCGGCGCAGCAGCGACGGCAGCTCCTGCGAGATGATGCCCAGCATGCGCTTGTCGTGGACGAGCAGGATCGTCCGCATGTCGTTGAAGCAGCGCAGACTGACGTGGCGCAGCATCTCCGGGTCTAGGGCTGCGAGCTCGCGCTGGTGCAGCTCCAGGCCGACCTGGTGGACTTCTTCCACCACCTCGCCGCTGGCGGTTCTCAGCGCGCATGGGCTCGTGGCTTGGGACTTGTCCAGGCAGCAGAGAATGGTGCGGGTGGTATCCGCGGGGTCGGGAATCAGCCTCAAATCTCCAGGAGTGATGAGGCGCGGGGTGACGCCAAGTCGTCGCAGAACGGCATGGATGAACATGCCAATGTCGATTCCCCTTTCATCGCCTTTTAAAAGATGGAGCGGTCGATCGTGGCGAAAGAGCCGAAGGAGGCCGTTAAAGAACTATCTCTGATTAACATGCTGTTTAACAATGAAGGATGTGGTTGGCGACTCTACCTCTTCTCCATCCGCAGCGCCAACAAGCCCCGACTTGTCCATACCCATGTTGTCGAGCGCTGTCTGCCCGTAGCTGCCGTGCATGAAGCCATTGAAGCAAAATCGCGCGTTGATCTCGGTTAAACGGAAGTTTTCTTCCCCATTGTCATCTTCAACAAGAAAATCAGGCCTCCAAGATCCGAGCGTTGCTGCTGAGTACGGCGCGAGGTTTCCCTGTACAACTTGCCCATCGAGCCACTAGACATGTGTCAGAGTTAGGCCTGCCTCTGACGTTTAAATAAGCTCTTTGATTTCATACCTGTAATAGCTGCTCTTCATCTTTTAGTAGCGGCATCCTCTCGGGGAATCTTGCGTCCTGATCCGAGAACCACCTCTTGACAATGTCTACGATGGCAATGATGAGGGACTCATGAAACCGCACCAACTGGTCATGATGACGCTTGTACATGAGAATCGGTCGCGGGCAGCCGTATGTGTAAGAAGTACCGCCGGGCCAGATGTCTGCAGGGCATCTTTCGAGTAGAATTGATTCGTGTGCCGCATGCTCAGCTGCGTACACAGCTTTTGGTGTTGCGCAGGCCGGATTGACAGCCAAGTGACCGAGCGGGCCTCGACCAAGGTGCACCTGCTGCATGCGAAGTGGAATTGGGCCGGGCATTATGATTCATAAGGAGCTGAGATCCTACTAATTGAAAGATGGGAGGTGACAATGAAAGGGCCGCGCGCCTAGGAAGATGCCACGGGCAGGGCATTCTTATAGCCACGACCCATGGTGATGACTGTTCCGTCGCTGCAATATCTGCAAACCTGACTAAGTGCAAGGCGGCTAATAGTAACTGAGTTAAACCATATCATCGCCACTGTCAGCTAAGGACCCTCCTCTGCATATGTATGCGGTGGAAAACCCGCACCTGTATGTGCATGGGTGGGACATGGTGATACTTGACGCCAGGCAGGAATCAACACCAGCGAGGACTTCGCTTAGTCGCGGCCGGAAGGTAAAAGACGCATCCTTTCCTTGTAAATAATTTGCAGAGACTCACTTTAATATGCTTTTCTGGCCCTGGAACTTTCCCTTTCTACAAAACTGGCTGTGTTCCGCCGCCATGTTAGGGTTCTGTTGGCTGTAGGCTATCGGCTCTACATAACAGCCTCTTATTTCCGTACTATCAGTCAGTAACTCATCATAATCCGTAGTCCACGAGTACCTCTCAATGGATGGGGTTTTTTTGGTTTGTCTGCCTCGCGATTTATGTGTTGTCAGATTGGCGGCATCCATTTGTGGAACTCATAGTGCTTATTAGCTGTAGAACATCTAAGAGGCCATAACTATCATCTTTATTCTCGACTCTCGACTACCTCGATCTATCTCTATACGTCGCACGGCCGCGTCCCGATTTGTGATAACCGCAGGCTGCAACGCTGCTCGGCTCACCGGGCGCGATTGCCATACCACCAAGATTGTAAACCATATAGCGCTGAACTGGCACAATTTTCACCAATGACCATTTCAAACCTGCACTTAAGTAAGCTTTGATACTAATTCAAATAAGCAGGAGAGCCTGGACCAATAACTGAGACGTATGTAGTTATCCTGAGACATGTAGGGAGAACGGGTTGTGCCGCGAACTTGAATTACTTCTCGACTCAGTATACCCCAGAACAACAAGCAGGGCCAAATAGAAGGTCGATATTTCTTGAATGCATTTCTTGGATTTTGAACTTTTTATTCTCTATTCTCGCCATCTAATTTACACGTCTTTCCTGATTCCTCGCGAGTTTCCTACTCACCGTCGAACCCCAGTTTATTCGCTGCCAAAGATGTTACTAACTAGCACAGTAGTTTTGCCACGGAGAAATTTTCAGCTTTCAGCAGAAGAACAGGAAAGAATCGCATCCGCCAAAGTAATTGGTGCTTTAGGCAGCAGAATAGAATCGCCGTCCAGTTGAAAAACTGGAGGCGCCCCAGAGTTGAGCTCATTGCGGGGAAGTTACAGCGGAGAGTCCCTGTGATTCTCCGGTTTAGATGCTGTTGCGGCGCTGTAAAACCCTGCTAGCGGCACGGAATGTGCCCTGAATCTCTACAGCCACCCACTAAAATTGCCTGCCGTCCACCCCCTCGCTCGTCGCCGCCGAACTCCCCGGTGGCGCGGTGCCTTCATACATATCTCACCTACCCGGTACCGGTCGGGCATTTATCGTATTCTTCTATCAAAATGCACTTGGCATAGGGAAAACTCCCTCAAAAGTCTAATGCTCATTTTTAGCTATCCATAAAACTAAGATTCCTCTTTGGTCTGGGATAGGGCCGTTCATCCAACAACACTGGTAGGACCATTACGGCCTGTCAGCATCAATGTTATGCACACGCCCCCCAGTTCCCCGCCGAACCACTTCCCCTCCCCCTCAGAAGTCGCCGCACTCCCCGAACATTTATCTTCCTTCTCAACCCGCGACTCCTCGAACTTTGGATATTTAGACAGACTGGTCGATTTCTCTTCTTCACCACCGTCTGGCTACTCGTCCTGTTCACCCAATTGGCGAATTGTTTACAGCAATACAGCATTTTTCATCACCGTGCCGCGATTCTCACATTGCTTGCGACCACCAGCTATGTACGCCTACAACAAGCCCATCAACCCGATGGAGTACGTCTTGCGCCCTCTCCCACCCAGTGTTATTCAACACTCTGCATCGCATATCGATAAACTCAGATGTACGGCTTAGAAACTAACTTCTCGCTTCCAACAGACCTCCAGCCAAGCTGGTAAGATGCCCCTAAAGCTTCGCCTCACGCCGACGGCCCGCCACTCCAGGCCAGGCACAACGCCCACCGCCACCTCGCCAACCTCTCCAATGCTCTCGCTCGCAAAGTGGAAAATTACTAACAGACGTACTCTAGGACCATTACATTGGCATAGACGTCGGTACAGGGTCTGCTCGTGCCTGCATCATTGACGAATCGGGTGACATCAAGGCCCTGGCTGCCGAGAATATTAAGCTGTGGCAGCCTCAGAGTGGTTACTATGTATGTCCTCTGGGTCCGAGTCCCAGCGTCGTCAACTAACAAAGTCAACAATAGGAGCAATCTACGACGGATATTTGGCAATGTATCTGTGAATGCGTTCGAAAGGTAGTTAGCGAGTCACAAGTCGATCCCAATTCTATCAAGGGGATTGGCTTTGACGCAACCTGCTCCCTAGCCGTCTTCTCGACTGATACCGACGAGCCAATCACCGTTACCGGCCCCGACTTCAAAAATGATGGCAACGACCGAAATGTCATTCTGTGGCTCGACCACCGACCCGTCGAGGAGACCGAGCTCATCAACAATACGGGCCACAACCTCCTCAAATACGTGGGAGGTAAAATGAGCATCGAGATGGAGATTCCCAAGATTCTCTGGCTCAAAAACAATATGGCCCCGGAACTATTTGCCCGATCCAAGTTCTATGACCTCGGCGATGCCCTCACCCATATTGCCACCGGGAATGAGAGTCGCAGCTTCTGCAGCACAGTCTGCAAGCAGGGCTACGTCCCTGTCGGCGTGGATGGCAGCGTCAAGGGCTGGCAGGAAGACTTTTATGACGCCATTGGTCTTAGTGACCTCGTTGAAGATAACTTTAAGCGCATGGGAGGCGTCGATAAGGTGGTGAGCCGCTCCGCAGCACGTGCATCTTCTTCCAAATCCCCTTTCAATCCTATTTCGACAGTCGTATAATATTATGGACACGAGCTAACATACTCATCTACAGAACGGAAAGTACGCCAGTGCCGGTGAATGCGTTGGAACCCTCAGCAAGCAGGCTGCCTATCAGTTAGGTCTTCCCCAAGGCATCGCCGTTGGTAGCAGTGTCATTGATGCCTACGCTGGTTGGATTGGAACCGTCGGCGCCAAGGTTGATCTCGGCGACGACGAACTCAATGCCAACCTCCCACACAACGACCTTTCCCAGGCCTTTACGCGACTTGCTGCTGTTGCCGGTACCTCAACTTGCCATCTCGCAATGTCTAAGAACCCCGTTTTTGTCCCAGGCGTCTGGGGCCCCTACCGCGACGTACTACTTCCAGAGTACTGGATGGCCGAGGGCGGTCAGTCTGCGACTGGCGAGCTGCTACGACACATGCTGGACATTCACCCTGCTTTCAACGCCACACAGGCTCTGGCAAAGGCCGAAGATAAACATATATACGACTGGCTCAACGCCCACCTCGAATACATGGCGGAGAGAGACAACGCGCCTGCCGTGTCCTATCTTGGCCGCCACCACTTCTTTTATGGTGATCTTTGGGGTAACCGATCTCCCATCGCAGATGCCACCATGAAAGGCGCCATGATTGGACTGGACAGCGACAAGAGCACTGACAACTTGGCCCTCTGGTATTATGCTACCATGGAGTTCATCGCCTTCCAGACGCGTCAGATCATCGAGCAGATGAACAAGTCCGGTCACGAAATATCTTCCATTTTCATGTCTGGCTCACAATGCCAAAACCCGATTCTGATGAACTTGATGGCGACCGTCTGCAGGATGCCCGTCCTCATTCCCCGCTACGTGCACGCTGCCGTCGTACACGGTGCCGCGATGCTGGGTGCCAAGGCGGCTAGTCACAACGAAGAAGGGCACGAGTCCGAGTCGCTCTGGAGCATCATGGACCGCATGAGCAAGCGCGGTCGCTTAGTCGATCCGGGTACTGATGCGGGCGAGTTGGCGATGTTTGATGCCAAGTACGAAATCTACCTTGAGATGTGCAACACACAGCAGGTTTACCGCAAGAAGGTGGACGCCGCTACTGCTAAGTGGAAGAAGGAATTTGGTGGTGATGCGTAAAGAATGCCATCTCTGAAAGGACGGACATCTAGTTACGGATAAAATTTACTTTATAATATAGAATAGCATGGATATAAATGGTAGGGATTTAGTGCAGAGGCATCTTTCTCTATGCAAAAATCACCAAGAATAATAGATAAGATGAGATCTGACTCGGTTAACAGTTTCTCGTTCATTTAACTTTTTTTTGTTTTCCAATTCCATTTCAATGCTATGATAATGAGTTTTGGAGTCGCTCGGCAAGCGCAAAAGCTCGAGACCTGGGCGCATGTCCGGCGGCGACCGGCTTTTGACATCTTGTTCTCTTTTCCTCAAGAAAGAGCGACCAGGATCTAAGTAGCAAATTCAGTAACAAGATAAGCTAAAAACCAGAGCTCTTTTTCAGGGAAAATAATAATAAAAAATAAAAAGGAATTTGTTAACATTCTACTTTGGGATGAAGAACGAGCTGGCGCCGCCTATGCACTTCCATAGCCCCACTCATGCTACATAGACTAAGCTGATTGGCCCAAGCTCCCGGTGCCTGGCCAGCAACCAAACGCCAAAATTCTAGCAAAGCAGCAACGCAACACAACGCGACGGCGCTTCCAGTCCTCGACATCAACAACGTCCGGCCCGGCACACACCAGCATCAATCTATCGCGCGCACAGCCAAGGAACGTGTTTTGATCGCGCTCGCCCAGCTAAAACAGGTCAACACCGCGCCAATCTCCCTCGTCACGGCCCAAGCTTCCCTGTTGGACTCAAAAGCTTGTCCGCAAATCGATCGAACCCTCGAACCCCAAACATGTCTGTCTTTGGAGGCGGAGGCGCCGCTGCTGGCAGCTCCCCCTTCGGGCAGCCCCAGCAGCAGACGGGCACCGCCGCCGCGGGCACGACGACGAGCAGCAGTTTGTTTGGCGCGCTGGGCCAGAACAAGCCCGCCACAGGGACCGGACTGTTTGGACAGAGCATGCAGACCCCGGCCGCGGGCACCGCATCCGGCGCTTTTGGACAGGCCGCGCAGACGCCGCAGACGGGCACTGCCGGTAGTGTCTTTGGACAGGCCGCGCAGACTCAAACGGGCGCAGCCGGCAGCGTCTTTGGGCAGCCTGCGCAAACTCAGACAGGCACCGCCGGTAGTGTTTTTGGACAACCTGCGCAGAACCAAACACAGCAGACTGGAACGACTGGAGGCGGCCTATTTGGTCAGGCCAGTCAAGCCCAGATACAGCCAGCTGGCGCTACAGGCGGCAGCGTCTTTGGCGGTGGTGGCGCTTTTGGCCAACCTACACAAAATCAGACCTCCAATGCATTCTCATTAGGCGGATCAACCTTGCTTAGTGGCCAACAGCAGCAGCAGCAGCAGCAGCAGCAGCAGCAGCAGCAGCCGGCAGTATCTGGCTTTGGAGGCAGTCTGTTCGCCAGCCAGGCACAGAGCAACACTCAAAATGCCGCCACCGCGCCGTCACAGCCTGCAGGTGCCTACTTTGACAGCCTGTTTGCCAAGACACAAAAGGCTGGCCAGAACGACGCCAACATGGGAGATCTTCCAAGCCTCGAGCTGGGGCTTGGCGATCTGCGCCACCGTCTGCGCAAGCTACAGTCCAAGCCGAACGAAAAGCCTCTCGAAGGCAAAGCGCACTACTTGCTCGCTGCGGCTGGTGTGAACCCTAGTGCTGCGGCCAAGGATTTGGGTCTTTTGGATGTGCAGGGACGTAACGAGCGTATTGCGAGCAGCGGTTATGCCCCGACCGAAATCGACGTCGAAACCTACCTCTCGAATTTGCAAACGAAGACAACTCTCAGCATGATCTCGGACGGCCTGGAACGATCGGTTCGCGACTTTGATACCTTCTTGGAGGACAACGTTGCCATGGAGTGGGATGCGCAGCGAAAGCGAATCTACGACCACTTCGGTATCAAACCCCGCGAGAATGGAGCTGCTGGCCGCGAAAGCCAAGGCGGATTTGGCCGTTCTCGACGCAGCAAAGCCCAGAGCGGCGCTGGCAAGACCGCTCGCGGCTCTGTCCTTGGAAATGCCGCTCTTCATCGGTCTGTCATTGGTGCTCCTAGCAGGATTGGAATGCACGAGTCTGAATTCACAGATGTCGATCAGGCCGCGGACGCCAAAAAGAAGGGCGGAATGGAAGACCGCGCGATGCGTGAAAGGCAGCTGAAGCTTTCTGACAAGGTTCGCAACTTGAACATGCATCGACTAGACAACCGCCCATACCCTATTCTGCATGAGCTCTGCCAGATCGAGGAAAAGTCGCACGATTCGCATGCATTTCATGTTGTTGAGGCATATCGTGCCATGATAGAGATTGTTGGCGAGGCACCTTCTGATTCTCCCCTAGGCTATAGCACTACGAAAGAACGTCACTTCGCCAGCATGTATCTGAACGAGAATCCCAATTCTCCTCAAGCTGTTGAAATGAAGAAGAAAATTCTTAGCGGCGCAAACGCATTTTTGGAGAAGCAGTTTATTCGAGAGGTTGAGAGCCTTATTGCGAAACATCCTCATGAAGCCAAGCTAGGCGGTCTGCCAGATATCACAAGCAAGATCAGGGCATACATCCGCCTTCGCTCGGCCAGGAAAGACCTGGTGCCCGACAACACAGAGCTGCAGCAGGTTCAGGGCGAGTACGTTTGGGCGATAGTGTTTTACCTCCTACGGTCTGGCAACGTCAACGAAGCTGCGAAATATGTCAATGACAACAGCAACCATTTCAGGGGAATTGACCGCACATTTTCGACCTATCTCAACAACTATGCTGCCAGCGAAGATCGCAGAATCACTAACCGGAAACTGCTTGAGCGCTGTACAAACGAATATGTCCAGCGATACCGGAACGCACCGGAAAATTCCATCGATCCGTTCCGCATGGCTTGTTACAAAGTCATTGGCCGAATCGAACTGGCGGACCGCAATCTGAGTGGCTTCAACACAGACATCAACGATTGGATTTGGTTGCAGTTCAACCTTGCTCGTGAAGGGGACAAGACTGTCGAAATGGCAGGAGAGTCTTACGGCCTCGCGGAGCTGCAAACCAGCATACGGGAGATTGGGCTCAAGCACTTCCCCAAAACTGTTTCCGACGATAACAACAGCGGCAGCTTTGGCATGTTTTTTTATCTGCAAGTTCTCTCGGGCATGTTCGAAGATGCCATTGGCTATCTTTATTCCTTCTCCTACGTTGACGCCGTCCACTTTGGCCTCGCGCTCGAGTACTATGGCCTTTTGCGGCCCAGTGACCCGATGTCGGCGCCAAATGACCTCCGCAGCCACAGCAGCAAGAATCTACCTCAAATCAACTTTGGCCGGATGATCGGATACTACACGCGTGACTTCCGCGCGGCTGACGTTGTATCGGCTGTTGATTATCTGATCTTGATTTGCCTCAACAAAGACCTAGGCGGAGAAGCTGGTCGAAGACAGAGCAACCTGTGCCACGAAGCCTTGCGTGAGCTCGTACTCGAGACACGTGAATTCAGCAAGCTGATTGGAGACATTCGCCCTGATGGCCAGCGCATCCGGGGTATCATCGAAATCCGTGGTCCTCTCATCGGCCTGAGCGACGAAGATGACTTCATTAACACCGTCACACTGCAAGCTGCAAGCTTCGCCGACGAGAATGGGAGAACGACTGACTCTGTACTGCTGTATCACCTAGCTGGCGAGTACGATGCCGTGGTTGCGATTGTCAGCCGCGCTATCAGCGAAGCAATCGCCCTCGAAATTGGCGAAGATCCTATGCGTCTGATGCCTATCAAACCCCGGGCCGGAGGAGGCGATGCAGATGCCCAGCAAGGAACTAGCTTGAGCTTGGCTGCCATTGATGACCCGATCGAGCTCGCCAGGACAATGATGTGCATGTATGAGCGTGATGCTATGTTCTACCGCAAGATTCAGGACCACAACAAGATGGCCTGCCGAGTCTTGCTGGAGATGAGTACTATCAAGAGCCTCGTCGAGGCCAGCCAGTGGGCGCAATGCCTTGATGTAAGTCTACACGCGGCTGACGCTCACCGATCTACTGCTAACTAGGAATAGAAAATCCGGGGTCTCGAGATTCTGCCACTGGACGCTGGTGGAGACGCCAGCACAATTCGCGCCTTTGCAGCCAAATTCTCTGCCCTCCCACAGCCCGTCTCCATCAACGTGCCGAATCTCCTGATGTGGACCATCCTCTCGTGTGTGCGACAGCGCGAGCAGCTCACCAACGGGCAATTCAGCGGCAACGAGGGCACGCGCAGGTTGATGGCGGATCAGCTCAAGCAGATGACGATGGACTTGACGACATATACCAGCCAGCTGCGGTACCGCTTCCCGCCACACCTGCATGAGGCGTTGGCAAGGGCGTCGGCGGAATAAAAAGGAGAAGTCTGAACGAAGGAATTTTACGTTTTGTACGGGAGTGTTGATATTGATTCAAGTCATGGGTTTTGGCTAAGTGTAGACTAGACCGAGTGATCTATTGGACGGGGTTCAAATTTAATGGTTAACCATCCTAATATACTGGAAGACTCTGCTGGGAACTATCATGTAGTTTGGTGGGTAGGCCTGGAATCTGGAGCTGAAGGAAGCTTCGAGAATGACCACAGGGTTCGGGACACCACATAGGGAACCTCCTGCCATCCGGCGCGATAGCCGCGATTGTTTACGCCCCTGTAAAAGGCCGGCGGATCAATGGGTCAAGAGGCAACCCCCCTGTCTATCGAAGGATTTGAAGCCATCTCTGCATGCTGGCGACGCCTATTTGCATACGGATTGTACCCACAATATCCCGATCAGCTGGAGCAGGTGTCCGATTCAGCTTGTTTCGAAAGATCCGTTGTATTTCGGTAGTGGAAACGAACGCTGGAGGCTATGAACGGAAGACGAGGCTTTACGATATCTCCTATCTACGATGAATAACCCCATTCTCAATCGGATACAGGGGATTGAGAATGAAAAATGATAAAACTATAGAGGCGATTTGGTGCATTGAAGATTCACCCTTTTTGTCCGGCCCAATGCTTCGTTTGACTCGTTGGGTAGGTCTTCGGCGGCGCCACATCCAGCCCTCAGCCGGGCCCGGTGATATGCGATACGCATACAGCAAATAGGTGAATGCAGCTCTGCGAGACACTTTACGAGACAGGAGCCCGGAATAGAGGCTGAGGCCTGGTATCTTCTACGTCTTTGGGATCGGGTTTCGCCGCCGCTGCGTGATTCGTCACGTGGATGTGACAAGAGCTGCAGGCTGCGGGCGCCCCCAAGACGGGTTTGTGTGACGTGACGGGAGCAAACAGAAGACTGTTCCGGACAACTCTCCTCCTGCACGATCGTGTGGTACAGGCTTAAGAGGGGAAGAAAAATAAGGAGTCGACCGATTCGCATAAAGGGCAGACGTAATACAACTGGCGTGCAAGGCGAGGGTCTATACAACAACCTCCTGTGGCTGCCCAACTTACACGACAGAAAAGACTTCTACGAACAACGCCATCTACGAACAACGCCATGTCACCGTCCGGTTATACCCACGGCGACACGCCGCAAAAGGCCATGGTCCGGGGCGCGCTGTCGTATCTGCGCGGGACGGGTCTCGTCGTCAACAAGACGGCCGTCTTCCGCCACTTTGGCCTGTCGCGGGCGCAGGGCTACTCGGCCATCACAGCGCACACGTCTCGCGCCGACGAGCCCGACTGGATCGAGTCGCGCGGTCGCCCGTCCAAGATCTCCAAGCAGGCGCTCAGGTTCCTCGAGTACCTGCTGTGGAACGACATTGGTAGTGCCACGCTCGACGAGGCGACCGCGGTGGCGGTCCTGGAGGGCCGGGCGTGGAGCGAGGAGTCCCAAGACAGCGGAATCGCAACGACGGCGGAGGACGGGGTCGGCGAGGAAGAGTCCTCCTCGTCTTCAATGGCGGCGGCACCGCCCGCAGTCACCACCGTCGCCGCGGCCGTCGCCGCCGCCGCGACGGCCACCGCCGCGACCAAGGTGGAGGGCCCGACGTGGGAGAGCCTGATGCGTCAGGGGAGGGCGTTTGGCCTGCAGACAACGTTCAACGCGCGCACGATGCGCCGCGCCATGGGCACGCTGCTCTACCGCCGCTGCCTGTGCTGCCAGGGCACCTGGGTGAACCCGCAGCACCGCACGTCGCGCGTCAAGTACGCCCGCAGCCGGCGCAAGGCCCTGCCGGACGTCGACGACTGGCGGCGCGTCCGCTTCAGCGGCGAGCTGCACTTTGCGTTCGGCCTGGACGGGCGGATGCGGCTGCTGCCGCGGCCGGGCGAAAAGTACGCCTGCCCGGCGTGCCAAAAGGCGGCAGAGGCGCAAGAGCAGCAGCAGCAGCAGCAGCAGCAGCAGCCCCAGTTGTCGGGTTGGGATCGCGACATCCGCCGCGTGCACGCCTGGGCGGCCATCGGGTACGGGTACCGCAGCGACCTCGTCTTCTACGACGAGCAGACGGGGCCCAAGTCGCTGGGCATCATGACGCCGGCGGCGTACCGCTCGGCCGTGCTCGAGCGGGAGGTGCAGGAGTGGCCGGTCGGCGGCGGCCTCGTCTGGGAGGAGGAGCACAACCCGCACGCGGCGGGCGGCAACGCCATCGACAAGGCGGCCGAGGCGTGGAAGGACGCGCGCCGTCTGCGGCGCCACCGCGGCTGCCCCGACGCGCCGGACCTCTGCCCGCTCGACTTCACGTTCGGCCCGCGCAAGCAGTGGCGGCTGCAGCTGCCGGACTGGGAGCCGGAGACGCTGCAGCGTGCGGCGCGCCAGGTCTGGGCGGCGGTGGACCAGGCCCAGGTGGACGCCTGGGTAGAGAGGATGCCGCAGCGACTGGACGAGGTCATCAAGGAAGGGGGGAGTATGGTGATGTGGTGAGATGCGACGGTTTTTGTTTTGGGATTCGTTTTCTTGGGCTTTTCTGTTCTTCTCCCCCCCTACCTTGTTTTGTTTTGGCCGGCATAGATTTGCAACTTACGAGATTACCTTGCATCAAATTGTGGCAGCATAGATTTTTTTAGAATGATGAACTTGCATCAAAAAGGCAACTTAAATACAACCAATCTTTTGCAGGCGGAGTTTAGAGTTGGCCGTGCCTCTTTACTCCGGATCGCGATCGGAGTAGATTGCTCCACTTGCCGACTTGGGTAATCCGAGACGGAGGACAGCAAGAAGTGAATGTCGAGGTGAGGAGCAAATATAAAGTGATCAATATGATATAATGGCCAGTATCAAGTAACATGATTAGGCAGGTTAAGTGTGGCAATAGGGGTGCTAGCAGTGAGGGTGCTAATTGTATGATAGGGGACGGTGATGCCAGCTCCCGGATTTACATGAGTAAACGGGCACATGTATCCGCGATGTAAACTCCGGATCTACAAATATAAAACGACAAGAAATAGCTTTTGGCTATAATAAGACGTCCTGGGAAGTTCAATTCTCTTGTATTGACTGCAGCCTTTTGTTCTTCCTCGTACTAAACCTCATCATGACTTTTACTCTCGTCACGAGCGGCAACAGAGGCATTGGTCTCGCAATTGTCAAGGTGCTGAGCGCCAGACTCTCAGCCCCTTCGATTGTTATCGGTTGTAGAGATATTATATCAGGAAAGAAGGCCATACAAGAGCTTCGGACGGAAGGAGTTACGGTGCACCTCGACCATGTCGAGCTAGACATTGAGAACGATGACTCGATCCGGGAGGCTGTGGCGACTGTTAGTCAAAGATACGGCAAGCTCGAGTGTACGCGCAAATTAATTTGCAAAAGGCCCTTCGAATTCATTCGTATGCTAATGTGAAATAGTCCTCGTCAACAATGCAGCACGAGTGACACAGCCCGAGCCGGACAGGCTCGAGGACGTTCGCCGGGCCGCCAACGAGGTGTTCAACAACGGCATCACGTCCAACGAAGTCATCACACGCGCGTTCCTGCCATTACTTCGCAAGTCCCCCTCGCCGCGGGTGATTATGGTCTTGAGCGCGCGCGGCAGCATCGGCATGACCGCTGCCAGAGAGGTAATTGCCAGCCCTGCCCCAGCCCTGTTGCGCCCGGATCTTGCTAATGAAGATGACAAGTTGCCCCCTGCTGCGGTGGTGAGCTACTGCTTGAGCAAGGCGGCGCTCAACATGCTGATGGTGCATCTGCAGCGGGAGCAGGACCGCAGGGCCGGGAAGGATACGGCCATGGTCGAGTTCTGGGCTGTCAGCCCGGGACACTGCCCGACCACTTTCTATAGGTACAGAGGGAGCAGGGACCCGGAGGACGGCGCAGAAGTGGTGGCTAGGCTTCTAGAGGCAGAAAAGGGGGAGTTTGAAGCTGGCACATTTTGGCGGTGGGAGGACGGGGAGATGAAGCGGGTAAAGTGGTAGACGGCGACGGCGGCGTACGTGTATCGGGAATGACTGCCGAAACCACGCCATCAATAGGATCACTGCTTTCGACAGTTTCGCTTTATCTATCTTTGCTCTATTTGGTTAAATCCTTCTCCTCGTCATGGAGCCCGCGCAATGGTTCTGCCAGACATTTGCTTGAAGACACGGTTGGGATCCCGCTGGCAAGCATATTACCAAGCTTCAGCAAGCAGGCGCGATGATATCATATCAGATGCCAACTTCCCGCCAACGCGAAGCAAGAGTCAAAATGAAACGGAGATGCGTCCTTCATTTTATTTGTTCCTCGTCGCCTCCAACGAACAATCATCACCTTGCGTGCGGCGCAGTTGGCAAGTGAGGAACTTGGCCGTGGCCAGCAGATCGGGCCAGGCCGAGATGGAGCTCGGGAGCACATGTATCAGACGGACCGGGGCGCTAGTCTGGGGCAAGGAACATGCGGGCATTTGTGTAACTTTGCCTGCGAGATATCATCGTCAATGAGTGCAGTGAACTTGTCGTGACATGGGGATAGCCAACTGCCAGCATTGAGTGAATGGCATGGTTTGGGCTAGAGACGGCAGCAGTGGGGCCGGGAGGGGTGCCGGGGGCTAGCAGACTCCAGCGAAGAGGGAGCAGTAATTTTTAGCAGGCGCTTGTTGCATTTCTTGGCTCAACAAATTTCCCAACAGAAAATTTGCGGGCGGCGGTGCGACACAGGCGACGTGGGTCAAAGTTGGGCTGGGGTGGCCTGGCTGGGGGCGGATGTGGAAGGAACGGGATGGACTGACTGCCCACCCGCCTTTTTGGTACAAGGGAAGAAAAGAATAAGAAAAGTGACATGTGAATCTACCAATTGAAAGGGTCCTATTTCACGTCCAACCTTCATGACTGACCCATCGAAAAGAGGCCATTGACTTGTCCACGCGCTGGCTCGGCATCGCCAGGCGGTATGATGTGCGCTGCACATCAAAGTCATATTTTCTAGATGCATTGCACGTGCAGCTTCAGCTCTAAATTCTTCGCCTGTTCTGCAAAGTGTCCGTTCCTGTGGCTGGGCCTAGCGCACACCATCACAGTTTCGTAGCGCAGATTGGGTTCCAAACCTCGGCCGGCCGAAACCACACGTGCGTGCACCAGATAGGCTTTTAGGAGGGGCCCCGCGAAAAAAAAAAGAATGGCCTTCAAGCTTTACAGATTGCCATCGCATCGCACCGCCTTCTGGGATGGAGGGCCAGCAGCACGGGCGCATGACAGCAGCTCCCAATGGAGTGCCGCCGTTCTATCCGCTACCAACGCAAGAAGCTGCCAACTGACCCGTGGGTGTGTCTCGAGATGAGCCATGCGGCGGATTCTTCACTGGTCGCTCGCGGGCGGCGGCTCGGCTTCACATGCGGTGGCGGGCCCCTTTTGAGGGTTCTGATGAAAGATCGCTCGCGCTAGTGGACGAGGCTGTTGGCGAGCATGTAACCGCAAATTTCCAGCACAGCGGTAATGTTATCAGCCCTTGCAAGTGGCGAGACCAAACTTCAGGATGAGGAATTAATGACTTGCATGCGCCTACTGCGTAATCTGGAGGATGTGCCGACGGGGTAGCTCCCTCTGGTCTTTGTCGGTGGTTGGTTGTCTGTGTAGAGGCATCTTGCCCAGGCCGCTGCAGCATGATGCTGGATAGGTACCTATGTATGCAGCAGTCGAGCAAGGCTGGGAGGCGGTGTATCAGCATCATCACACCACCAACGCCGTTCGGCATCCGGTGCGCTGAGACGATGGACGGACGACCAGTTCAGCTGCTGCGGCGCCATCCATCACCACGGTCGGCGGCCGGTGGTGCTTGATTTGTCTGTAGTGGCGTGTGGCCATACGAGCTGGCAGCCCTACTGAAAAGCTTCGATTAGCCTCCAGAGATCCTCCGGATAACCACTTTGTTCAGCAGTCGTATCATCAGTACTAAAAAAGTAGGTTCCGATTTTTCCCTACCACAAGTCAAGTCCCTCCAACTCCACACCATCTGCGGCTTGTTTGTCGTTTGTCGTCCCCTGACTCTGACTCGGTCCACTTCGGTCACTCCTTGGAGCGGGAAAATTCTGCTGACCATTGCTTGTTCGAGTGTGAGACTGCTGTGTTTTGGCATCGTTTGTGACTTTCTTAGTTTTTTGGTGATGCTGCCTTTTTATTATGGTTGTGATGGACTTCGCTGCGGAACAATTTTGTCAAGTAGAAAAAAAAAACTGCCCCTCTGGGTGCATACCCCTTGATCCTGTTTTGTTAAAGCTACCCCACGGACCCTGTAACTAGACCCCAACAAACTTGGAGCTCCGTCGCTCAGGTACACTTTTTTGCAACTCTGCTGCCGAACAAATTATACTGGTAAAATCAGCACAGCCGCAGCACAGGACTTGAAGACGCCCAACCTGGCGTTTCGCCCAATTGCCAAAACAGACCCTCGGAGGGTCAAAGTGAAACTTCAAGAAGACAAAAGCAACATAAAAAGAAAATACGTCTCCCCGCATCAAAGCTTCCGCGACGCCGGTTCCAATAATACAAGCTCGGATAATATCTCCCCTGCCAGATCGTACTCCTACACTCCCCCCACCCCCCTCCTCCTTCTCTCTTATACCTAAACCTCTCCTCCGCCTATTTTCCTTCACCCCTACACCTCCTCTCCTCTTTGATCCCTCAGAGCCTGTTACTCCCTCTCGACATCAATCCGATTACCAACCTCCGGTTACCTATTGCCATGGCTGCTTCTACTGCCATCGCCGGCGGTGCCAAGGCCACCCTCCGACGCAATGTTGTAGAGTCCTCCGAATCTTCAGCCGCCGTCTCGCCTGCCGACTCGCCTCGTCCCTCGCCCTCGTCTACCTCGCTCTCCTCCCTCTCTGAAATGGATGCCGAGCCCAAGCCCATCAGCTACGGCCGCCTCATCGACACCTACGGCAACGAGTTCACCCCTCCAGACTACACCATCAAGGACATCCGGGACGCTATTCCCAAGCACTGCTTCGAGCGTTCGGCCCTGAAAGGCTACTTCTATATCCTCCGCGACATCTTCTACCTCTCTACCACCTTCACCATCTTCTACAACTTCGTCACTCCCGAATACATCCCTAATGTCTACGCCCGCGGTGCCCTCTGGGGCGTCTACACCATCCTCCAGGGTCTCTTCGGCACTGGTCTCTGGGTTATTGCTCACGAGTGCGGCCACGGCGCCTTCTCCGACTCTCGCCTCGTCAACGACATTACCGGCTGGGTCCTTCACTCCTCCCTCCTCGTCCCCTACTTCTCCTGGCAAATCTCCCACTCCAAGCACCACAAGGCCACCGGCAACATGGAGCGCGACATGGTCTTCGTCCCTCGCACCCGCGAGGAGCAGGCCTCCCGCCTTGGCAAAATGGTCCACGAGCTGTCTGAGCTCGCTGAGGACGCTCCCGCCTTCACTCTCATCATGCTCATCGCCCAGCAGCTCATCGGCTGGCCCAACTACCTCCTCACCAACGTTACTGGCCACAACTTCCACGAGAAGCAGCGTGAGGGCCGCGGCAAGGGCAAGCACAACGGCACCGGCGGTGGCGTGAACCACTTTGACCCTCGCAGCCCTCTCTATGAGGCCAAGGACGCCAAGCTCATTGTCCTCTCCGACATTGGTCTGATTCTTGCTGGCTCTGCTCTCTACTTCCTCGGCAACAAGTTTGGCTGGTACAACCTGGCTGTCTGGTACTTCATTCCCTACCTCTGGGTCAACCACTGGCTTGGTAAGTTTTCTCTTGATGCAAACCTATACCCCCTCTCTCAACTTTTACTAACCAGGCACAGTGGCGATTACCTTCCTCCAGCACACTGACCCTACTCTTCCCCACTACCACACTGAGGAATGGAACTTTGTCCGTGGTGCCGCCGCCACTATTGATCGCGAATGCGGCTTCATCGGCCGTCACCTCCTCCACGGCATTGTTGAGACGCACGTTCTCCACCACTACGTCTCGAGCATTCCCTTCTACAACGCCGACGAGGCCTCGGACGCCATCCGTCCCGTCATGGGCAAGCACTACCGCTCCGACACCAAGGGTGGCTTCTTTGGCTTCCTCGGCGCCATGTACAAGAGCGCTCGCATGTGCCAGTGGGTTGAGCCCTCGGCAGAGGCCACCGACCAAGGCAAGCACATTCTCTTCTTCCGCAACAAGAACGGACTCGGCACCAAACCTGCCAAGATTTCTGCTCAGTGAAGAACGTTGGGCAAAAAAAGATTGTGTGCTTATTGAAATGACTGCGACTCCGGAGTTTGTTGATTTTACCCTCTTTTGTGCTTCATAGTTCTTGCATGTTACCAGCCTCGAAAAAATGGACTTGGCTGGCTTTACAGCGACTTTTGGCGGCTACGAGACAAGTTTCTAGACCTCATTTATAGAATAGACTCGCTAAAACATAGACTGCGATCTGCTTGCTGATGCTCCCTAATAAAGATCATCTATAGACGTCAATGAACTAGGCACTAAAAGATCTCAAGATTTTATGTAAACCACTGTGAAGCTACACGGAGTAGCATTGACGAGACAATGATGACCCCTACTCATCGTCACAACCCAACACTGACCCAGTATCGAGGCGGGATTTGACTCCTTGCCACTTCCTATGCAGCTTATTTTGATGACACTTTAAATGAGAGAATAGATAAATATGTATTTCCGAGTGTGGCCATGTACAAAGATCTGGTGGGTAGGGGATCCAGACAGCGTAAACAGGTACAAAGAATTGAAGAAAAGTTGTAAAACTCCCACGATAGTCTCAAGAGATAGATCAGTTGTGAAATTCCACATTAAGTCTGCCTCCGTTCTCGTAGCCGCCGCAGCCATCTGTCGGGTCGCCCCTACATATCTTATTAGCTTCCTCGTTCTTCTTGAGGCCATCACGACATCACGAGTTGGGGCAGGGTAGGGGGGACGAACTTCTCATCATAACCAATGTGAGGGTTTCCCGCCTGCGAGCCAGCCTCGCAGTCCTGCAGGTGATACTCGCCCGACGCGCCGCACCGGTTTCCATTGTTGCACTTGAACACGCACCTGTCCACGCTGGCTCGGCACCCTCCCGACGTCGACATCTCCATTCTGTTGCCGCCCATGTTGGGCTCCCGCGAGACGTTCCGCCGTCTCGCGTGCGGGCCCGTCGACCACTCGCCCCCAGGCATTAAACACCTGCCCGTCCTTCAAGAGGGTGGCGCGGGTGGTTTGAGCGCGGCGAACGCGCCGGAGATGCCCTGCGCCATGGACACGGTGACCGCTGTCGCCGACGTTGGGCAGCGACCGGGTGACGTACGGCTGGCGCACGTTGACGAAGCTCGACTGGCCGTCGGTCTGCAGCCAGACGACGAACGATGATGGTCGCCGGGCCGCCCTCGGAGGCGCGGTTGGTACAGGAAAAAAGCTCGTGGGGCCATCGGAGCCGATCCAGATGGCGCCGTTGTTGCCCCGGTGGTTCTTGCCCATGGAGCCCAAAGCCGATGTTGGACATGTGCTGGCAGTCCTCGCGGGACAGGCCCCAGACGGGGTTGTTGCAGTCGAGGCCGCGCTTGCTGATGGCGGAGACGGCGTTTTCGCTACGGTTGTCGGTTGTTAGAGGAAGGTGCTCATAAGTCACAGGCGTAAAGATCGTGTACGTCTTACCTTGCAAAGGGAGAAGAGGGGATGGCGACGGCAGCGCCGAGAAGAGCCGCAGTAGCAACGGTAATGGAGGTCTTGAAGAACATGGTGTTTAAAAGAGCGACAAAGGAGTGTACAAAGGTCGGGAGTGTCGGAGAATTACCAGAGAGCGATAGGGAACTGAGCTGAAAATGCTGGCCTCTTGCTCCGAGTCAACATCAGAAACAGATATTGCTTTCTCTTTATACTCGTTACAACTCGACATCATCTTGAAAAGACTTTGTCAACAGTTTTCTGACTACACTGGCCGTCGCGACGCTTGAACCAACGAGCCGTAAAAGAATCCTCCGGGAGAACATCATCCAATCCTTTGCGCGCCAGATGTATTGACAAATGGTAAGCAGAAGTCAAGTTGCTCTCCCGTTCCCGGCGGCGCGGCCCGGGCACCTCCGTTCCTGCACAAGTGTCCCTCAACGTGGTTCTAGGCCTCTGATCATGTTTCCTATCATTGTTTGCGGAAGTGCCAATAGCCTCTCGGCTACGGCCGTGTTAGTCCAAGGTTATTATTAGTGCTGATGAAGGGGAGTCTATTTTTCTTCAGAGGATCGTGATGGTGAAGAGGACCCCGTCCGCCCGAGGAATAATGGATGGTTATCCATAGGTCATTTAACTCATGAAGAAGTCTTTTTTTTTGTCTCTAGGTCGCGGTGGGTTTAATTCCTGGCCTCTCCTAAGCTGCAGCATGTTTCATTGCGAGGCGGGAGATTCATCCCTGCCCGTCAGGTCAAACTAATTTGTATTGTATTAATAGGACCGGTAGAAATTGCAACAACTAGATGGGATGAGTTTGGTCATTTGCCCGCTTAGCATTATCTCTTGACGCATCAAAGTATATGCGCGAGTAAAACAAGGCTCTCATCACTCCTCGCCTCCTCTGATCCGTCGCACCAGTTTCGATCCGCCACCACTTGCTTGTTGTACCTGCATTACAAGCTCCATAAGTGGACAAGTTCTAAAGCCTCGTTCCAAGGAGGAAGTCCTCCCTAAAGGGTTGGTTCCCAATCAGGCAGCTAGTGGCTCGGTGGTTACCAAGCTGGATATACGCGGTCAAGTAGAGTTGTAGCTAGGCTTCAACACCTCACTCGCGTGCTTATTCCTCGTGCAGGACGAACTCGATCAGCAATTTTCAAATCAAATTCATATGTACTTTTCGGTGGAATATGAAGAGTGGCCTACTAAGACCGAGTCTTGCAATCCTTCTTGCTCATTGTCGTAGCCTTGCTCGTTCAAAGGGTCCAAGTCTGGTTCCTAGATTACTCGAAGAAAAAAAAAGAAAAGGGGTCTAACTTCTTCTATACTATGACTGCAGCCTGCTGCATGTTTCTCATCTCGGATGAAGCATTCGACGCGGCCACCTCAACCGACGCCGCCGGCTGGTGCTGGGACGCGCTTAGCTGAAGCCAGGAGCCAGCCTGCTGCTGCTGCTGTTCCGACTCGTTCGTCACGCCGCAGGCATCCTGAGGCGGCGCCGTCGACAGCATCGCCACGAGGCCGTCCAGGCCCGCGCGCAGGCTGTTGGCCTCGTAGCCCTTGGCGCGCATCACGCTCGCCGCCACGCGCGCGCTGTCGCCATCATAGCAGACCACCAGCGTTTCCCTACCCCGGAGGCGGCCTTGCAACTCCCCGTTGCCAGTCGAGGAAAACTCACCGTCCAGCTCGGTCCAGAGCCGGCTGAGGATCGCAGGGTCCGAGAAGGGGCTCGCGGCGCCGGGCTGCGCGAGGGGCAGGTTGACGGAGCCAGGCAGCCGGCCGCGGTCAAAGTCGGCCGGCTGGCGCAGATCCAGGACGGCTGCGTCGTCGCGCGGCTGCAGCGCGGCTCTCAGCGAGGGGATCTCGCCCGTAACCGGCTCCGGCGCGCGTTGCGTCAGGAGATCCATCTGCTCCGAGTTGACGTGGAAGTAGCCCTGCAGGGCCTTGGACGCCTCCCACTCCCACTTCTCGTCGTACCGGTACAGGTCGACGTTGAGGAGCTCCTGGTTGTTGTCAGACAAAGAAGAATTCCTACAGAGGAAATGAGACTTGGGAGTACATACCTCGTTCTTTACGGGCGGGAAGCATGAGTCGTCCAGCTTGTCAAAGTACTCGTTGACGTACTGATAGGGCAGGTCACAGCAGAGGAACACGCAGTTGATTAGGCCGTCAGGGCCTGCAAGCTTGCCGAGGTTGCCTTCGGCCTTTTGCTTCTCAATGTACTGGTACAGGCCCCGAAGGTTGAAGCCTGAAGAAGGGCCGCAGACGAGACCCTGTCGGCACAGCTCCAGGGACAGCCGGTACGACTCGTACGAGCCAACCTCCTCGACGTGGTCGACTGAGGACTTCCAGGGAAAGGTGACGGGGCCAAGAAGGGCGTATGATCTCGGTCCAGGAACTCTGTCACCTGCAGCGGTACAGACGCTAGGTCATGTCAGTAGGTGAACGGTAGAAATACTCGACAGCATGCTTACCCGAGTCTGACGACGTCTGGCTTGGCGCCCTTAAAGTATGTCCCCAAACCAGTCATTGTTCCTACGCAAGGTCAGATGGCAACTAGGTGTGGTTTCGTCATGCAAGCATACCGGAAGTGCCCATGCCGGCACATATTAGGTTGATCTCGGGGAGTTGTCTGAGGATTTGCGGTCCGGTCCAGCGGACATGCGATTTCCAGTTCTACATGATTAGCAACGGGAGCGTACAACTCGACCAGACTCGACTCACGTTTTCGTTTTCGTATTGGTTGGGGTTGAGGGAGTCGCTCGTCTCATTACCTAAACGCTGTGCAGCGCGGATACCACCACGTTCATCCAGAGGTTCGGGCTGGGAAGGGCCACTGAAGAGAGTGCTGTGGTCATGTCAGGTCTGTGTTTCGCTTATTTCTCTTGTTTCGTAGAGATGACGTACATGTTGATTCCAAAGAGCTGCATGAGACGGATCTTGGCAATGCTGGTCTTGTTGCTCAGGAACGCTCGGATGTCGTCGAGCCCATAGATGGCGCGGCCGACGAGGGACATGGACAGCACGGTCGAGCCGGAGCTGTACTCGACAATGGTCTTGGTCACATCAGGCTTGACGCTCTTTTCGAGCAAGTTTAGCGCTGCTGGGGTAAGTAACTGTTTCGACAAGATGACATGGTCAACGAGGGCCGTGACAACGTACCTGGCATGCACTTGACATTGTTGGCGGGATGCATGGACATCATCTTGGCAAAGATGCGGACGCCGTCGGCATGGTAGGGGTTCAGGCAGGATGGCACCTCGACGAGGGGTAGCGGAGGGGCCGTGTCCGGGTCAAAGTAGTCTCGGATGGACTCTGGGCCCTTGTAGACGTTGAGGGTGTTTGTCTCCTTCATGGTCTTTGCTTCTGCCGCCATGACTGTAGTGTCTGTCTGTCGGGTCTCGCGAAGCAAACTTGTCTACTAGGGACTCAGTGGCAGTGTGAAGTACGAGACGGAGCGCAGATCTCGGTATATGTAGCTGGACAGTTTGAACAGCTGAGCTATTTATACAAACATACCTGTCGAAAAAGTCGCCACATGTATTATATTGGCCAAGGCCAGCTCACGCTTACGAACGGGCCGGCACTTGCTTGCTTGCTTGCAGCTTCCGTCTATCAATTATGGAATCTCCATGCGGCCGGCCGGGTCTTCCTTCTTTGTGCGAGCTTGGTGCTTGGGTGCGAGGAGTTCGCAGCCCATGCCTGAAGAGGCATCTCCAACGTGTCATTCTTCCAGCTGACGAGGAAAACAAGTATGCATATCTTTAAACGTGAACAGACTCGAGCGTGTGTGGGACGGAATCCGCAAGCTAGCAACCTCCCAAGGTTGCGCTGAAGCAGATCTATGGGCACGGTCGTGTTGGCAATGCGAAATTATGACTAAAAAGCGTGCCATCCGGGTTCCGTCAAGCTTGGTTTGCTACTTCGCGGGTTTGTGAGAGGTCAAGTTGGCCAGGGGGAAGCCATCGCCAACCTTGATGGGCCGGGAGGGAAGAAAGACCCGCCAGTGTCAGTGTCGCAGTTTCGAATGCCGAAGGGGATCGGCAAGGGTTTATATTTATTGGGATATTAGTATTCTTACTTGCAGTACTGTGTAGCGTAAATCTGAGAGGCTTAAATCATCGTCCGTCGCGAAAGCGCCATTTAAGCGACTCAAAAATGCTCAATGCAGCGCAGACAGAGAGAGATCGGCGCTTGCGCAAGGGGCCTTCTGAATTTCGTACATGCAGTACAAGGGCATGTCCACCCCCTCCCCCAATGAAATCAAGCCAAAGAAAAGAATCTCGATGGTGATGGAGATGGAGAGTCGGCAGTTGGGGGCCACTGACGGACAGTTAATCATTGACAAGAGAGGTGATGATGGGATAATCAACGTATTCACAGAGCGCAGAACCAAGAAGACGAATAATTAAGACAGAAAACAAACTCAACCTCCACTAATAACTAACCAATATAAATTATCAACGTGTCCACGCTTCACTTGCTTGGCATGCACCTACTTGCTCAGCAAGTCAACTCTTGCTTTTATTTCACAGCCCCCCATGCACAGACAGATCTCAGCTTGACCTCTTCCATGGTTCTAACTATGGCCTGCATTTCCACAATAATGGCCCATTGCACGATTTGTTTCTCTTACCAGTAATCCCGTCAGGCCGCAGCGGTTGTCCCATCCACCTCCCCCCGGCTTCTTCTTCCCGGCTTCTATCAGGAAGGGGGGGCTGTAGCTTATAATTAGGCTTGATCAAGGTTGCCCTGCCCTTATACCCGACCCCCTCCCCCCACGACGCCCGGTTTCGCTGCTCCCCTGGGGGTCTCTTCTTTTCACCTGATGATCGTCTCCCTCACATGCACTCTTTTTCTTCACCACCGCTAGGTCAGATCCTGATCCAATTGACATACTAACCAGGAAAGGCCTCCCTGCGCAGTAGGAATCCCGCACAATGGCCGCAGAGGGAGAACCTGTCGTCGCGCCTACGAGGCCGACGACGGGAGATGTCAGCTCGAATTCGGGCAGCGATTCCGAAGGCTCTGGCGCCAAGTTCAACGAGCAGACAAACTATGTCCCGAGGAGCACCATCATCACGGTATGTGTGAGCACGGAGACGGGCAGTTCTCACACACTGACGAGACACAGATATTCCTGGCCTGTGCCAGCGTGGACTTGGTCGCTTTGATGGACCAGACCACCCTCGCCGCCAGTTTGTACATTATCGGCGCCTCTTTTGGCTCCACGAAGGAAGTTTCCTGGATCGCCAGCGGTTACTTCATGTCAGCTCCAGTCACGTCACCTTGCCTGTGGTCCATCGCTAATCAACCACTGCAGCACCTCCACGATTGGTCAATTGATTTACGGTCGGCTGTCCGATATCTGGTCGAGAAAGGTCGTCCTGCTCACCGGGCTCGCCATCTTCTTCTTCGGTTCCCTCGCCTCGTCCCTCGCCCAGTCGGTCCTCCAGCTCACCGTCTTTCGCGCCTTCACCGGTATCGGCGGCGGCGGCCTCATGACCGTCGCCCAGCTCATCGTCAGCGATGTCGTGCCCCTGAGAGAGCGCGGCAAGTACCAGGGTATTCTTGTACGTTCTGCCGCACAGGCTTGCTTAGTACCCCCCCTTCCCTTCTCTCCAAGTTGCTGACGATCGCGCTACCCTGTAGGGTGCTGTTGTCGCACTGGCAAACGGCATCGGTCCTGTTATTGGAGGCGCCCTTTCGTCCAAGTCCAAGGAATCATGGCGCTGGATCTTTCGCCTCAATCTGCCATTGACTATCCTGACGACGTGCTGTGTTGTCTTCATCATGCCACTGAAGAGGGTGCAAGGAGATTGGAGAGTGTAAGTCGACACACTGTCTCACCCCCGGTCTGTCTGGGAAAAAGCCTAACTTGCTCCAAGTAAACTAAAGGCGGTCGATTTCATCGGCATCGCCCTGTCCTTTGCCGGCATGATTGCCATCATTCTTGGTCTCACCTGGGGCGGAAGCGAGTATCCCTGGAAGTCCGCGCCTGTCATTGCCTGTCTTGCCGCCGGCGCAGCCATCTGCGTCGCCTTTGTCCTTTGGCAATGGAAGGGCCCTGAATACCCTCTCGTGCCTTGTGAGTGAATCTTTTCCTCGTTGAAAAAGGAAGCAGATCATGCTAATCCACATGACCCCCGCAGTACACATCTTCAAGTCCAAGATTGTCAACGGTGCTTGCCTGACAATGATGATCAACGGATGGAACTTTGTCATGCAAGTCTACTACGTGCCTACCTTTTACCAGCTCGTCTACGGCTACTCAGCCACCAAGTCCGGCGCCCTCCTGCTGCCCATCACCATCGTGCAGACCGTCAGCAGCACCGCGTCCGGCCTTGTCGTCCACTGGGTGGGCAGGTACCGAGAGTGCATCCTGTTCGGCTGGCTGTGCTGGGCCATCGGGCTCGGCCTCATGTCGACGCTGAACGAGCACACTGGCCTTGACAAGCAGATTGGCTACTCCGTCCTGATCGGCATCGGCGTCGGAAACACCATGCAGCCGTATATATATCCATATCATTTGCTTGCTTAAATGGCTGCCTGACTAACATCTTCTCAGGGCCTTGATTGCCGCACAGGCTGGCGTCTCAAGACGCGACATGGCCGTGGCCACGTCCTTTAGAAAGTATGTGCTGCATGCATACCATTTCTTCTATCATCTTTCTCTAATGATTTTTACAGCTTCATTCGCAACGTCGGCTCAACCATGGGCTTGGCCGTCTGCGGCTCCATCATGTAGGCCTACCACTCGGCCTGTCCATTGTCAATTTTTTTTTTGCTAACATCATCTGCCCTTAGCAACAATGTCCTGAGAAATGCCATTTCGCATCTTGACCTAGGTGATGAAGCCTTGAAGGATCTCCTGCGAAACCCACGCACTTACACAGACACGCTGTCCTTTGAGCAGGCTGCCGCGGTCCGCGCTGTGGTCATCCCCGCCTACAAGAGAGGATTCCGCATCATCTTTCTTGTCGGGGCGGGACTGGCAGTTTTGGGCTTCCTCCTCGCCTTTGTCTTGATGCCCCAGATTTCCCTGTCCCGACCAGACGATGAGAAGCTTAAGGAGGAAGGCCGCAAGGCCCACGAGGCCCGTAAGCAAAAGAGTAAGGCTTGATGGGGGGGGGGTTTCAACAAAAGTTGTTAGTAGTAAAAGGCGGTTGAAATATAGAGGTGAGAAGATTCAAGTCAATATAGAATGGAGATGGAAAAAGATGGAAAATCAGAGTGTACAGTGAGGGATGGGCCAGCGGAGCATAGACATATTAATAAGACAACTCGTTCAATTCTGCACACTAACTAGCTGAAACTCAAATGGTATATATAGTCAAAAACAGATACGTATGGATAAAAGAATCATGAATCTGTATGTGCAAAAATGCCCACGCCATTTCTGCTCACCCATGGTCTCGTCGTTTCCATACCATGGCCGTGGCCAGGCAAGTCAGTACCTGCAAGGGCTCAGGCCTTGCCCTCGTACGGCTTAGCAGTCCTGTTCTCATCCTTGTAAAGGGGAGGGCAAACCGCATCCTTCTGCTGAAGAACGTGACGCTTGAACCACCAGGGAACCACCGTGCCCAGCTGGTACTTGGCGTGGGCTCGGGTCGAGACGCTAAAGACATAATCGAGCTCCTCCAGACTCTTCTGCTTCGTTTCCGGCATGAAGCAGAAGATGAGGGCCAGGGCTACGAGGTTCAGCCCCGCATAGAAGCCGAATGCGCCGGTCGGCGTCATGGCCCGGAGCATGCGGGGGAACGTCAAGCTCAGGATGGCGCCCCAAAAGTTGTTGGTCGCGACGGCCCAGGACATTCCTACCTCACGATGAGACAATGGGTGAACAGAGGCTGAATATTCAAACGGCACCGGCCCGGCTCCTGGAGAGTAAAAGGCGGCGAAAAGGTATACAAACGTAGCGACGGCGGCGATGCGCGACGTGCTGTGTTCGGCTTCCTTTTCAATAAGAAAGCACAGTCCCGCGACTATGACATGTTAGCCCGAGTACATAATGTGTACTTTTGTTAAAAAAAAAAGACGTACCAAGCAGAGTCCAGAACATATTGGGGAATGTAAAGATGAGCAGAGCGCGACGGCCGAAAGTGTCGATGGTCCACACAGCGGGCCAGGCAAAGAGGAAGTTGATCAACCCAAAGCCAAAACTGGCCCAGAGTGCGTTGTAAGCTGAAATGCCACTCTGAACAAAGATGGTGCTGCTGTAAAAGGCAATGATGTTGACTAGAGAGAGGAGGGCTGGGTCAGCAAAAGCTCAACATCGGGTCACAACAGCCTTGCAAATACTTACTACCACACATCTGCTGCGCAATCATGGCAATACCAGAGGCCTGTGTAGCACGACGATTTCTGGGGATCGTAAAAAGCTCAATGAAGCGAGTGAAGACGCTGCCGCTGACGTTCAGGCCCGCCTCCTGCACCATCTTGTCCTCGTGTTCCAGGAGACAGCTGATGTAGAACAGGTCGCGCGCAGCCTGCAGAGGCGTATTGCGCAGGCGAAGCAGCGAGTTCCATGCCTTGGTGTAGCGGCCCTTCTTGAGGTACCAGCGAGGAGACTCGGGGCAGAACCAGATGCCCAGGGTAAGAGGCACGGCGGGGATGAAGGCCGAGCCGAGTTGCAGGCGCCACGCGTGGTGGCCGACCTGGCCGACAGCGAGGTTCGCGCAAGTGCCGAGGAAGATGCCTTTTGTCAACAGTTAGCACGGTCATTATGAGATGAAGTCTAGAATTGCGTACCGAATGCGGTCCAGAGTTGCCAAGACATGACAAGGCCACCGCGGATAGCCGTCGGGGCGTTTTCAGCCGAGAAGACGGGAACAGTGACTTCCTTCAAGCCCATGCCGATGCCGAGGAGCATTCTGCGTAAGACGAGTTAGTGTTATTTTACGCGTATTACACTGTGTGTTGCGCATTGTATCGCATGGCGTGGAAGAGGGAGGGAGGGAGGGGCGGTGTCTTACCTGCACGCGGCGAGCTGACCCCAAGTCTGCGACAGAGCCATCCCGAACGGAGCGAGAAGGGAGAAGATGGCGGCGACGAAAATGACACCTCGGCGGCCCATAATCTCATTCAGGGGATCGGAGATCCAGCCAGCACTTGGTCTTTGTTAGTATCCGAACCCATCTGTTGCTGCAGTGGTGGGCGACTTACAAGAGAAAGATGGTGATGTAAGGCATGGCGTTGACAACACCGACGATCCAGGCGTTCTTGGCGCAGGTGCCCGTCGTCTCATCAGGGCCGCACGCAGGACTAAAGTCGGGAATGCCAAGGGCCTCCGGGAAGCCAAGGTTCGCTCCATTGGAACCGGTCTGCAGCAACGTGTCCGTGTTAACTAACAACCTTTGTCGAGACAACTTTCGGTCAGTGATGGATGCGAAGACTCACCTGGTCCCAGCCCTGAATGGCCGCGGCGATCGAGTTGAGCACAATGGTAAAGTAGAGCGCCCAGGGGTGGTGCCAGCGGTGGGTGACCTCGTGCCGCAGGGCCGTCTTGTCGTCCTCGTCGAGCAGGTCGAGCTCCTCGAAGCCGGCCGGGTTCTGCGCCACGAGCGCGCCCTTGCGCAGCAGCGGCAGGATGTCCTCGGGCAGGCCCTTGTCCCTGCGGAAGGCGTCTACGCGCGCGAGGAGCTCCTCGCGCGGCACGCCGACGAGCGGGTTCTTGATCTCGGCCTGGGCCGTGTCGAGCGCGGCGAGCTTCTGGACGACCTCGGAGGTTGCGGCCGGAGCGTCATCGCTGCTGCTGTAGGCATGGTCTTGGTTTTAGCGACAATGGTTGGAGGGGAGGGGGTGATGGAAATGGGAAGTGCGGTTCAAAAAAGTGCGACAGCAGCACTCAGACCGTACTGGTAGCGTAGTAGTATGTAGGTAGGGGACGGGAGCAAGCAGCGTCTCATTGAAAAGGGGGGGGGGGGGGGACAATCTTCTTTTCAGGGTCCATGGTCATTGTGAGCACGAGCTTCGATTTCTATTGACTAATGACTGGAATAAAGAGTAGAAACGAGGTCAGCTCAAGGACGTGGGCGACAAGGCTGCCTTAATATATCTTTCAACAGGGAACAACCGCTTTCGTGAGGGGAGGAGGGGGGTAAGCCACACCACACTCTTCCTTCGGCCTGAATGACAATTCAAACAGCTCATAGCTGCATGCATGCAACTTCTTGGACTCCCAACAGGCTGCATGACTAGGATGGAGTGGCGCCAGGGCTTGGCTTTCTCTTTCTCCCCTTCTCCCTTCTCCTCGTCCGGGGCATCTCCCCAGGCTCTCCCATCACGGCCAGCAACCAAGTGAGACATGGCGCTGAGGCTAGGTTGTTCGCGAACGAGGCTTAAGAGCCGCTTTCCGCTTTTTTTTACCTCTGGCTCGTTTATCTCTCTTGCCCTTTGTTGCGAGCTTGTGGCTATCTCTAGTCTGCCCTACTAACTCTCCAACTGCCTTGCTTCTATGGGAGTTGCTTGTTACTTGCGGCATTCCCCAGCATCGCGGATTTCCAGACTCGTCCGAGTGACTCCCTCCTCCATACTCCAGTGGCCTTGAAAAATGAACCAAGATTCGCCTACTGCTGACCTTGTTTCTTAGGTGCAGTTGCGTTCGTGGTGCCCGCCTGCTTTCGGGAGGTACTTGTCTAGTCTCGGAAGTTCAACAAATTAGTCAATAGCCGTTATTACTGCCCCCTTAGCTGAATGTGATGAAAAGCAAAAGAGCGCAAGTACAGGCTAGACGGCGGGCAGCTTGCCGATCCGTCAGAGAAAACCACGCAACAATGGCTTCCTGGCAGGTGATTTGCCCGCAAAATGAGAAGGGCAAAAAAAAAAAATATTGAATCGGGAGTTCTCTGAGGCAAAGGGCAAATCGCGGGCGTCAAGCCACAAGCCAAGGATTGACCGTGGACGTGGCGCCCAAGGGAGGGGCACGAACTAGGCAGCAGAATTATCTCGATACTGTTTGGATGGGCTGGACGGTCAATGCTTCATCAGCTACTCATGTCGCGCAAACCATTAAAAAGTCTATCCAGAGTTGACCGACTAACGTGGCAGTTGTTTCTGGTACAGCCAGGTCGAAAGTTGTTGAACTTGCAACGATGACTCCAGTCTTTCCGTTTTCCTGTCAGAACATTAGATCCTTCGGACCCCAAAGGCCATCTCATCTTGCCATTTAAGCCGTAACTACTAGTTACGGCGCATTAGTAGCGATCGACTTTGGTGTTGTTGTGTGGGGGGGGGGTGGAGGGCAAGTTTCGGCCGGACAGCCTTCGACGCTAATAACAGCCATGTTTCCCCGCAGGCCCATATGAGCCCCCATAGATAACTTCGCATGATGAGGAGAGCAAAAGGATGGGGAAGGTTAGCCGCGGGGTCGGGGTGCCCGTCATGGTCCTTGAGCTGGGGAAGAGCATGGTTGCTTCCAGTACTCCGTAGTCGCCTTGTGTTTGGGGTTGTGCGGGTGAAAATGGGGAATACTTGCCAACGGCTGCCGCTTTCGGCCATGGTCCTCGAGTATCGCCAGCAGCAGTTGGTTGGTCACGCTGTCATAGACCGCATTCCTGTCCACAGCCAAGGCTCGCAGAGTCTCAGCCGTGTTCGGCCAGAACCGGCGAGGCGAAGTATTTCTAATGCGGGCACAATAGCCGATTATGCATCTCGATCTGTATTTGTACATTTTCGCCGAATTATGATGCAAGTGTACATGTAGCAGTCGTTGATGGAGACTCAACAATAGAAGACATGGCCCAACCCACGGCTCACGTTGCAATACTACATAGGACCCATCGCGTTACATGTCTCAAGCCTACGTCGAAACTTTGATTATTGCTCATGTCGTATCACGAATTCAACTCTCGGGCTCGCTTCTGCTGCTCTTGACTGTTGAGGGGTTGGGCAAGCAGCGCAGATATGGATACAGCAGAAATAGAAGATACAGAAGATACAGAAGATACAGAAGATATAGGAGATACAAGACAGAACAATCATAGAGGCATAAATATCATAGTGCTCAAACTTGATTAAGACTTAGTTCCGCCGCTCGGTCGCTGAGCTGGTTTGCCGCCAACCACCGATCGTGCGTTTGATCCAGGTCCTTGAACCGCACCTGGAACTGCTCTTCTCCGGCATGAAATGGAGCGCTCATAATGTAGTCAACTGGTTGACCCGCTGTGTAGATGACCGCGCCGGTGGCGGCTGCCGCAACGGCCGCCGGAATCGCAACCCCCGTCCGCCGCCTCAAGGTGGTCGACAGACACGACATCATATATGCGCCATAACGCGGGTAGGGCTGGGCTATGGGCCGCTCGACCGATACGTTCTGCGATGGTATATGGTCCTGCGAACTGTGGCCCTGTATCACGACCTAGCGGTGTGAGGTAGTGTATCCCTTGTGTAGCCGTAGGAACACGCGGTCCCTGATCGTGAAGAAGCGCGCTCGATGCTTCCTATTATAATGCGCATTTATAGTCATTACTATCATGGCCATAGTATCATGCACCGACACGCGTACTGAGGCAAGGTCTCGTGCCACTCGCGTCTCCGCGAGCAGACCGTAAGCCACATCCCAGGGCGTGAAGCCCATTCATTAATCACTTCGTACCCTAAGTATCCAATCGTTGGACTCTAAAGTTGAAGCACAAAAATGTGACATCCAGGATCGCTTTTATTTCACACTTTCAATTTATGCTAGCAAAAACAACCTCAAATAAGACACCTACCCTACAGAGCCGCCGGCTCAAAGTAGTCTCTAAAGCGGTCCGTTTCCTCCCACCCTACATTGTACACCACGTTCCAGCATGCCAACAGAAGCGTGGGGAACCTTGTCGTCCAAAAGCTCAAGTATCCATCTGGAAGCGCACCCACGGTCCGTTGTAGAGCAGGCGACATGTCCTCATAGTGGTTGCGCTTGTTGCGCATCGCCCGCAGTAGGTCTAGCAGGCGAGATCCCGTATACTTGCGCTGCTTGCCCAGCGACTCGACGAACAGCGGCGGCAGGACCCTGAGGAAGTCGCCTCGTAGAACCTCGGGTGCGTGACGTTCCAGCTCCTGAAGGGCCGGAGAGGGCGGGTCTCGTGGCTCCTTTTCAAAGTGATCCGATACATCACACAAAAACGCCAGCCGCTTCTTCGCTGACCAGAAGAAGGGATGTGCCATGACGTCGCGAGCGAGGGGGCGGCTCCTGGGGTCCGCATCCAACATGGAAGCAATCAAATCCTTGGCCTCAGCGGCAAAATCGCCAAGCGAATCGAGCAGCTGCAAGTTATATTCGCCTTTTCGGATGTTAACCTCCCGCATGTACCTGTCACCGCAGTCGAATGGATGAGAACCGTTCGTCAACACGTAAAAGAACACGAGTCCAAGCGAGAAGATATCGATAGCACGCGTCGCTCGACGGCTGCCAGGCATGAGGCCCTCATTCACAAGCACCGAGCCAGAGCCGCTATGCGTGCTAGCATCCACCATGGAAATCTCGCGTGCGTCGTCGTCTAGCAGGAGCTCTGGTGCACGCCAGCCCGAAGTTCCAGCCGCGCGGCCAGTAGTGGCCCCAAAAGATGACTGCCCTCCCTCAAGCTTCTTGCATAGACCAAAGTCGGAGACTAACAGCCTGGGCTTGCCACCCTTGTCCATGTTGACGAGGATATTCTGAGGCTTCAAGTCGCGATGGACGATGCGAAGGTTGTGCAGGTGGCTGATACCATTCGTAATTTGGTACAAAACGGCAGGAAGATCCATCTTGCCGGCAGTGGCCAGCTCTCGGTGGACATGTGGTCTCTCCACAACATCTGCCAGAGATGCTGCGCATCGCTCCAGCGCAATATACAAGAAACCCCCCTGTTCCTGCTGCGAATAGTATCGGATGACATTGGGGTGATCGTCACTCTCGCGCAAAAGTCTCGTTTCCTGGGAGGCGATGTCATAGAATTGGATCAACATGCGCTTCACCGCAACTTCACGACCGTCGAAGCGTCCAGCAAAGACGAGTGTGCCGTTGCTACCCGTTCCCAGCTGAATTTCGGTGTTGACTTCGATGTTGCCCATTCGCATGATCGGGCCGGTGATGGCGCTCATATCATTGTGGACAGTCATAACATCAGGTTGAAGGCTCGGCCTGTCTCCAAGGCGCTTCGCATTCTCAACAGCTTCCTCAACTGTTGAGGCAGCCGGCTCATCATCTCGGGAGAGGGAGTTCTCGCGCTGTTTCTTGGGTCGGTGCTTGACTCCACCACGTCGACCCCGATGAGACTTCTTCTTGTTCTTTACCGGAGTTTCAGGGGCATCTCCACCTGCATCCTCGCTAGAAGCCTTCTCCTCCTCGCCAGCAGCCTTGTCCTTCTCGCCATCTTCAGTCTTGGCTGTTGGTTGTCCATCTGGCGAGTCTATGTCTTTGTCTTGCAGCTTACTAGGGGTAGGAGCCGCGCCCGTATCATCCCCTTTTTCGGTCTCCGAGTCCTGAGCCGATTCGGGAGGCTTACTTTCCGGTTCCTTAATGCCGCGGTTCTGTTGCTCTTCGGGAAGGGTGTCGGAAAAGAGCAGCGTCTGAATTTCTTGAGCCAATCCCTTCTGAAGACCCCTGGACCGAAGTCTATGGTAGGACCGACGAAGCTTCTTCTGATTGTAGGCGATGGTAGCAAAAAAGAGGATGAGAACAATTGGGTTGCTGACGAAGTCGTAAACAGTATTTGCAGCACTTTGGGGGAGAGCTTTGACCTTGGTAATAATTGCTGGCTCCTCTATAGCGATTGCTGCGTCGTTTCCGGATGCAGGCTTGGTTTCCGGTGGTTCAAATACGTCTTCTGTTGACTTTCCAGGCAGGCTTCGGAACTGATTGTTGTCGCCGCGGATAGACTCTAGGAAATGGGTACCGACGAGAGCCTTGCTGATGCGAGACTGGCTGATGGTGTCTGACGACGGCAGCATTTCCCACCAATCCGGGCTTGCAATCTGAGCGATCGGCGCGCTGATGATCAATGGATAGGCCTGTCCAGACATGGCATACCAGCTGCCTGAGTCGGTCTGATTCACAAAAATGCTGTTGAGACGCATTTGTTTCTCATTCTTGTCGCGAGCTGGCATCGGTGGCTGGGGGAGAACAACAAGCTGCGGGTTGCTGCCAGTAACAGCATCCCAGGGTCGGCAGACGTCAAAGACACTGGCGACGGGAGCGGCAAACTTGTTGGAAAAGAGAGGGGTTGTCTTGTCTTTCTGGGACTGGTCAAATGCGTAAACTTTGCCGTTATGCTGGCTTGTGATATACCGGTTATCGAGGGAGCTGTGATACTGGAGGTAAAGATCGCTGTCGAAGGTGTTTGGGCCCCATTCAGAGTATTTCAAGGTGGCAATGGGACGACCGTCGGAGCCTTGAATGCCGACAGTGTACTCAGTCCTCCCCAAGGTGATGGTTCCAGTGGTAAGGCACTCTTCATTATCACGATCGTCAAAGGTGTTGGCTTGACGGCAAAAGTCGTCAGTATTGACGTGGGAGCCACTAGAGCCGAACCACTTGAGGACTCGGCCAGTGGCCGCGTCCAGAGTAACCATAGTAGTCTTTTTGTCACCTGTATAGACGATTGCGCCTTCGACATCCTCGTACGGGGAGAGTTGCTCAACAAGGCTCTTCATGGTGAAGCCCGTCTTGACAAGGCCCGCCTCGGGGTCGGGACGCCAAATGAAGATTCCACCGTTGGAATTGGGCTCAACGACCCAGAGGTAATGATCGACCGGACTGTAGTCCTCGTCAAGGATAGAGTTATTGAGGCGGTAATGTTTCGTCTCGACCATAGGTAGGTCAACTTCAAGGTGCCAGCGCTGTTTACCAGTGTTGCGGTCGCTGGCGTATAGATCTCCATCGACGGTCGCCAGAAGAACAAAGTCTTCGACTTCCCAATCCTCCAGGTTCCGCGCATTCTGCGGCGCTGTCAGCCCAGTAGCTGGAATGCTACGAGGCCGAAGATCGCTGGGGTTTGGTGCTCGGACGGGCTGTGCCGGAGCCAAAGTTGCAAGGGCGCTCTCATCGTCGGGTATGTGACGTTTTTGGTATTTTTGGTGCTGTCGGCTGGAGCTTTGGGGCGTGTTGCGGGGCTTGGTGGCAGCGCGTGTGGCCTTGCTCGGCTGACTGGTTACGGCATCGATGGACGAAGCAGCCCAGTAGGTGGCATCGTCGGCCGATATTCTGTCGTTGTGTAGATCATGGTTCGCGTGCGGCGAGCCGGAGTGGACGGCGGGGGGCTGTTTTTGCTGCTGCTGAGCTTCGCCGAGCTGAAGCCAAGGGATCAGAATGATGGCGAAGGCGAATAATAAGGAACGATGAGCGGACCGCCGTCCGTCGCCAGGACGGCGCCGAAGCATGATGTCGACGGGTTATTCGGCAAGCCGCTCAATGGCATCCAGGGGACATGAGCGGCGATGGCAGTTTGGGGGCGGGTGCAGCGGATGCGGTTGTATCAGAGCATCAGCCATACCCAGGATGGCCTAGGACGGTCGGGAGAGGTAGTACGATGTCGAAGGAGTGATGACGGCGACGGCTTTTAGATGGCAGTTCTTATTAGAAATGTTAGAGACGTGGAGTGTGATGAAGGAGCGGAGACGGAAGAGGCGGGCGGCTGACTCGATATGGGCAGTTTGCTGTGGGCTCAACCCCCAGCCTGCAACCCCAAGCCCCCTAAATATTAACAGTGGGCAGTTAAAAACCGTCGTGTCTGGTCTATCCTCTCTATTGCTTTTATCCTTCCTCTATTTCTACATTTTTCTTTTTTTTTCTCACCTTTCTCAATCTTCTTATAATATTCATCTTTCGTATCGTTCTTGAAATTTTTTAATCTTTTTATACCTTAGACACCTTCGACGCTCTCTGCAGACGCGACATCTGTATCCATACCACGATTTTCTTTGTGCTGCGACGTGTTTTGCGTGCTTTTCATGGCTTGATTAGCTTTATTATTATTGTACATGATTATTTATGGAGGCGCTCGCTCTGACATCGCAGGACGGGACGGCAATGGCGTTACACTTCAACAGCCTTCTGCTCAGGCATTATCTCTCTGTTTCGGTTTTTTAGCATTTCTGAACTTCCTTTTTTTCCCGAATCATCATTCCTGTTAAATTTCGCATCCTTTCTCTGTGCCCCCTACATGTGTCAACGCAGCTGCGCCGCCGCATTGCACCACCCAAGACAAGCTCAGACAAGCTGCGCACAAAAATAATTCGTCCCCACTGCCCGCCTCCTTGGTCTCCCTTGCCTTGACTAATAACGCCATATTCTCTTAGCGCCTCTTCCTCTTGCTTTTATTCAGTGTTATATGCCTCCAGGAATATGTTCCAGCGCGTTCCATAAACCTCTGTTCAGTCTGCCTGCGTTTTAGCCTCCAGAACTTCCCGGCCAGTTCCCAGCAGGTGGCTGAAGAATAGCTACAGTACATAGGATGTTAGTACCTACCGGTATGAGATAAGGTACCCGGTGACTCGCATAACTGCCGGCATCCGCGCATGTTGGCTGCCAAGTCGGCTGAATACGAACACAACGTCAACACGTTTCAAACACGCCATGGCATGTGACACAAGCTATGCCATGCTGTATTCAAACAGAGCTTCTTCACTCTCGTCCCATAACTTCTCGGGTCGGCCGTAGCATAACCCAATTCTCCTGAAGCGCGCTTCTTGGCCATCAGAGTATGTATGCTTTAAAGTTAATGTGTAACCTTAACAGCATATCACATCTCGATTCTTTCATCAAACAATGTATCAATTGGGGTTTTACCATATATGAATCATAACAAGAAATGTCTTCAAAATCGTCATTACTGAAGTCTCCCTTGGTTCCCTCTTTTTTTCTACATACAGCAAAATCAATCCATGCACATGCATGACAAGCATCCGCTTTAACCCACAATCTCCTCTGTCTCTTCCAAAACCTCCTCCACAATCTCTTCGATAATGCGCTCCTCTTGCCCTGAATCGTCTGCACCCTCCACTTCCTTCGTCTTCGCCGCCAGTAGTCCGGCGTGCGGGTCTTGTGGTAGGCCGAGCGCCTCTCTCTCCTCGTAGATCTCCTCCTCTACATCCGCACGCCACATGTACCACTCCTCCAGCATGCGGCGGCGCGCCTCCACAACAGCCAAGTCGGCAGACGCTCCACGGTCGGCATCTTCTTGCTCAAATACGCGGCTGTACTCCCGCAGGTTCTTGCGCACTTGCTTCTGCTCTTCCTTGGTAAGTAGCGTTGCCGGACGCGGCCGCCATTGGAACTGCTTGAACTTCTCGACGGGCTCTTCTCTCAAAACCTCGCCACGGAAATCGTAAATGTGGTAGCCGTTTTCCATCTGAACGCTTGTTAGTATACATCAGCAGACATGGCAGAGAGAAAAGACGTACCGAGTGTTTCCACGCAGAGGCCCAGGTCGCCACAAAACGACCAGAGGGGTCCCATTCAATATCCGTCACTCCGTAGTGATCAGCGGTGTTCATCAGCTGCAGGTTGGCCGTAAGGTCCTTATCCGACTCGGGCTTCTCGCCCTCAAAGTCGAGGTCAAGGAAGTCAAGATCCGAACTTTGCTGGTTGCCAATCGTGGCAATAAGTACGAAACGGCCCTTAGGTGACCAATAGATGGCGTTACTGTTCTTCTTATCCAGCGTGCGAAGGTGCTTAAAGTTGCCGGCGACCGGGCCCTTGGCTTTCTCAGGGCAGAAGAAAGCTACTGCCGTCTTAGGAGCCACCGCCGTTGCGGCCACAGGCTCGGTTGTGGTAATAATGGCGAAACGGTCACCCTTGGGCTCCCAAGCAAAGTTGATGACTGTGTCCTTGATCGTGTCGACAACCTCGACGGGCACGCCTTTCTCCTTGACGCGGAAGATCTCCAGCGTCGTAGCCTGGGACTTCTTCGACTTGGAGTGGCGGTCCACCTTGACGCACAGGTAGGCACCCTCGGATTGCCAGTGGAGCTTAGCATCACTGACGCTGAAGAGATTCAGACTGCGGACAATTTCCTTGGAAGGAACGCTCATTAGGCCAACCTTAGCGGGATTGCTGCCAATCTCAGGAGTCCAGAAGCAGAACAGTTGCTCGTACGTCTTGACACCGTCGCGCTTGACCGTGGCAGGAGCCCAGTCAAAGTCAACCACACTGTCAATCTTGATGGTGGTCTTGTCGAGGAGGTTCATGCGAGGAAGCTCGTATACCGAGATGGACTGTCCAGGGTTCAGACGAGCGACGTATTTGTCGTCGGCCGACCACTTGAACGCGGGCCATTGCTGCTTGGGCGGGGGCTTGCCATCTTCAGACTTGGGCGGCTCCAGGTTGGCAAACGAACGAATGGGCATCTCCGACTCAATGTCCCAGATGACATAGTTCTTGCCCTCGTCATCAGCAGTAAGGGTACCATCCCCGCCATCCTCGGGTACCGAAATCGGGCGGTTAGACCAAGTGACGAGGTACTTTTCGTTGGGCGAGTATGCGACAAGGTTGACAAACGGGTGGGGGAAGCGGCCCAGCTTGGACCAGGAGCTGCCACCCCAAATTTGGACACCACGGGCGTGAATAGAAGTGAGGTAGCTGCCCTTGGGCGACCACTGCAAAAAGGTCTCGGTCCAGTGCTGGCGTTCGACAACATTCTCGGGCTGGTCCTTTTCGTTGTTCCAGAAGACACCGACATTGTCACCGCGGTACATGACAAACTGATCGCGACCGCGTCCAGCGGGGTCCTTAAGCCACCACTTGAGGTGCTCACGCTTCTCGAAGGGAGCAATCTCGGGGGCGACGTATTCTTCCTTAACACGTCCCTCAGCGCCATATCTCTCAATATCGCTTATCTTGTTAATGCGCAGTGTGTGCTTCTTATCGAGGGGGACCATGTCAAGGGAGCGGACGGCAGCAGCAGCCTCGCTGGCAGAGGAGTATTCGACGAAAGCGAATCTGTGCAACGTTAGAGGGAAAACGGGCTGACGTGAGGTAAGACTACAAACCCTAGAGACTTGTCTTTGTCACCCATGGGCATATAGATAGAATCTTCACGGGCCTTGCCAACGGTGTTTAGCTTCTTGATGAGAAACTTGACGAGCTTGGGCTTTTGCTCTTCTGTAACGATAGGTAGACCGTCAATGACGACAAAAGTATCGTAGCCCTTGTCGAGTTGAACGTCGAAGCGCTCTCGGAGATCGGAAAAGTCAATATCATCTTCGTTGAACTCGTCGTCATCGAGGTCGGCCTCGCGCAAATGATCAAAGGAGGGCGCCATGGTGTCGGTCGCGGTCGTGTTGCAAGCGAGGGGTCTGTCAACGATGCCCCGCTTTTGTCGCTGTGTTGGAAATTTGAGAAGAAGAGCTGTTTATATGCAAGTTGGGCGCGGCAGGGTTTATGTAGGCCAGAGCTGCACGCGGAGGCAGAGTGTCGACTGTGCCAGTGAAATCCTCGTGCGGCGCGAATGTCGTGGCCGTTGTCGTGCGTGGGGAAGAGACGCTGTTTTTTTCGGTGATGCCCTGGGCCGTCGCAAATTTGGTGGTTCTCGACTTTCCACAAAGTGTGCGGCGGAGAAGCGATCTTCCTTTGCCGGGCAGTTTGGTCCATCGAGGGGCAAGTCACGTGCAGAGGGGACATGGTGGGGTGGTGCCTGCAAGAGGCTGTTAGAAGCTCCAGAAAAAAAGGCTGCCTTCGATGAGCTTCGAGGGGCGGAGAGCATAGGTTCCAGCTTCAGTTATTGCACACGATAGGCTCTACCAAAAAGACAGCCTACCATGGTATGATCACGCCTGGATGTAAACATCTGCGACTTCAAGCACACTAATTTCCTTCGCGCTCTAGTCGTTTGCACCTACACAAGTCTTTGCGGAGGGGACCACCGAGGAAAAGGGTGAGAATGCGCGTCTCGCTGCCTTCGTCGGGGCCATTGCCGTCGGCGACCTGGTGAAGAGCACTCTCGGTCCCAAGGGTATGGATAAGATTTTACAGTCTGCGTAAGTTCGGAATCCAAGGGAGGCATACAAGAGCTACCATCGCTCTCGTCTATACACCGTCTAATTCACCGACAGATCCACCGGTGAAGTCATGGTCACCAACGACGGCGCCACCATTCTCAAGTCGATTGCCCTCGACAACGCCGCCGCTAAAGTTCTTGTCAACATTTCGAAAGTGCAAGATGATGAGGTTGGTGACGGTACAACCTCAGTTGCCGTCCTCGCTGCCGAGCTGCTTCGCGAAGCCGAGAAGCTCATCGACAAGAAAATTCACCCCCAGACCATCATCGAAGGATACAGAATAGCTAGCCAGGCAGCCCTCAAGGCTCTTGAGGCCTCCGCCGTCGACCACAGCAAAAACCCCGACGCGTTCCGCAAAGACCTCGTCGCCATTGCCCGCACAACCTTGAGCTCCAAAGTCCTCGCCCAGGATCGCGAGCACTTTGCCGAACTCGCTACCGATGCCGTCCTCCGACTGAAGAAGTCCTCTGACCTAAGCCACATCCAAATTATCAAGAAGCCCGGTGGTAAGCTGAGTGACTCGTATCTGGATGAAGGCTTCATCCTGGACAAGAAGATTGGCGTCAACCAGCCGAAGCGCCTGGAGAAAGCCAAAATTCTTGTCGCCAATACCTCCATGGATACCGATAAGATCAAGATTTTTGGCGCCCGCGTAAAGGTTGGCTCGACTTCCAAGCTTGCTGAGCTTGAAAAAGCCGAAAAGGATAAGATGAAGGCCAAGGTGGACAAGATCAAGGCCCATGGCATCAACTGCTTCATCAACAGACAGTTGATCTACAATTGGCCCGAGCAGCTCTTTACAGATGCCGATATCATGTCTATCGAGCACGCCGACTTTGATGGCATCGAGCGTCTGGCTCTCGTCACCGGCGGCGAGATTGCTTCTACCTTTGATCACCCGGACCAGGTCAAGCTGGGGCAGTGCGACCTAATTGAGGAGGTCATCATCGGCGAAGACACATTGATCAAGTTTTCTGGCGTCTCTGCTGGCGAGGCCTGCACTGTTGTTCTCCGTGGTGCCAGCGAGCATCTTCTCGACGAAGCTGAGCGAAGCTTGCACGATGCCCTGGCCGTTCTATCACAGACTGTTCGGGAACCCCGTACCACACTTGGAGGTGGCTGTGCCGAGATGCTGATGGCAAAGGCTGTGGAGGGCGCTTCGACAAGGGTCGAGGGAAAGCGCCAAATGGCTGTTAACAGCTTCGCCACTGCGTTGACGCAGCTGCCCACAATCCTCGCTGATAATGCGGGCCTGGACTCGAGTGACCTAGTGGCACGTTTGCGCAATACAGTGTACAAGGGCATGTCTACATACGGGCTTGACCTGATGACACCTGGCGGCGGACTTGCCGACATGCGAGATCTGGGTGTTATTGAGAGCTACAAGCTGAAGAGGGCTGTTGTGTCATCTGCCAGTGAGGCTGCAGAGGTAAGTTTCCCAGATTCTGTTAACAGACGGTAGAATGCTTTGCTAATTCAAAAATAGCTCCTGATCCGTGTGGACAACATCATTAGAGCTGCCCCGCGAGCCCGCGAACAGATGTAAAATGGAGTAACGGACATAAAAAGAAGTTAAGAACAGTGGTATATGATCGTTAGCCAGTGGATATGAATCTGTAATGATACCATAGACAGAGAGGAACATTGATTGACAGGCATACTGTGACTGCGTGCAGAAGTGAGGACTGAGTGATTGTCAGCTGGCGCTGACACGTGGTGTTTGCAAACGAAGGAAAACTAACGGCGTGCTTTCTTCACAATTCAAAGCTTCTCGCGATCATCCACCGGCTTACATTGCTCTTTAGAACCGCAATGATGGATATTATTTCAATCAGCTCTAATTCTGACTCAGATTGTCTCGTCCAGCTGCAGTCACCTTCCAAGCGGCGCGGGAAAAGCTATCGAGAGCGGATGAGAGAGGCTCGCGACAAAATGGCAGGTAAGCAATACAAGCCTTGCGGTATTCGGATTTAAACTTAATCCTGGTGGCAGACGAATCGCCCCGACAGAAGCAAAAGATGGCTAAAGAGCGGGCAAAAGGTACACTCACTCTGGCCTATATTTACGATATGTCTACGCTATATGAATCTTCCAGCTAATGCGAACTAGAGCTCCAAGTTGCCGATGTCAAACTACGGCATGAAGAAAAGCAGATTGTGAGAAGGCAGCGACAGCAATCCTCGCGAAGCGTGAGCAAGGGAGTCGCCCCGGCCGCACCACCCGTGATGGCCAGATTTTTTGAACCGCGGAGAACCCGGTCAGAAGCTCCCCCAAGCGATGATGTGGTCAACTCAGGGGATCTCTCCTTCCCCATGGCGGCCACGCACGCCCGTGATTGGGACGCATCCTGCTGCATAAACGCAATACAGCAACCGCAAACGCCAACACCTATTGGCGCGACCCCCAGACGACGCCCAGAAGAATCTCTCGCTGCACCACCTCCCGCCTTTTCAGAGATGCAGATGGAGATTCAGGCTATCGCAACTAGCACCGCAAGGCCACAGCCTCTGGAAGACACGTCTCGAGCCCTGCCACTTCCCATGCAGGTAGACGAGCAGCCCCGAACAAAGACGGCCAGGCCTACCGCCGGTCCTACCACTGAGACTAACGAAATATTTCCCTTGGATGTCGGATCCTCGATTGCATCAGACGACGAAACGGTAGTCCCCACGGGGCCTGATCCAAATTCGGCCCCCAACAAGCCGCCCAGCACCATCGTTTCAGGTTCGTCTAGAGATGAACGCCAGCGACACGCTACGCCGAAGAGATCTGCGCAGCCCGTGGCACATCAGATGAGGCGCTCGCCGCAGCAGCATCAGCCGCAAGACATTATGAGACAGCTGAGCCCCATCACGCCTGCCCCCGCGGCGGCGATGGCGCCTGTGCGGACCGTGATGATGCACTGGAGGAGGTTGTGGCAGCACCCGCGGCAGCTATATCGGCACTTGTTCGATAAGCCGCTGTTTCGGCGCGCTGGTGTGAGGGAAAATGGCAAGGTCATGCGACAAGCGTGACAGCAGGGTTAATAATGTCGTGAGGCGATCAACGCTGGTATCTCGGTTCAGTTCGAGACATCTTGCCGCGGCAGCCTGAATGGCAAGATGAAATAAGGGGTCCATATTCACCTCGGTTTGATGTTTGATGATGAGCAAGTGCTCCCGCTTGGTGTCGGTCTTAGCTAAGAGACACAGAATTAGCAAAGGTGAACGAACGATGATTACCCTACAGGCGCCTTGCCCCTTCATTTGGACGACAAAGTTTGCCTACAACGTTGCTGATATTGCGTCACAGAATTTTTTTTACTAATTCTTGATGTTGCTTCTGTATGGAGTAGTTGTTGAGCGGATCGAAAAAGAAGAAAAAAACAGACATTCTGACGTTGTGATGTCTTGGAGCGAAATTAGGGAGTTGTCTAGTGCAGCACCTTTTGCCATGACACTGGGTGCGAGTCGAGCTGTGCAAGGGAGATGTTGCGACTGGGGCAATGTGATGATAAGCAAGTAGATTTCGAGAGAAATAGGAAGAACCGAAATCAAAGGAAACAAGGATGGATTTTGCTAGCATCGAGAAACGTTCATCTAGGGGAAAAGAACATGCGCAAATGTAGCAGTTTTGAGGCGGAAGCTAGAGAGTACTTGTCCTACCACGTACTTCTTTCCAAAGACTCTCCAAAAATAACAAGGCTTCTATAAAAACCTCTATCGCTGTTTGGTAAGTATTCGCGTGCGCAACTTTCTCGGACTTCCGGCGACAAGGGTAGCTCAGCCACGGACGGAGGGCTGAGGGGGCCTGTGAGAAGAAAGGCTGAAGCACTTTCCAAGTTTCTACATGCTCACCAGCCTCTGTGACCACCATTTTGTACATACGCGCAAAGGATGTCTACTAAGAAACAACTGGTCATCCAAATGTCCGGCGCCCCGGGTTCCGGCAAGAGCACCCTCGCCCGGCTCCTCCGCCCCCTCGTCGGCGGCGCCGTCGTCGACCACGACATCCTGCGGTCCGCCTTCCTCACAGCGGGCCTCGACTTCCAGGCCGCCGCGCGGAGCGCGTACCGGCTGCAGTGGGCGCTCGCCGAGGACCTCGTCGCGCGGCAGGGGCTGAGCGTCATCGTGGACAGCACGTGCAACTACCCGGAGACGCTGGCGGAGGGCGGCGCGCTGGCGGAGAGGCACGGCTGCGACTACTGGTACGTCGAGTGCCGCGTGCGCGACGTGGACCTGCTGGACGGGCGGCTGCGCGCGCGCCCGGCGCCGATGCCAAGCCAACGCGGCGGCGTCGATGACTATCCGGCCGGGGCTGTGGAGGGCGGCGTGGCAGATGAGGATCCCAAGGAGCGGTTTGTGACGCAGATGGGGAATCCGTGCCGGCCGGCGACGGAGGAGAATGTAATCATCGTGGATGGCACGGAGAGGCCGGAGAAGCTGCGTGAGGATATCCTGAAACGGATCCTTGGGTAGTGTCCGGAAGCTGTCGCACTTCAAGTAAAGCTTCACACCATGGGCCTAGCACGACTTTAACCCCCAAGTGTACATAGGCATGGAGTATTTGCAGTGGTCATGGTGCCATCATCGTGCGAGCCAGGCTGCCTGATCGACAAAATTAGGTGATGGGCGAGATCAGCAGAGATGGGGCAGAAGGAGTTCTAGACCACATCCAGCACATCCACCAGGGCCTTTGCGAAAAGGTGAATTGACATGTGCATTGTAGTTATGGATACAAGGTGAAATTCAATTGGGAGCAGCGCAGATGGCGTTAATCATGAATTTCGCGTGTGCTGACTGGTGAATAGCGGACGTCTGCCCTAATTAAGAAATGAGTACACAAGCGAGTTAGAAGGGCGTTGACATTCATTCTACGTAGCATAAACATGTCGCAATTGACTATGAATTAGCCCCTTGCTACGTTTGGTCAGCTCTTACGATTAGTCGTTGTCTTTTTATCATCGTCACTCTAACAGCGCCTGCATCTAGGTTGATTGATAGCGGAAAAGACGGGTTTCCACGTTGACTACGGGTACTCCGGTCTCTTTTAGCCTGGCCAAGTCGGTTGATATTTTTTCTTTGGAAGGGGACAACTGCGCGGGATGTACCTTTCGAGAGGAACAACCAACCTCTTAGCCTCACATTGCGTCTCGTGGTCCGTCATTGGCGATCGACGATGTAGTCTTCCCTGCATAGTACCTACATAGCTGGCCAGTGATGGGCTGATATCATAGGCAGCAGCCGCTGGGTGCTGTTGAAGCCCCCAGGCAGTATAGAAGACCGGTCTCCCATCTGGTTTCTATATTATCGACGAGCCGACGCGTGACCGGGGGCATTGTAGCTTTGGCGACGTGGCTTCCGTGCCGAGCTTGCGGGAAGGAGCCGCCTCTGCCGAGGACGCGACGTGGAGTGTGGCGAAGACGAGCGGCTGGATGCCGGCTGCGAGATCGTGCTTCTGATATGCCTGCTTGGCAGGATGCAGTGCCGCGACCAACCTGTCTGTTTCTCTACCGTGGCCAGAGCTCCTCTCCCGCCAATTTGGATATGCCTAGTATCGCTACCGCGAGTGACTGGCTCGCACAGACAATCCACAACCGTGCCCCGGAACTCATCATAAGGGTCAAGGCTCTGCGATTTGGTAAGATGTATGACTGGTACTATATCGGGCCTGAAAAGGTTGATGTGCGCGCCCTGATTAAGACAATCGCCTTTGTACGAAGCCTTGATCGATCGAAACCTGCATCACTGATGGCGGTACTCGGTGTTAGCTGTAGGAGGTTAAGGATGCATCGTAGGGCTAAGTGGCGCGTTTCGGATGCAGCATGGTCAAAGCCATATTGCCCGAGAAAAGTAACATCGGATCTTTGTCGCTGCCCAGCCAGCAGGGTGTCGAGTTGATGAAGGGGTCGTTTGCGGGCCGTGAGTCTGTGACATCGTAATGGTTTATTGGTGGGACCAACGTTTGCTGCTGAACTTGCCCTGGCCTGACTCGAGGTCGTGCATGATTTCTTGCATCTTGTTTACCAATTTTACCGATCCTCTACCCTTATTAATAAATAAGGGGTTATGGTATCGTGATGGACCAAACGGGGGCGCGGGGACGGTAACTGGGGGCGGGCTTTGTGCGACGGGTCGCCGTGGTTCTGGATTTTGTACTCCGTGTCCCCCATGTAAATAAAAGATGTGAAATTGGTGTCTATGCATTGACTGTATGGCCTTCCTGCATTTCTTAAGATTCTGTTATGAGGAAGAATATGACTGCTCTTGTAACTGTAGGAGGTGGTTACTGGTATAGTGCCAGTCCTTGAAACTTTAATTACAAGCACATGCCTGTAGATTGCTGTGACTTTTTCCAAATAGGCTGATGAGGATTGCCGGTCCGCTTTTCACTGGCACTCTCTTGCTGATAAGTGACGGATGATTACGGTAACTAAACACACAGGTAGGTACTGGTCGATAGATAGCAGACGGCAATACCGGCTATGCTGCATGATTCGACGGAAGACAGGAACAGGCGGCTGTGGTGTGTGGTGGTGGCTTGCTCGGGGGCCACTTGGTTGCCCCTGAGGAGAAGGAGAATTTTTCAAACTATATTCATCGGCGCCAAGGAGAATGGCCATCATGGAGCTGACTGGAGGAGTGTTTGCCGCTGACCTCTGAGGTACGCCAATGAATGACAAAGCACTCTGAATCGTGACTCGAGAGGCTCGCTAGCGGCAGCGTTGGATCGCGGCTGCAGATGCACGGTGACTTGGACTGATCCCAGACATTGTCTAAACACGGGAAATGGCTCCCAGGAATCATCATGGTTGCAATCAAGGTTGCTTGCAAGGTTTGAAGGACTAAAATAATACAGGTAGACACTGGTACCAACACGTTGGGATTGGTGGCCTCCTAAAATGAACCGAATGGAGCGCTAATTATATTTAGAGGAAGCTGGTGGATGGGCCAGGGGGTGCTGCAGTCACTAGAGGTACAGACTATTCGTACATACAGCAACTGCATCGAGGCAGCTGCACAAGGTAATCGAACGAAGCGAGGACCGAGAAAATCAATAAACTGGGATCATATCAGAGACATGAGGCCCATTGTCATGTCAAGACAATAAATACCATCATTTCGCTAACTTGCTAACTGGTATGCTGATGGCTATTTCGAGCTGTGTTTGCCTCGTCCCTCCATACTGGTATGGGGACTGCTCGTTGGCCACTGCCCAGCTTCCATCAGCAGAGTTCAGCGGCTTCAGTGGGTTCCAGCGGGCTCCAGCGAGGCTTGCTGGCTCCACTAGCGAATGTGCCAGTCGACATCTGCTGCTCAAGTACCTATTCTACGTTACAACTCGTTGGCAATGTCGCTTCTTCCTCTTATTTTCCCCGCCTCGCTTCGCTCAGTTCGTAGATCCTTGCTATTAAAGCGCGCACAGGCAGAGTGCCAGCTCATCAGGCTACAGCACCTGCGTAAAAAAGGCATCACCAGCAGCGCTTACAGGGGAGCTGCTGTACCCAACGCCCTCCAAGTGTGCCCCCTGTCTCTGCCCTGGCTCCGCTGTGCATGCTACTCTCCGAAGTTCTTTTACCACCAGCCCACTTACCAAAAATACATGGTACCTGAGCGAACCTCCCGTGCTAACTAAAAACATACTCCGTGACCGTCATCGACAAAAGTCTCGCCGCCCTGCTCCCCGACTAACCCAGCGTTAGTCCGTCCACTCTTCCTTCGTTCTCTCTTTGGCCTCACATATCGTTCGTTTTTACCTTCACTCGTTCTTTTCCTTTCCCATCTCAATCCCGCTCGACATCACTCTTTCTATCCTGCCTAATTGACGCATCTTTTCCCCCTTCTCTCCTATCCGTATATACACCGCCATCGCCACTCGTTCTAGCTGCCTGTTGCCCCTTGTCCGGCAATCGACCCCTCGCACGGCACGCTACCAACTTCCCGCTCGTTGTTCGCCGTCACTTACGTCGCACGTTGCGCACCAGTCCAACCTTCAGACCGATACTGCACAATTTACCACCCGCCTATAATTTTCCGACTGTCCGCCTCAGAATCTTCGCATATAATACATCCTTCCAGTCTGCGATGTGGCCATGAGCTCCACCTACGCCGTCGCCACCATGCTGCAAAGTCCTGACTCTCCGCCAGGCATGACAACCTCCAAAAGCTCAAAGTCCTCGTCTTTTCATTCCCTCACTAGTGACGACGGTAGTGTTCTTGCCGATATTGGTCATTTTGAGGACATTGGCCTCGACGACGAGCACGGCGCCACTCCCAAGGCCTCGACCCAGATCCTCACCCGCCGCATCACTTCGCCTTCTTCCAACGTTCCCGTCCCCGCAGCAGCTGGACGAACTCTCGCCGTTAGCAACAGAAAGGCACCAGCCCCGAGGCGCTCTTTCCCCAATCTTCGAAATAATGTCTATTCCACCAACCCCCGCAGCACCAGTACCGCTGCCCTGACCGACCCTCGCCCCATTACCCTGAAGAAGGGCCATTCCACCACCTCGCTTCCTCACGTTCATCACCAGCGCAGCATCAGTCCAGCCTTGCCCAGTCCTTCCCGTGATGTATTCTATCCTCCTCGCCCGCGTAGAGGCAGCTGGCAAGCCAACAACGACCGCAGGTCCATCTCCGAACTTGAACAGGAATGTGACGAGGACGAAGGGGACGACATTCCCGAGGGCCTTGTCCTGGACAACGTTCCTCTCTCCCCTCGCCCACAACATGAACGACCACCCAGCAGAATACCCTCCACCAGCACCTCTCCCGAGAGAACCACAAAGGAGCGAGTCCGCAGCATTGGCAATGGCACGCCTGCCGTTGCCCAAGCACAAGGCTCGCTTCGATCGCCAACCTGGAAAGCAGACGCCGAGAAGCGTCCCACGAGCCCCACGAAGACTCGTGCTCACAGCTGGAATTTAGCTCACGCAGAACTCAATGCCGAAGCCCGTGCACTCACAGAGAAGCTCGAGGAGCATGCTGACGAGGTTGAGGAGATGCAATCCCGCCGCCCCTCTACCGCCCGCCCCAACACTTGGGCCGCGTCTCAAACACAAGAGTATGCCTACGATCGCAAAGAGCGCGGCAAGTCCTCGACGCCTGAACTGCCGCCGCTGCGCCGAACCGACAACATGGTCGACCCTCTGCCCATCTCCAAGGAAAAGGAAGCTGTTCTCAGCCGAACGCGCCCCTCGTGGCTCCCACCCAAAGATCCAGCCGAAGAGCGCCGCCATGTTAAGCAGTATCAAAAAATGATGGCAGCCAGCATCAAGGCCGATGAGCGTCGTGAAGCAGCCCGAAGAGCCCAAACGACACATCGCGATAACAATGCAGAAACCTTGATGCATCTCTGGGAGGATGACATTATTCCGCGCTGGAATGATGCCATCCGCGAGCGCCGGACCCGCGACATGTGGTGGCGCGGCATTGCCCCTCGCAGCCGAGGCGCTGTCTGGTCCAAGGCTATTGGCAACGAACTTGGCTTGTCTGCTGCCTCCTTCCGCGCTGCGCTAGGTCGCGCTCAAGTGGTGGAACAGCGCATTAAGGAGGACAGAGCGGAAGAGGGCGACGAAGAAAAGGCGAAATGGTTCCAAGAGATCCGCCAGGCCGCTTCAGATAATACCTGGACCGAGCTTCGCATTTTCCAAGAGGGAGGTCCTCTTCATACCGCTCTTGTGAACGTGTTGTCTGCGTATGCCATGTACCGCGTCGATATTGGCTACGTTGCTGGATGCAATGTAGGTTTGCCGACCCTGTTTGTTTCATCCTGTTTCACCCTGCTGACACTGTGCAGACTATAGCCGCGCTGTTGCTGCTCAACCTGCCCGACTCCGAAACTGCCTTTGTCGCCCTTGCCAATATCCTGAACCGATCTCTACCGCTGTCCTTCCAAACATCCGATGCCACTGCTCAAGTCTCTGCCTACAACTTGGTTCTTCGCACTCTCAGCCACAAGTCAGCCACGCTCCACGACCACTTGACCAGCGGTGTACCAGATCTCACTCCGGAGGTGTATCTGAGCGGCGTATTCTCCAGTATCTTTACTAGCCTTCTCGCCATTGACGAAGCCGCTCGCTTATGGGACGTTTACGTTTTTGAGGGCGATGCCTTGCTCGTCCGTGCGGCCGTGGCCATTTTGATGGAGCGAGAGATGGATCTCCTCGGCAGCAAGACGCCAGACGAAGTTTGGGCCGTCATGTCCAAGGCATCAACCAACAGCACTGCGCCGCGCGCGGTGGGTGAGATTGGTGCCGAAGACAGATTTATCCGGGCCGTCCGCGACGCGGGCAAGGCGTGATGCAATTCAGCGTTTAAATGAAACATGTCACAAAAGCAGCAACATAGAAAGGAATCATTTTCTGGGGAATCATTTTTTGGAATATTTTATGGCGTTCTTGGGCGGAGCTCGAATCTGACTGCCTTTCAAGTCAAGTCAAACGATGGGTACGAGACCATCACAAAATGCACATATTGTCTCATCAAACACAAACACACACCGACATACAGCATGCAAAAACAATGGGCAAGCTCCTCTCGTCGGGGCTTGCAGGAACACTGACATATCGGGATCACACAAACTTAATCTTCTAGTACAACTATTTGGTTGGCCATTTATATTTTTCTTCGTCTCATTTTCTCCACCCCTGGTCGGAATTTCTGCGACTTCTCGTTGCATGGTGATCTGAAGAGGGTTGATTACAATGATGGATATATTAGTCGCCGTGGGCGATGATTTGTATAGTAGCGATACATATGCACATGAGATATGGATTTGACTGCCAAGCCTCTGAAAAGGATAGCGCGTGATAGCAATCAATCGACTGCGTCTCCGGCTCGACATCGCACCGGATAGCTTTCTACCATTGGGTACTTTGCCTACCGTTAGTTTACGGCTTGACCTCGTAGACTTGACGAAGAGGAAACTCTGCCTTTTTGCTCCGTTGCTACCCCCATGCCGCGTCGGCGACCCGCATCTAGGTAATCGAACTGCCATTCCTTCAGTCTCTCAAGAAAGGATTTCAAGGTCTTGCCGGCGGTCTGGCTAAAAGTCTAGATCCGTGGTAGGCTGAAGAGGTGATCGTGTACACCCGGTCGCCGGGGAAGGACGTGGACGGAGTTCCCGGCCTGGCTGCGGAACGAGGGAGCACGGCGATTTCTCTAGCTAAGCATTGGGTGCCATTAGTACTGTTGAGTTGCGCTGGCTCTATGCCGCTTTCAGTCATAGCGTTAAAGCTATGTAACTAACCAAGCCGGTTCGTGGAAGGCTTTACGCAACGCGGAGTTGACTTACAGCTGTTGGAGGCGAGGCGAGAACGCATGCACGCTCTTCACTGGCGTTTAGATTTAGATTTAGTGCTGCCGAAGTAGCTTTCATTTACTCTAGGTTCCTTTACCCTTCCTCGAATCCTTTTATATTAACCGTCTTCTCTTTTGTCTACTTTGCATTCTTTAGTTCTTTTATTGCTGTCTGCCTGGCTCAGTGTCACGGCAAAGCCTATGTTAGAGGGTCACGAGGCAAACGCTTAAGAACGGGACCGGCGATACGCTGAATCCAACATACCCCAGCGCTTCGATTGGCTCACCGGGACCAATATCAGTCCATATTTTCTAGAACATTTCTTTGCGATTTTAGTTGTGTAACGCAGTTGGGCGTGGGGGTGGAAATTGGCTTTGGCAACTGTGACGCAGGTAAGTACTAAGCGCATTGCTCCCCGCGATACGGAATAGCAACCAAGAGCGGCGAGTACAGGAATAGTGGCCAAGCACCAGTATCAAGATAGTTTAGCTGTGCGTTGATGCCCGTGGTGATTGTATGTATGTAGGTATCCGGGTAGCTACCGGTTACTTAGTGTGGCGTCACCAGCCACATGCTCGGCACGGCCGCCCCAGGTTCCGCCTTGTCACCAGATCCCCATCATCATCCACAGTTCCCTTTAACACCAGCGCCATCTCGCGACGCAACGATTGTTCATCAAATTCTTTGTCTCTCTCTTCCTCCCCATCGCGGCCGTGTTCGCAAATCGAGACCTGACCTGGGCTTTTCTCTCTCTCATCTTTGCTCTTTGCGCTGTCTCGCGCTTCCCGGACCGTGCCGTCGATCCATCCCTGCCACCGTCTTTTTTAACCTGGCTCCTTGTTCCCGCCGCTGCGCGTGTGTGGCCGCCGGCGCCCGCTAGCCAGAGCCGTATTCTTTGGCGCCATTTGCTGGTGTGACGCTTGTTTTCTTCGTCTCTAGGTTCGGCCATTTCGTCAGGTGACGGCTTCTTGTTCGCCCAACTTTCTTCAAACTGCCGCCACAAACGCAGAGGATAACCATACCTGAGGTTATTTTTTCCCCCTCAGTCAACACTTCTGCCCTCCTCACTGCGATCGGGCGATCTAGGTCCCTGGACGATAGGCGCCATTGGGCCCTTTTTTTTTGGTCGCTTTTCTCCTTCGGTCACCTTGGCACGCACCTTGACCCGAGGGCATGCACTGACTCGTCTCTCCCGTGCCTCTCCCGACACGCCCGTTTCCATCTCCAGCACGCTCGCTTCTCCCGGTGTCCGCAAAGCTCGTCGTCGTCATCCATTGAGAGTTTTTTTGCGGCCGCCCATCCGCTGCGCCGATTAGCCGATACCCGATTCTCCCTTTGCCGCGCGCGCTCGCATTGCTGTTTCCTCCCCACGCTGCACGTTGTCACACGATATAAGCTAGCATCATGAGCGCCCCTTGTACGTTTCCATATCGGCTGCACGACCGGTCGCCGCCAAACTCCCTGCAAGATCAATGCAAGACTGACAATTGCGCGTGTCAGTGAGCTCCGAAGAGCGTCAACAGTATACGGCCATCATTGACGGCATCCTCGCCACTGCCGACCTCCAAACTATCACGCGCAAGAACATTCGGCAAGGTCTCGAAACTTCGCTCGGCGGCAAGGATCTCAGCGAGCAAAAGGTACGCATATGCACAATTGCTCGCCGACCGAGTGCGGCACGCTGACCGTTACATAGAACGCGATCAAAAAGTTGATAGAAGCACGTTTTGACGCTGTTTCGGGCGCTAATGCTGACGACGCACCGGCCTCGCCGATCCCCGCGCCGACGCCGAGTAAGCGCTCTGCTACGAACGGGAACCACGATCGCTACGATTCCGATGTATCGGCCGGCTCTGAGCCTGCGAAGAAGAAAGCCAAGCGCTCGTCGTCTGTGGAGGATGCCGACGCAAGGCTAGCCGCCCAGCTGCAGGCACAAGAAAACCGCCTGGCCCGAGGCCGCACCACACGCGGCGGTGACAAGCCTCGCGGCACCAAGAAGCGAGCTCCCAAGGCGAAGAGTTCCAAGCGCGCCCGTGATGATGATAGCGACGTGGATGGCAGCGACGCGGCTCCCCCGAAGCGCAAGGCTGGTGGTGGATTTCAAAAACCTTTTAATCTGAGCGAGAGCCTTTCCGTCTTGTGCGGAGAAACACAGGTTTGTCGAAATATTGCTCTTCAGCTTCTCGTCATGTCCTAACAATCCCAGCTCTCACGCCCCCAAGTTGTCAAGAAACTCTGGGAGCACATCAAGGCAAACGACCTACAGGACCCGAGCGACAAGCGCCAGATCCTCTGCGATGAACGAATGTATGCTGTTTTCAAACAGGGTAAGGTGGACATGTTCAAGATGAACAAGGAGATCGGAAACCATCTATATCCGGTCGGGGAGGAATAGGTAGCCGCCGTAAACGGATGGGCCTTCTGGTCACAGCCGTGGCGTGCTATACCGAAGGCGTTGGGCAACGGTAATTGTTTTTGGCAACCCCAGGTTGTCTGGTTTCACTTGGTTTCTTCTATTCTTCTATTTTTCAAACTGCGTGGGTCTTGTATTTTTGCGCATCCTCATTGGAAGTTCTGGGGCAAATGGCGGCGCAGTGAAGGCATGATACAAATCGTATTTGGTGTTTATGTTGATGCCACCACAAATGACGGTTTTGGGGCAGCAGCCAAAAAAAGAACGTGCGTGGGCAAATGCGGGTGAGCCACGAAGGCACTGGAGTACGCGGAGAAACTGGCCAAGAGGCCACAGTCTTGTAAATGCTACAATATACCTGTTCAAAATTGTAGGCGAGATGGATGCTGATGATGGATGTGGTGGTCAATGTGCTGATACTGTAGTGTCGGTGACTGGCTGGTTGACGCGAAAGATCAGACGCTCACTAACAAGACAGGACTATTCGTATATAGATTGGACAACTCCCGCGTGAGAACGAGTCACTTGTTTACGGCATATCCAAATCAAAAGATTATTGACTGTTCTGACTCTTCCTTGGCGTGTTGTCACCAGTAACCTTGTTCGCGGCGTGACTCTTACATACCTGGTACAAGGCGGATTTTCGTCACTGGAGTTGATAAGCCATTACTAGCGGCAGGAGGATTTTACATGGTGTCTCGCTGAGTCATCAAATCATCTCATCCGCTGATTTGCCCCTCGTTGTCATTTTTGGGGGGCCCCAAATTAGCAAGCTTTGCCCCTCTGGAGACTTGTGGGACTGCCGCTATCAAATTCGTACCTTGCTCTGAGCAGGAAATTCGGAAACCTGTCTCTTCCGTTGCTTTGCCTCGACGCCCTTCTAACTCCATCACACATATATTATACGTACATCCATCTATAACTAACTATAGAGGCATTGGATGGCCACGTTACCACCAAGTCGAACGAACGAACTCCAAGCACACACCTGAGACAACAACTCGCAATCGCAAGCGATGCCGGAAGAGGCCGGATCCTCAACCGGAGGCGGCGGCGGCGGCGGCGGAGGCCAAGCTTCTCGCGGACGAGGCAATCGCAACAGAGGCCGGACTGATCGTGGCGGCCAAAATAGCAGTGGAGGCGGCGGCGGCCGGCGAGGCCGTGGCGGCGGAAATCGTGGCGGCGTCAAGACCGACCTGCCCGCTGAGCCCGCTGCGCAAGATGTCGCCGTCGCTGCCCGTGCTGCTAAGGAAGAAGCGGGTGCCAACGGTTTCGCTGCCCCGGCTCACAAGGCCACACAAAAGGTCGATGATGACGATGAAAACGAGGACGTGTGCTTCATCTGCGCCAATCCCGTCGCGCACCACTCCATTGCTCCCTGTAACCACAAAACCTGCCACATCTGTGGCCTCCGCATGAGGGCGCTCTACAAGACCAAGGACTGTGCCCACTGCCGAGTAAGTGTCATATCTAGATCAGGTTTTTGACCCCGGACTCCCTAACAATCCATTGTCAGACCGAGGCTCCCTACGTCATCTTTACAGACGACGCGGAAAAGAAGTTCGAAGACTACAAACCCGCCGACCTCACCACCGTCGACAACAACATTGGCATTAAGTATACTAATGAGGATATTGTCGGCGATACCGTTCTCCTCCTCCGCTACAACTGCCCCGATGCCTCGTGCGACTTTGCCGGGCTCGGCTGGCCCGATCTACACCGCCACGTCAAGTCGGCGCACCGGAAGCGCATGTGCGACCTATGCACGCGCAACAAGAAGGTCTTCACACACGAGCATGAGCTCTTTAACGACCGCGAGCTCGAGAAGCACATGCGCCGGGGTGATGACAAGCCCGGTGCCGCCGACCAGACCGGTTTCAAGGGCCATCCGCTCTGCGGCTTCTGCGGCGAGCGCTTCTACGACGACGACCGGCTCTACGAGCACTGCCGGATGAAGCACGAGCGCTGCTTCATCTGCGACCGCCGCGACTCCCGCAAACCCCACTACTTTGTCGATTACAACGCGCTCGAGCAGCACTTTAAGAAGGATCACTTCCTCTGCAACGACCGCGAGTGCATGGAGAAGAAGTTTGTCGTCTTCGAGTCTAACATGGACCTGCAGGCGCACAATTTGGCTGAGCACGCCGGTGGCAAGACCGTGGGGCGCGATGCGAGAGTGGTGGACATGGCGGGCTTCGACCTGCGGCAGACGTATCAGGGGGAGCGGCGCGGTGGTGGTGGCGGAAGCGGCGGCGAGGGCCGAGCGAGGGGGCGCGGTCGTGGTCGGGGTAGGGACCCGAACGAGGACTCGGTGCCGCCTGCATACGCACAACCATTGCGCCGAGACGAGATTGCGTTCCAGCGACAAATGGCGATTCACTCGGCTCAATCAGTATCCCAACGCACATTCGGCGGCCAACTCTCCACACCGGCGCCGGCAGCCGCCTCCGCCGGCCGCGGTGGTGGTGGTGCCTCGCCACGCAACGGCAGCTCCACCAACACCCCGCGGACCGGCCCCGCGTCGACGGCTAATCTCAGCGACCCGATGGACATACTCTCACTCAACGACACGGCCAACATGACTCCCGAGGACCGCGCCCGGCTCGTGCGGCACAGCTCTGTCATCGAGCGCGCCGCCAACCTCCTCGGCAACGACGCGACCAAGCTGGCCAGCTTCCGGCGGCACGTGTCCTCCTACCAGCGCGGCGCGCTGACAGCGCCGCAGCTCATCGACGCGCTGCTGACGCTGTTTGGCGATGTCTCGTCCAACGCGCTCGGCACCATGGCGCGCGAAGTGGCGGACTTGTTCGAGGACAAGGCCAAGGCGGACGGCCTACGAGCCGCGTGGCAGGACTGGCGCGCCATCAACGAGGACTACCCGAGCCTACCGGGTCTCAGCGGCATGCAGGGCGAGACGTCCAGCTCGAGCGGCTGGGCGCACGCCGCGTCTGCCAACCCGGCCGCGCCGCGTGGTGCGCCCGCGCAGAAGCACTCGAATCGTGTGCTCAAGCTTAAGAACAGCACGCGACTTGCAGGCCCAGCGCCCGTCACGAACGCGACGCCGCCGGGCTGGACGCCAGCCGCGGCCTCGACATCCCGCGTACCCGCCGCTTCCTCCTTCCCGTCGCTGGCGGCGTCGGCCCCGCCCAAGTCGGGTAGTGGCGGTGCATCATCGGCTGGGCGCCCGTCGTGGGTCCCGGCGTCATCTGCTGCGGCCTCCCTGCGCGCAGGCACCCGTGGCGCCCGTGGCGGTGGCGACGACAACTTCCCTGCGTTACCGGCCGCGCCCAAGCCGACAACGACCATCTTCGGTTACGGCGGTGGGAGGGGTGTGCGCCGTGACTATGGCCACGCCGAGTCCAACTTCCAATGGGGTGGAGGCGGCTCCTCGGCGGACGCGACGCCGGCGGAGGCAGCGGAGGCAGAGGACGGCAAGGGCAAGAAGGGCAAGAAGGGCAAGAAAGTTCTGGTATCATGGGGTTAAGAGCGTCTTTCTTGTCCCACTGTTGATCAAAAGCTTGCATCTGCTTTTGTTTTTTTTTTAGCTTTTTTTTGTTTTTCACTGCAACAGCATACACGGGGAGTTTGTGTTGAAAAAGCACGAGACGAGATGTAAATGTAGACTGCGTGGCGTTTTGATGCAAAGGTGTTGATGATGACGATGAGAAACATAGCGGCATCACTACAAAGAATATGTAAACTTCATTATTGTGCATATACCATACCCTCTCGTTTCTTCGTATGCCATGCTTGCATAGATGAGCGCCATAGGCCTAGGAACGCAGGTACTCGCACACCTTCTTGCCCCAGCGTACGCTGCCCTTGTAGATGCGCATCCCGGGCGCGTTGCCGTCGGCCAGGCCGTCGACGGCATCGGCAAACGCCGGCCCGCCGCCTTCCTCCTTGAGCTGTCGGACGGGGTACATATACGTCTTGAAGGAGAAGAGGATCGCGCGCGTCTCGGGCAGGCGGGTGAGTGTCTGGAGCTCGATGCGGACAAAGGTCTTGTCCGAGGGTTGTCAGTCCGGCGATTTTCTAACAAGAGGGATGACGGGTGGGGACAAAGCAGTACCTGGGAAATGTCGACGTCTTCGTCGGGCATGTACGTGTCTTCGTGCTCGATGATGTGGTTGCCCTTGCAGTTGAAGAGCTGGTCATGCGTCTGGACGGACCACTGTTGCGCAAAAAGCGTGAGCAAGGGCGTAAACGGAGGGAGACCTGAGGATGAAGAAGCAAGGAAACAAACCCACATTCATCCGCTTGACGCTCTTTCCGACCTCGAGCTTGCCGAAGAAGCGCTCCATGCTCTTGGCGATCTTTTCGTACGCCGGCACCGGCCGGTGGATCTCGCTCAGCAGCCGGCCGAGCTTCTCGCTCGGGTCGAAGCCGGACGGGAAGCAGCACACAAACGCCGTCGACTCGTGGCCCTGCGGCGTCTCCCGCAGCAGGAACAGGTCCTCTTCGACCGTCTCGCCGAGCACGCGGAGCGCCGCCTCCGGGTCGTCGGGGCACGTCGTCGGGTGCGTGGCGCCGGTGGCCGCGTTCCGCAGCGAGCCACCGACGAGCTGGAAGACGGTCGGGTAGCGGCGGGGCAGGTAGGAGCCGAGGAGGTAGGAGTAGAGCTCGCGAACGGAGGCGCCGCCGTGGGGGGTGCAGCCGTGGACGGTGGCGGGGTGCGAGGCGAGGAGCCGCCGGCGGAGGGTGACGCGCTCGAGGTAGTCCCGGTCGATGGTGATGAGGTCCTGTGGGGTGTCGGCCTGCAATGCTTTTTTGCGGGGTCAGTGGCGTGGATAATGGAATAGCTTATCGCCCGGGATGTAGAATACCCATGGTGATGTGGTAGGTTGGCTTGAACGGCCTCAGCTGCTTGGGCTCCTCCTTCTCCCAGACCAGGCCGTCCAGCGGCGTAATCTGTGGTGACTGGCCGACATGTTCCTTTTCAGGCCGTGCCGACTCAGGCGTCTCCCGCGCTCGTCTGGTTCGAACCTGTAGATGCTTTTCGTTAGCGGCGGATCGGATGGTCGGCATGACAAGGGTCGGCTGCCGGACTGACGAATGTATAAGACAGCCACAGGAGTGCTGCAGCGGCGCACGCGACCACGAAACTCAGCATGACGACAAAGAAAGCAAAAGACGAGAAGAATATGGCGAGAGTGAAGAAGAAAACTCGATAATGAAGACAAAATATAACCTTTTCTTATCATTCAACTTGCGCGCCCTAAGGCACCCATAAATTGTTGTCCGTCCCACTTGCTCCCCGCGTCCGCGCGCACCGGCGCTTGTTCCGATCACGGGCGCCCACTTAGACCGAGTCACGCGGCGCCCTCCGGACATGGCCAAGCACCTTTGCAAAATGACGTGTTGAGAGGTGTTGGCCTTGGAAAGTATTCTGCTCGAATATGTAGATTCTGGATCAAAGTTGAAGAAAGATTACCAACCAAGGTCTAGCTTTCTAATTACAGTGCATACAGCCAGTGGTGGTCGTCATGGGCGAGCAACAATGTGACGAGCAGCTGCGCCCAAAGGGGAATAGGCACACATACGGCGAATAATGAGGGCAATGTTTAGTTCCAACATGATTCTCATACAAGTATTTGTTAACTGATGCTTAAGCAAACTTCCGAGTCATCGAGCTCTGCCTGCTGCCTGGTGTACAGCATCCTGTCGTCATCAGAGCCAAATCATCACAAGCACATCCGACCTACAAACTCCGAACATGATCTCATGGCAGCTTCTCCTCGAAAATAGTCCTCCACCTACTCCTAGCGCCTCTTCCCTTCATCAAGCAAGGCCGATGACGCCCTCTGTAGGGTATCAATAGCCAAAAACGCGTCCTGCAGGGCCCTGACAGATCTGTCGTTGGCGTCATACAAGAACCGTCCCATCGCGCGCGACCAGGCCACCTCGTCGCGGTGCGCCGTCTCCAGCGCTACTACGCGTGTCTCGATCTCTCGCAGTCGCGACTCGTACAGCTCCCTCTCGGCAGCGTCCAAGTGACCTCCGGTGGCGTCGACCCCCGGCCCGTGGAGCGCTGTCGGAACGCATCCCGTCGTCTCCGCCTCGACGCGCGCGCGCATATCGGCTTGCCAACGGCGTGTCTGCCATGCGATGCGATGCAACTCCGTGCTAAGGTCCCGGCGACGATCCTCCCAGGCCCCGACAGTGGTGGTGACGGTGGAGGAAGCGACGGCGGAGGAGGCGACGGCGGAGGAGGCGACGGCGGAGGAGGCGATAGTGGAGGATGAGTCGTTGGCCGGGATTTTACTGGCGAATTGAGTAAGCTTGGACTGTACGAGAACCGGCGAGAGCTTGGGCAAGTTCTGCTGCTGCAGCGGCGGCGGCGGTGGTGGGATGGGCTCGCGGGCAGGCGGGGAACTGGGCAGCACGGGAGATGTCAAGTCGATCAAATCAAAGGCGCTAGAGCTCTCAGCTGCGTAGTAGTCCTCCAGGACGCCGTCGACGGTCTGGCTTCGCTTGCGCGCTTGGTCCGCCGAAGGGTGCCACGGTAATCCGGCCTGGATGACACTCATAATCGGCGTGAAGCAGCGCGCGTCAAAGGTGGAAACGTTGCTTGTGAGCGCAGACTCCCGCTCGTCGATATCTCCTTCAGACAAGGAGGAGGCCTTTTGCCTCGGCTCTGCCGGCAGTTTGGGGCCAGCCGGAAGCTGGGCCTGGATGACAGGCAGCTTAGACCCGCCGCCGACCCGGTTGGTAGACCTTTTGGGCTTGCGAGTCATCCTCACTTCCTTCATTATTGCACTGGATTTTTGCTCGCATCAGCAGCTGTGAGGAAAGAATTTCAGTCGAAGCAGACTTACACCAATTCTGGGTCGACTTCCCAGAGAGAGGTCACAGCCTTGGCGGGCAGCTCGACACCCGCGAGGCAGGCCGGGAGGCTCGAGTTCATGAGCACGTCGACGTGGTAGTCGCGGACCTTGAACCATGCCGAGCGAGTGGCCTGGATCTCGGTTAGCTCGACTTCCTCCGTGTACCCAATCTCGGGCAGCGGGCGGATCAGCAGCCACTCGTCGACGAGGCGCACAAGCAGGCAGATTCGCTGTTCGCTCGCGCCGAGGGCAGCGTAGCGCGCGTCGGCGTAAAAGTCGGCGATGCCGCGGACGAAGGCCTCATTGCTGTCGAATACGATGCCCCAGTCGCGAGCCACCCACTCCCAGAAAGCACGCGTGGTGCCGGAGCGGCTTGTAGAAGAGCATCATTCGGAAGAGCACCACGAGGTTGGCGTAGGAACGTGCGGCCCGGTTGCCCTTTTGGTATCGCTTGTTGCCGAGCATTTTGGACATGAGGTGTTCCCTCTCGGCCGGGAGCTTGTGCGAGAACCACCATTTCTCGGAGAAGCCGCTGATGTGCGGTAAGGGCATTGAGCCTTCTCCTTTCGGAGGTCCAACCATTGTGACAGTGTGTCCTTATACTTGCACTTGTGCGAGAGAGAGAGAGGGGTGCGAGGTGGGATGGATGATGTTCTCGTCCGCCGCGGGGAGAGATGTATAAGTAAGTACAAAAAGGAAAACATATCAAATAAAGCAAGACGTAAAGTACACCTGTGCAGATGTGCGGAGAGCGCGGCGTTTGCGCCAGCTGCGCCAGCTGGCACGGTTGACACGTCAAGACTACCACAAACGGAAACCATGACTAGGTATGTACCTATGTATGTATGTACATAGGTACCTAACAATTAACAAAAGACCTGTATAGCTGGGGAAGAATTCCCGGTCAGCTTATTGTGTTTTTATGTTTGTTGACGGCCATTTGGTTGCACTCAGTTAACGCGGAGACCAGTGTACTTATCTCTCGAGATATGAGTCCTTTGCTGAGCCTTTATGAACTGGATCAGACCCATTTATTCATCTATCGAAAAGATCATACCAAGAAACCGCTAATCCCATGTACAACAGAGGTAGAACATCATCGCAACACCGCTTCAACCCGTCTTCTGCTGCGCCGCCTGAATACGCTTCGTAATCTCGTCATTCTCCGACAGCGCCGCCACCATACCCTCCGTCCAACTCGTCGGGAGGTACTGCCCGAACCACGTCCTTCGCGCGATCCCCCCCGTCCAGTACCAGTCCGGCGAGCGTCCCAGCCAGCCGCCCAGCCAGCCCTCGCCCTTGCTCGCCTGCGCCACGATGCGCGCCGCGTACACGTCCGTGTCCATCGGGATCGTCTCCTGGCTGAACTGGTGGCGCTTGACGTAGATGTCGTTGACCGGCTCGTATAGCGAGCCCTCCGGTAGCCGCTGCTGGGCGATCTTGGTCGCAATCTGGGACTTGACGGTGCCGGTGACGGCGACCATGACGCGCACGTTGAACGGGCGCAGCTCGAGCCGCAGGCTGCGCGAGTACGAGTTGAGCGCGCCCTTGGTGGCGCTGTAGACGCTGGCGTAGAGGTCGGCGGCGACGGCGGAGATGGAGGAGACTTGGAGGATGAGACCCCGTGCGGGGATCAGCAGCGGGATGAAGGCCTGGCACATGGCCATGACGCCGAACACGTTGGTCTCGAACGTGGCGCGCACGCCGTCCATGTTGATGTCGGTCGCGGGGAGCATGTAAAGGAGGCCGCTGGGGGGTCCAAGATTGTGTCAGTACTGCTGGTCTTGGTAGAGTAAGAGTTGGGAGGGGGGAGATTCGGCGCACGCATTGTTGACGAGAATGTCGAGGGTACCGCCAGTAATCTCGGTGACTTGGGCCTTGCACTTTTCGATGCTCGCGCTCGAGGTGACGTCGAGCGAGACGGCGCTCATGCCCATCGCAGTCAGCTCCTCAAGGACCTCGGCGCGACGGGCGGTGGCGATGACATGGTAGTCTTCCACGGTCAATGGTCTGCAATCAATGAAATTCATGGATACATACTAGCCTCGTGGAATTTCAGAGCAAGAGCATGGCCAATACCACCGGGCGTGCAGCTGCAGCGTGTTAGTCCGCATTGTGTAAGTCGCCGTCAAGGATCCTACCCGGTGATGAGGACGGTTTTGCCAGAAGCCATGGTGTGCAGGTTTGGAAGAATAAGCAATTGCTGGAAGACAAACTTAAAAACTAAGAAATTGCTGGTATATGAATTATTGAATGACGAGAGTGTCGGTATTTATTTCCTCTTGCCTCTGTCAGCTTACAGATGGAATACAAGGCCTAAATAGGAAGTCGTTCTGCTGTGCTTATGCGGGTGTCCATCTCCACTGCACAACCATGGATCTTGTTGATAGATCGCTCGCTTCGAGATGTAAGAGTGGTTTTCACGTTGTTATTAATGAACCGTAGACCGTGAGGTTGACTATTACATTGTGAGGCTCAATGCAGCCAAGCCCCAGGATGTTTCTTTCTCCCTGTCTGCTTGCTCGGTTCTTGAGAAAAGGACTAGTTGAGATCTTTTCACAAAGAATTCACGACAAACAAGAACGGCCGTAAATGAATATCTTTTTCTTGTTTGAAAATATGTTGAGCATTAACAACTATTCGTCATCTACAACCAATGTACTCCTTGCCACCCTGCGAGGCTCTTCCGCCAGCTACCCACCAGATCAAACACGGTGCTATCCGTCACAACACCTTTGAGCAGCTTTCCCTCCTCGCCACCGTACACAAATGCCTTGATGTTCCCCTCAATCACGCCTCCCGACTTGGTGTCCTTCGTTAGCTGCATGATCCAGGTCCTGCATTGCTTGAGCGCCTCATCAGCCGCCACGCCGAGAGCCTTAATCTGCGCGACGACGTCCTTTGGCAAATTGCTCTGTCCCGAACGGTCGCGCTCCTTTTGCTTCTCTTTGTAGCTTACGATCCATTGCGAAGCATTCTTGACAGCGACGGCTGTGTCGCGCAGCAGCACGATGCGATGCAGCGACTGGAACAGCGACATTGTGTTGCCAATGTCGGATTTTGAGGTAAAGGCGGCTAGGTAGCCGCGTTGGCTCTCAAGTGAGGCCGTGATGGCCCCGGTGAGCTGGGCAACGAGTTCGTTCAGCCCCGTAACGCGATCGGCGCACAATGGTACGAGCGAGGCGAGTAGACTGGCAACCTCGAAGTACGGAAGTTCTGACTCGGTACACCTAGACGCGGCTCCCGGGAGAAATTTGGAGAACGAGTTGGCGATTTGGCCGAGGTATTCGATGACGTACTTTTGGTCTGCTACAGAGCCTGCTAATGGCACCTTGTAGAAACTAGGCGGCGTGTAGGACAGCGTCTGCTGCAATGCTTCCGCAAGCAGCGACAGATGGGCTCTAACATTCTGCGAAGGGTTAATATTGTTCAGATAATTCAATAAATAAATAAAAACACATACACTGGGTGCTGGCCCAAGTCTCAGTCGCTGGTAGACGGCGGGAGTGGCACTGTGGTTCCACGAAGGGAAAGAACCGTAGTCAATGATTTCGTTCATGCTTGTACCATCACGAGTTTCGGCTATGAGTTTGTTAGCTTGGTCGCTCCCTGTTTTTCAAAGTCTACTTGCCGAATCTTGAATCACTGAAAAAGTCCGTGTCCGAAAGCCCGAGTAGGCGCTCGGAGCGCACACTCTCTACTAGGCTCAGAGCCCTTGTACAGCTAACCCGCAACTTCTCGACGTACTCTGGCACTGTCAAAACACTGCTATAGCTGCCGTCTGTGAACGCATCTATTAAACGCCGAGGCATGCGCATCTTAAGCGACGTCTCGTAGTGCGTTTTTATGGACGAGACTAGCTGCCAGCCCTCGTTGGTCAGCGGCGACATCATGCCCGGCGCCACGGTGGATAGGCGGTCGTAGAAGAGCGGTGCGAGAGAGTCCATGATGGTGCGCTTGATGGCCAGCGTATCCCAGATGGCGAGGGCCTCGGGGGCCGATGCAAGGCGTAGGTGGAGCTGAACGAGGACAAGGGATATTTGGCTGTGCTTCGGGGACGAGTTGAGCTGCTGCTGCAGAAGGAGAAGCGCTTGCACATGATGTTGCGCCGACTCGGTCGTTGGGAAAGAGGACGGGAGCTGGTCTGCTAGCCCAATGAGACAGAATGCGGCGACAAGGGCAACCTCTGACTGGATGTCCTTGATCAACTGAGATGAGTAAGAAGATGTTGTAGCAATGTACCGATGCAATTTCATGCTGGCAGAATAGACACTCTTGAATCGCGTTTGCCGGGATAAGGGCTCTCCACTCGTTGCAGTGGCAGTGTTGTATGTCTGTGGGCATGTCGCGGCAAAGTATTGCAGCTTGAGAGCCAGGATATGCTTCCTCAGCTCCGGTACATCGTCGCTCTGCTCTGACGATAAAAAGTGGTGGTAGGCAAGGTAGTCAATACCGGCTGCATCAAGCTGCTCTGCAAACAGTCGGACGTCATCGAAGCAGGAGGGGTTGGACGCCTGGTTGTTAATATATTTGACAAGTTCGCGCAGACGCAGGGATGAAGGACTGAAGTCCACCGCATCGGGCCCGTCAGACTCTAACAGCTGGAAGCTGGCAGAGACACGCGCAAGCATGACGTTTCGCTTGTAGATAGGTTTCGAGTCTGCTGCTGTGGAGGATCTGAGAAGCAATTCCTGAACCGTAGCAATTATTCTGCAAGGCGTTAGAAAAAGAAATAAAACGGGCAAGTGACATAACACATACTGCTTGTCCGTATTTCGTATTTCGCCAGCAGCTGTGACGAAAAGCCGCCAGGTGTCCCAGTCACAGGCTTGCAGTGTGAGCTCTCCTCTGTCATCTGGAATGGATAGACAATCTCGGCAAATAATGTAGAGATTTTGCCAGTTTTTCTCACTGTGAAACTTCTTTGCGGTGTACACGAAAGGCTCTTTGTGACCCTGCTTGAGCTGCGCAACGGGGTTAAAGATGGCGCTATCGAGAAGTTTGGCAAAGTCGGCTGCGGTGCCATGGGCGCCCACAACCTCATACAGCAGGCAAATTTCTTCTGCCTTCTGTATACTGCGAGGTGGTGGATGGCTGTCATTCTCTGCCTAGAGCATGGTCAGTAAGTGGCTGTATTTCTTGGATAGCAAGGGCTACTTGCCTGCTCTGTTGCCTGCGCGGCGCGCTCGATTTGTTTCTGCGCCAACATGCCATAGAGTTTCTTCTTTTCAGGGGCCGATTGGGCGGATATCTACTGAAAGTCAATTGGTGGCCTTATGTGTCTTGATAATAGGACATACAGCTAGAAGGTGAGTGATGGCAATGTTCCAGAAAAGAAATGCCCGCACTTGGGGAAACGATTTATCAGCGATGGCAGCAATCTAGCAATGAATAAGATTGAATTCCAGTCGAATGAGCTTGCATTGCTTACTTGCTGCGCGCTGACAAGGTCCCAGTGCAAAAGACAGGACTCGAGACATCTCGTCATTTGGTTCCTGTTCTTGGAGGAGGCCTTGGCAGTACGAACACACAGAGGACCCAGCGTCAGGGGAAAGTCATCCTCCTCTAGCAAATTGCGCGTGGCCCATTCTAGCAGATCAATTCCGTCCGCATCCTTGACCACGGTACCGTCCTTGACGTACGTGTGCAGGGCCGTCACGGCGGCGTACTTGGCCACAGGGTCGTCGAGCTGGCTCTCGGCACAGACTTTGAGCACCTGCGGGTGAGTTAGACGCCATTCCCAGCTTCTTGCCTCGTGAAGCTGAAAGCTCAATGCACTGCATTGGAATCCACGCAGCTGCACGGACTGCTCTCACCTCGTAATACGAATCACTGGTCATCTTGGCGCGCTTCTCGGCGAGCCGTATGACGGTGCTCCAGTTCTGGTCATAAAACGCCGACTGGAGCTGGAGATCGACCCCATTTTTGAGAGATGGCCCCGGGCCCTGCATGAGGTTCTAGATAGGTGCAGCGTGGGCGTCTTGTTTGCGCTGGCTGGATGGTGAAGTCGCGAGGTTTGCGTTTGACTGACTGGCTTCAGTGGCAGGCTGCCTCCACGGTGTGGATTTTCTAGTGGAGTTGAGTTGTGTGCGCCAGTCATGGTTGTATGTATAGTACCTGCATCATCGCTGCCCAACTGCCGACGGCCTTCCTCTGCGAAGAAAAAAACACTTTTTATCAAAAATGATAAAAATGCATCGCGATGTATCAGCACATTGTTTTTCTAAACTCAGAATTCTGCTGAATAAGATTTTGAGCAGACTATAAGTGGAAACGTAGACCTGTTCCGACCTACTGCCAAAAGAGATGACTGAAGCTACCAAGCAAGACTGGCAAGAGAACTTCATCTTTAGTAAGTGATAAGCGAGCAGGCAACAGCCTGGGACCCGACTAAGTTACATATTCTTCATTCGGCTGACTCAAATCTGGTGTACTCAGCCGGAAAGATCAAACGCCCCTGTTGTCCCTGGTCTATACTCACAACTCAGGGTCCTTGTACAAAGAGTGCCACCGAAGTCCCGGCCGTTGCCTGCAGATGAACCTGAAAAACGCAGCAAAGTTGACGTGGCACATGTCAGGCTCGCCACCACTGCTGCCGACGCCGCCACTGGCACCTCGCTCCAGCATACCCGGGATCTTCTCGGCCTCTTTTGGGTTGGAGCTCAGGAACTGGACGTTGTCCCACAGCGAAAACGCGTCCATCGTTAAGATGTGGCGAGAGCCGAGGGCCTGCACGCGTCCCATGCAGACATTCCAGAGGAGTTTCCCGGCCTCTCCCAGCTCCTGCTGCCAAAAGAGTGCCAACGCGAGATTGACGGTGCTGTCTAACGTGGACATGTGACCGCGACCTAGGAGCTCGGTCTTACCTTCAACGGCCTTTCGATGCAGCTTGACGGCCTTGTCTAGCCTCGCCAGCTTTCGATGCACGATGCCCATGTAGTCCAGCAAATCGAGCTCAAATAGCTTGTCCTCATACCCTTCCGCCTTTTCGTATGCGCTCTGTGCTTGCTGAAAGAAGCGCTCCGCTTCGTCGGGCTGGTCCTTGTATAGATGAAGACAGCCAAGATTGTACATCGCGTCGAGTCGACAGGCAACCGCCTCATCCGTGGTACTGCCGGCGGAGCCCAACACTCGCGTGTACGAATCATGAGCCTCGTCAAATCTCGTTTGGCGTCTGCGCAGAGCACCCATAACGTTCATGGTGCTGAGCGTGGCAAGGTCGTCCAACCCGCGTGATGTTTGTTGAAGCTTGAGTGTGCGCTCGAGCAAAGGCTCGGCGGCTTCCAGGTTATCTTGATCCAGAGCAAGGTTTGCCAGTCGAAACATGGCATATTCCAAGTTGTCTGTCGCACTCAACTTATCAATCGTGTCGCATGGGTACTGTGCGGCGTGCAATCGCAGCCGGCCCTGCGTTATCCACCAAAACGGCTCACCCCTACGCGGCACATGCGAGGCGATGCACTGGACGGCTAGCTTTGCCAGAGCATTGTCTCGCTCGGCGTTCAAGACGTTGACAGTCCATGAGTGCACACAACTGTGCATGCTGTAGCCACCAGTCTCAATCGGTTCCGCTATCCATGAGTTGGGCTCAACCAGCCGGAATTGACTGAGCACCCGCATGGCCTGCGTGAAGCAGAGTTCATCACCGAGCTGACGAAACCAGTCTGGACTGTTGGGGATATCCTGTTTTAGCAGCTCAAACCAAACATCGTCCTTGTTGAGGTATGCCCAAAATCGAACTAGGTTTGCCGACAACTTATTACGTTGCTCTATGCTGCTGAAAGTGATGTTCCACGTCGAGTACAACATTCGGTCTTCGTATGAGTTGAGCTCTGGCGACATTTCAAGTAGCTTCAGCCATCGTTCTTCGTACAGGCGTAGATAATTTGCGCATGAAATGGCGGTTTCGCAGAGATATGCACCCGCGGTGGCTAATGCGAGAGGAAGCCCGTCTAAGCGTCTAACGATTGCGGTTGCATCGGGATCTAGACCAAGTTAGGGAGCGATGAATTTGAATTCTCGCCAGAAGCGCGCCATACCTTGACTTATATCGGCTCTTGCTGAAGTACTAGACAATATCTCAAGCGCCTCCTCCTCTTGAGACATCTTGTTCAGGTGTATGTATCGACCGAACTTGATATATGGCGAGCGACTGGTGATAATGACACAGCCTTGCTGGGCCTCGGGCAGATATTTGGCTAGATCCACGTCTGAGCTACTTGCACAAGTATTTCCAGGCTGCCGGGGTGTATCAAAGTTGTCAAATATCATAAGCCAGCGCGTGTTCTGCGGCTCGCTGAGCCACTTTAAAATGTCTTCAATTGCATTTTCAATGGTTTGGCCTTTGCCTTCTCTGTTTCGCGAAGGTGGGCGCTTAGCTTGTAAGCGCCTCGCCATTCGCATAAAGCTCTGCTTGAGCATGGCTTCGTCGTGAGCATTGAACCAATGAATTGCGGAATAGCTGTCTCTGTATTGCTTCGCGTATGCTATAGCAAGCTGTGTTTTTCCCATGCCACCCAGACCGTGGATTATGGCAGTTTGACGGCCTAGATTCTGCCGGAAGCAACTGTGAATCTGGGTGAGCTCGAAGCGGCGTCCTACAAAATGGTCCACCTCAGCAGAGTCTATATCAAACGCCAAGGAATAGTCTTCGTGGTCAGGACCTAGCGCGAGGTTAGCTTGCATTTGCGTCAAGACCAATGGCGGATGATGATGAAGTGTGCTTGCCCTTGAGAGATTCAGATACGGCCCTCCGAAGCCGCTGCCGAGCACTATGCTCGCCTTCGCCATATATCATGGGTATATACACGTCAAAAATTCCCAAAAGGCAGTATGACTTGTCTTCCGGGCGTTTGGTGTGCCGATGCTCCGCCCATGCCAGCCGCTCTTGGACGGTGAAATCGGTCGGGTCTTGGCTTCTGAGCGCAGGCGCGGGGATACCGGTTATTTTGACAATGTCCGACTCCAAATCTAACTTGCTGCCCAAATGGAGGCCTTCCTCAGTGTAAAAGTCGACATTTTCAGGTGCGATAAGCTCCTGCAAGGTCCATCCTCTGGTAAACCATCTACTCAAAGGGAGCGAGTCTGTCCAGCTTTCATGCGGCACGTCCGACAGATAGACAAAACACTGTTTTGCATCTTTGTACCACGAAAACATGGAGTTTATGGCTTCCTGTAACTCTGCACTGCTTGACTTGTCGATACAGCAGGTATCAACCCAGAAATAGTCAATGCCGCATCGCTTCGCCTGTTCTGCGCAGAAGAGAATCTTACTGTAGCCTTTTTTTGCTAGTGTCGCTTCTTTCTTGTCTTCAATAGACAGGTTTTGAATGTCGTCAAATGTGACTTCTTCCTCGTCACCGCCCCACGTGTGTGAAAGTATTGCATATTTATCGTGTCCATATTGGAGGTTCTTAGTGAGGGTGACGCTGCCGTCGTCGTCAAGATGCAGGAGACGCATTTGTTGCAATTCAGACTCTTGTGTTTGCCGATTTGTAGTGGTAGCGGTTGCTTTTCAGAAACTTCCTGCAGATAAATGATTCCGGCCTGGTTGTACTCGGTACCATCTTAATGGCGCTTTTCTGCTCTCAAGGCTGTGCTGACGCCCCCCTCCTCCGATGCGCAGGAACACGTGCATCGGGGCGGGTATCCTTCACTAGTCTCATTATTTGCGAGCCTAGATGAGCGAGACATGCGTCTCTCCCATCACCAAACTCGGACAATAACGGCGAGCTGATAGATGCCTTGATCCTGGCTAAGCCGAATACCACGCGGATCGTCGGCCAGACACACAACAAGGCTGCACCCTGGTAGGGATAGTTGCCAACGAAACCTACCACGAGTAGTTAGAGCTGACAATCATGCCACCGCGATATGGTAACATGCGTTACCAAAGCCACTACGGTTACGTGGCATTGTTGCATTGGTCTTGGGGGTTTGCCTTGGTAGGCGAGCTGCCTTTGCGGACCGCCACTCGAGGCCAGCGGCCCTCGGCAGGCAAATTCTGCCATAATGTGACGCCCACTGATAACGGACCATAAATCGCGATGCATCCGTATCAAGGTTTGAAATGCCATTCATCGCACGTTAGCAAATGTAGGGTTGGTCTGCCATGCCTGTGGTTCTCTCTGAGTCGAAGCAAGGCCTAGGCCCGCTAGGTAGGATAGCCATAGTATGGTGGATGAATAGTCGATTGCGAATTGGAACAGAATGCTGAATGTGAATTTTCCATGCCTGGGCCACCCGGTAACTTGCTGCGACTAGCCCTGCTGCTTGCTGCTGCTGGTCATCTGGGCGCGCTTGTTCGGTAAAAGTACATGCCTTGATGTGGTCGCAACAGTAGCTGCGTGTCAACCAACATCAAGGACAACTATTATACATGTCGAAGGTATGCGACTTCGAGGCTCGTCCACAAGAGGCTCTGTTCTCTTCACAGGCCTGCGCTCGGTCGTCTGCATTGCTCGTCCGATCGTGGTGCCTCGTCACCAGAAGCTTCCCGACTCCTTCTTTCGCTTTTCCGTCTATAAGAAAGAGCTTGTCAGCTCCCGTGAATCTCCATACTCAATGTGCTCATCCAGGGCTTACCCAAGCTTGCTTGCAATCGCGATAGGCCCTAAAATCCCCATCAGCACACTCGATCCTCGACTGCCCACAGCTCTCCCTATATCCGGGGCTCAATCATACTGGAAATAATCTGCACACATGGACTTGTCGCCATTGTTTCTGTACAGGCACTTGTAGCTTCGTTGGGCCGCCTCCTGGCACGGGTCGTAAAACTCGCTCTTGGATTTCCTAGCGACCCAATATTAGCTTGTCTTGCGGCAAGGTCTTCGATGGGATCTCAATCATGTCGCATACGTCTCAAATTTTTGCTTGGCATCGCTGGTCCAAGGGCTCTTCTGGGAGCCTTCCTCTGGTTTTGACGACATGGTCGGTGACTGTGAAATGATGGATGGGAAACGTTCGCGATGCACCCAAGCTGCTTTGGAAGCTAGAAAAACGTCACTCGCAAGATCTGCCCCACATCCGTCAGAAAGAGAATATGTACACGCTACAAATCTATTTGCTAATAATGCAGGCTTTTTAAAATCATTCATGCTGTTTATTGGTCGTTCTTGGGTGACCAGAATCCGTCATTTTCCCATCTCGATGCGACGCTCGCCTTTTCCGCTGCCAACAGCCCGTCGCGAGCTTTGGCAATACAAGCTGCCACTTCCACGCTACAACAGAGCTCGGCATCCAGTTCCTTGAGGTTAGGTTCACCCAGGACCGCCATGGCCGCGAGACCTAGATACGAGTGGTAAATATCAGGTGGTGCACCCGTCGTCTTTCCGAAACCTCCAATACGGTGCTGCGTGATGCTTGTTAAGTAACTGCAGGCCGCCTCTTGGTGCAGCATCGACTCTTGACCAAGGAGCTTCCAAAGGTGTTAGGAAAAGCGAAGCACGACTTGATGAAGGTTTGCTTACCGATAAAGCACCTCCGGCCCACCAAAAGTAGCAGGTGTCTGCCTTCTTGTTCCAGCGGCCGTTGCAGCCAACCAAGGCAGGCGGCTGGTCCAGCTGGAGCTGCGCAAGCTCCTTTTCGACGTAGTTTTCCTCGTCTTCGTCCTGGTCCATTTCATCCTCCGCGTGGTATACAAATTGCCGATGCGCCAGAAACTTGAGAAGCTGTGCAGTATCCGGTATGTGCTTGTCTGCTGCTTCAGTTCTCTGGCCCGCCTTGGAGGGTCGCGATAGCAGGCCCAGCGCGGCCAGTGCGCAGAATGTATAGCCTCCTGTTCAGAGTTAGTACTGAGGTAGGCACCAATCGAATGGAATCGTTACCGTGTGATTCATGATGCGAGGTCGTTTCACCCATACCCCCGTCATGCGTTTGGGTCTTGGAGATGAACTCGACCAGTCTTTCCAGGTCTAGATCTTCCACCCAACACTCGTCTCCCTTTTCCAGATCACCTCTCAGCATCCAGCGAATCCCCGTTGCCATATAGCTGTTCCGGACATCATGCCCGCCCACCGGCTGACCATCCCAGAGCATCTGCGCCACGGCTCCATCCTCTTCCCTCTGCAGCCGCTTCAGCCAAAGCAGGAGCCGTTTTCTCCTGACGCCTGCAAACGCGTTACTCTCATCTTGTTCAGATCCCGTGCCAACGGCTGTCAGCGCGAGGAGCACGAGGGCAAAGAAGGTGGCGGCGAGGTTGGCGTCGCCGGTCGAGTCACCCGACGGGGCGTGTGTCGCGCTGCCGCAGAAGCCTCCGTCGTGGTGCTGCAGGCTGAGTACCCACGCCCTGATTGCTGCGCGTTCCTGCGACGTGAGCGGCGACCGCAGCAGGTCCAGTGACGAGACGATAAAGCACGCGAGCGTGAGGCGGATCGAGTCGTTGCTGGTGTATGGGGCGGGCAGAAAGCTACCGTGACAGCGTTTCCAGTACTTTATGTGCCTCTCTACATCGAGCACGGGATTTTCAGTAGCCGCCATGATGCGACGCGCCGAATATTAGGGATGCCGAGTGTTGGATGTTGTGGTTGGAACATCACATTGCTGTGAGAAGCCTCAGCTGCCCCACCTCCAGGGTAGCGAGCGTGGCGCTGTCCCAAATAACTCGGATGTTGGGCGCGGGCTTGACAATGAATGAAAATGCAAAAGAGAAAAGCTCCACGTGCAAGATATATCACCGATAGATGTTTGTTAAAAAACTTTGAAACAGGTGCGCCGTCTGCCAACCTTAGGAAGTGCATTGTAAGGTTGCGCAAGGGGCGGGTCTCTCTGGGGGAATTCATACACAGGAGAGAAGTAGTAGAATGGAGTTGGACAGAAGACAAGCCCCCAGCAACTCTTCTATCATACCAATTACAACAGTCAGGGGGTTATATTCTTCACCCTTCTTTCTTTCGATGTTGGTTTTAATTTGGCCAGATTGCTACTGGTGACTTGCACTACGATGCTAGACCTTGTTGAAAGCAGTGCCAGTTAACATAACATATCATGTAGATAAATTGCCTATAGTGTATTAATAGGAGGAGACGGTAAATAATGGCTTTTTTTCTTTATAAAAAAATTGTGAAACGAAAACAGCTCATAAATTATTTCATTCTGTCCAAGCTTCAAAGTCGGCTCGTCCCCAGCCATTTTCAAGGCAACAACTTCTGACCAATCAGATTGCTGGCCGCGCCCCACATTGAATACCCACCAGCAATAAGAAGCCAAAAAATTTGATGTTCCTTTTCCTTTTCTCTTTTCTTCTTCATGAACAACGCAAATAACAACGTCTATGCTCCCCTGCTATATGCCTGATGCGAGGTGGCAACTCCGTTGCTGCCCAAGAGTACTGGGATCGTGAGGAACACAAGACGGAGAACAAAGCGAGCAATCTTGGGTGCGGTGCTTCCCGGCTTCTGGCCACATGGGGAGGACCGCAATGATTGAGCGTACATGCTTAGACCTTTTCGCCCTGCCTGCGACATGTATAGAGATCTGGACTTGGACAGTCGACAGCAGCGCCGACCCCCGCTGGACGTGCTTCCCGGAAAACTCTCGAGACGATCGCCACAGCTTGGGATAGCCGCCGAACCCAAAGAGACCTGGAATCCCGAAAGGCAATGTCTATTTCTGTACGCTAATGTATCGTCCGAACATTTAGCTAAACAGTACGAACGTAGACTCCCCTGTATAACGTCGCACCATCTTGAGAGAAGACAGTGACGCCCATCTAGCCATATTCCGCACGTACACATCGCCATCATTACAATCACACCTATCAGACAAGATCATCGAAGCATAATCATACTGCACTTGTTCTTCTGCATTACGTCGTCACCAAAAGTAGCCGACCGCCGTCGCTACCGAACCCTGGCATGAACCTCATTACAAAAGTAAAAGAACGGGCATGTCTCTGTGGTCCATGACCCGCCATCGTAGGTAAAAATACACAAAAGGTGTCAACAAGACATCGAAGAGAAGGGCGACCATCCAGGGTCATTTTCAAAGCTGCCAAATTGTCGAAAAGCATGACGGGCTTCCTTGAGAGATGCGCCGGTCACAGATCAGAGAATCTAGCCGAGAGTCAGTTACCGACACGACAACGATGAGCAGCGCCAGACTGTTGGTGAGAGGCAGGCTATAACGTACCAAGTTAAAAAGCCTCAACGATGGCACGGGCGACCAAGTGAAGCTCGTCCAGGCTTCTCTTGGCGTTGGCGCACCCCTCATCGCCGTCGGCGCAAGCCTCCTCGTCCTCGTCGCCGCGGGCGGCGAGAATGGACTCGGCAGCGCGCTTGGCCTTCCAGCAGGGCTGCGCGGGGCGGAAGCACCAGCGCTTGGCGAGCTCGTCCTGCTCGGCGACGGCGCGCTTCCAGCACGGCTGCGCGGGGCGGAAGCACCAGCGCTTCTCGTTGTCGACGTCGCGCTCCTCGGCGTCGCGCTTGGCGTTGCCGTTCTCGGCGATGAAGGCCCGGGGGTCGACGGCGCCACGGGCGGCGAGCTCGACCAGGTGATCGTAGGCCCTCTCGCCGAGGACGCCAATGTCCGCGGCGTCGCGGGCGACGTGGGCGCTGTTGTCAAAGGCCTCGACGGAGCGCTTGAGCTTCCAGCAGGGCTGGGCGGGGCGGAAGCACGACGGCTGGGGGGTGGCGAGGGCGGTCGCAGCAAAGGCGGCGAGGGCAGCGAGCTCGAACTTCATGATGGCTGAGGAAGGGGTTGGTTGTTGGTTGCTGCTGTGGTGAGAGTTGGGGAGGGCGTGTGGCAGTGCTTTGTCCGGCAAAGACGTATAAGGTCAAAGTTGGAGAAAGAAGCTGGAGATTGAGAACATAAGAGTGGAGAGGCAAAGCAGAGAGCTGTGCCTGGGGAACAGAAGTGAAATGAGAGGAGTTTTCTGGGGATGTTTATACTCCAGTGAGCTGCGGCTCAAACCTCTTCAACGGCGCTCCGCACTCCACAACGGTTCTTCTTTGTCGTCATCTGTACCTACGAGATCGAGAAGAGGAAACAAGGCCTGGAACAGAGCTATGGCTTGAACGAGAGGAGGATGAATTAAGACTGAATAGATGGTCGTTGCCGTCCGACCTGTCTCCTCGTGGCTTGCGGCTAGATTAAGGTGGCAGCCGCACTGAGGGAGCCGGATGGAGTCCATTTCTTTATTCAGGGCGAGTGGAAATGAATAATGACACAGAAAAGAAATGGTGTTTTGTTAGCTTCCCGACGGCGCCTTATTTTCCTTTTAGTCAACATTGCCAAGCCGAAGAATGTTGGTTGTTGCGTGGGGTCAAACAATTCTATTGATACCCCGATTAGGAAATTGGACCCCTGCCACTCCGTTGACGCCCACGCACGACCCTCAGCCAATCAACGACTGGCCCGAGACATTCGATCAAAACCTGCGACAGACTCAATCAATAAATTTAGAGACTGGCTTTTGGTTCTATCTAGTCTCCTCTTTGCTGATCTCGTCGCGCCACACCGACTCTGCGTTGTCCGACGCTTTGGGTTAAACTCTGGCTGACACGCCCAATGATGGTTGTCAACACCGCGAGGCCATTCGTTCGAGAAGAAAAACGGTTTCGTCAGAGTAGATACGTCAAGGGAGGCTCATGAGGTTGATGGGACCAGTTTGCTGTATGTCTCAGCCTATGTTGTCGTACATACGGCAAGAAGCCGCGCGCTATGAATAGATGGGCCGCCAGGAACTCTGCGTGGCGGCCCGACAGCATGTTTTTTGTCCGTGTTTTAGGGATACCGAGCATGTTACAGGTTCTCTGAGCTGTAATCAAGCGTGTGAGACCAGTCGTGCGTGCTTAGATGTCGTCTAACTGTGGCATCTTTCCTCGAGCGTTTAGTTGTGCAGCTCTGGCGCTTTTGTGAAGCCATCTCCGTCGTTCCAAATGCGATCTACCCGAGCCCTTCAAAGGTTTCACAGTCTCAAGAATGTCCATTTCATACATCAGCCGCCGCAGATCCCTTTGTCTGGGCTTCTTTCCATGTCGGCGACGATGCTGGGTCTCGGCTTGCATGCATGCATCATGTGTCACCGGGGTCTCCATGCAAGCCATATCCCTTCAACTCCCTGGTCCATGTGGCAAGACCAAAACGGTTAGGATGTTGATCATGGGCTGAGCCTCGCTGCTCAGCTCCGATGTTGACGCCCGCCCTGTTGATTCTGATGAGAACCCCATGTCTCATCCGTTGGCGCACAGCCTTTCCACGAGTCCGGCCCCTCAATACTCGGAACTGACAGTTGCAAATGAAGAGAAGTATCTGTCAAGTTCCCACCACCGTAAAGCCGCTGTCTCTGGTGCGATGGGTGGAAAAGAGATGGCGTCGTGGTGACCTGGGGAGGACTAGGTATAGTGTCAAATGCCGGTGTCAGATACCAATCGCGTCAGCGCCGATGAGGATGTCAATAAGCCCCACGGCAGTTCTCACGCCATTTTTCCAGCCACCTAAATTGATCATTGCTGTTGTAACAATACGTCGACATGAGCGAAAAGTGTGAAAGTGAGGTATCGGCTGCTGACTTGAACCTTACTGGTAGGTCTTACACAGATCATGTCACTCACGTAGCATTTTGAAGAACCTTAGAAGGAACATTCGGTTTCCCAATAGTCTTTTACGAAAAAAGGCATAAACCCAACAATTAAAAAGTTATTAATAGAAGATTTAACAAAGCAAGCAAGATCAAGAACGAGTAGGTCAGCAACGATACCGGAGAGTACGAGAATAAGTTCCAGCAATCTACACTCCGACAACGGCGCAGGCTTCCAGTATTTAGTACCTTTGTTCGCCTGCACATGATCCTTTTTCCGGACCTGTCACTGGAGTTGGTCACGTCGACCGTGAACCACCACTCGAGTCACGGTGTCAAGGGAATGGGCGGACACCCAGAGAGCATGAAGAATTCCGGGACTAAAATGCTAATTAAATATGCCAGGAATTACATGGTAGACTTAAATTTACAGAATTAACGAAATATTCTCGGTAGGCGTGGTTTCACTACGAATCAAAGTCGTCGAGTTCTGGTGGGAAGATGGGTGATCCCTCGACATAGCCAAAAAAGTCCAACTCTTGCTTAGCCATATTCTCCTCAGCCCACTCATGAATCTTGTCAAAGTTCCTGCACGTATGCATCGTGTGCACGTTTCCGACATATCTGCCCTTATCCCTGCTCCACGCCCAAGTGATGGTGGACAGGTCGGAGGAGCACTGGATGGCCTGCCTCAGCTGCTCGTAGCAGTGCTCCATGTGATGGATCGTGCTCTTGGCCGTCTGCGTTCCCGAAGTCACGTCCAGGTGGTAGGTGAGGGGGTACAGCACCTGACGCAGCATGTTCAGACAGTGCAGCTGGTGGAAGACGTCGAGCTGCACCATGTACTGGTTGCTGTCGTTGGAGAAGCGCGTTGAGGCGTTGATGAGAGGAGCCGCTGATTCACCCGAGATTTGCGTAATTAAAACTTCTAGATTTCGAGAAAACTTAGTTTCTTTTTCTTCGACCTTTTCTCAGGGGGGTATGTACTGTTGTAGAGATTTTCCCATGCATCGTCAACCTCTTTTGAGCTACCACGATACTTGGAGACTGCTCTCTCGCTCTCGAGGCCCCCCGTAAAGTGGATGTTCTCATACTCGACTACGGAGTGCGCAGGTGCTGTAGTTGTTTAGCAAAAGCTCCTCTATGATTGTATAATAATTCGTGTTGCTTACAGTAGATCTCGTTTGGAATGTAATGCTTGCTGGGGTCGTGACGGAGAAGGCCCAATACAGCCAGCAGTGCCAATATCAGACCGATGTTCAACACGACAGAGAACGGCAGAAATTTGGCCCATCTCCTCTGCCAAGCCGGCGGTAAGGGAAGCTGAAATTGGTCCCGTTCTTGGTCGTTGAGAAAGGGCTCCTCATCCGAGGGTCGATCTGTCGTTTTCTGCTCCATGGGTCGGGATAATGAACTCGAAACTTTCTGCCGAAAAGCTATCGTATGTGTCATTTCAGTTTCTGTTGTGATGTATGATTTCCCAACTGCAAAGACGCAAGAGGCCCAGGCGGGTTTGGGGGACTGCGCTGTTGGCTTTTAAATCAGCGCTATTCTGCACCGCAGGCCGTGTATAAGATACGCCTACCTTGCACCCGTTCTTTGTTACCTTGGACCGAATTTTTTTAGTGGCACCGTTATTCAGTGCCGGACGATCAGCGCTGTTATTGTGCCACCCGATATCCATTGCGAAACGAACGCCTACGTATTGCCGTCCAGCCCTGTGGAGAGACGCTACCTTAGCCTCGACGTCAAAGAGTTTCAGTAACTTTACCAAATCATGGTGGCGGAGCGCCAATCTATTGCAGGCCTAGTTCACGTCAAACCTTGGTAGAGACAGTCACGCAGGCCCCCGCCCCCAAGTGCCACGACTTACACGAGATAGTCTCGACCACTGTTGTGCAATTCTTCTTGGCGATGGTGATGGAGTATTACTGTGGATTCTCAAGTTGCCAACTCTGTAGTGTGGAGGCAATAGGATCTTCTCTAGCCCTACCCCCGCGTCGGTGTAGGAAATATCTCGCCAAGGCGAGCTGACATGAGGCTTAAACACAAGATCCACCATGTACTTGTTGTCTGGATGAAGAAAGGTATAACCTGCAACATGAACTGATATTCAGTAGAGTTGAGGATGATAGTTGATGTAAAGAATAACTAGACAAAGGAGACAAAGCGGCTGACCGAGGCTCTTATGAATATCAACACTGATGTCGGGTCTTACATACTCTCAAGGACAAATTCAGCATCCATATCCATGAATCGAGCATACAAACTGGAAGCTGTCGTCCCAATGTAACCATTGGATAATTACTAGAGACGAGTGAATTGTCGCTCTTCGTGGGGTATAACATGTGGTGGGCTTGGGCGTGATATGTGTGGTGGTGTTAGGGCCCTATTAGGGCACCTGTTAGAGCCCCTACATTGTATGTGTTAGGTCGCTAAGCTCTCTACGAGGAGGAGGTAGCGATAATTCCATCTTTATAAAAATACATAAGGGATTATTATATAACTAGAGTCCTCTAAGCGAAGTACCTTATAGGATTATCACTACTACCTAGTATATAAGAAGTTAGACTACTTATAGTATAATAACTAAATGGATAACTTCTTCCCTATAACCTAGTAGTGAATATACTATAAGTGGCGCGTGAGTCCTATCCCCTATCTAATTAGACCTAATAGATAGTGTTAGAACTATAACTATTAGTGTAATATCTATAGAAGAGATACGAATTAGTATCTAACGTATAGTAGAAGAGTAAAAACGAGTGTAACTTATAGTGTACTATAAATAGGTAATAAAAGGCTAATATATTATAGTAACACTAGAATTAGAAACCCTCTTAAAGGAGTAACCTTATAGAAAACACATAGTAATAATAAAGCTACCTAGTGTAGTGTTTAGTATAAAGTTATTCTAAGAATATATTAGCTTCGTTATTATACTATAAACGCACTTTTAGGCACACTTAGAAGACTATATAGAAGATATTAAGAAGGTTATATACACTATATAGTGCTTATAAAGAGAAGTATAGACGTAATAGGCCCGCTTCTTTATAGTGAACTTATATAGGAGCTATTAAGGGTTCACCTAGGAGAATTTTAATACTTAGTATAAAGAAGAGCTTAGTAACACTAATATAAGGGCGTAATAAGCCACCTATAAGATAATAAGGTATAAATAAGAGGGTAATAAGCTAGTAAGGAGGTATCTTTACTATATAGAAAATATAGTAATAGAGCTATTAGACCTATTACCCTTTACTTTTTATATTACCTTAGTACTAGAAGGCTTAAGTGGTTAAATTTAGATAGTAATAAGTAGTAGTAGTGTACTAGATACATAGAAGCAGCTAGAGTCCTATATAGAGAACATAGAGAGAGTAGTAAGTACACTTAATAGAAAGGAGATAGGGTAGTAATTATATCTTATATTAGTAATAAAAGAGTCTTAATAAGGTGGTTACTAACTCCTAATAAAGACATAGTAAGAATATAAAGAGATATCTTAGGGTTATTTTAAATATAAGGCTAAACACCTATAGTAGGATTATACTATACTAGACTATACGATCTATAGGGCCTTTAACTATATAATAGAGAAGCACTATAGTTAACTAAAAGGAGTAGGGGTGAGGTAGTTACTAACTAGTAAAGATATAATAACGTACTTAAATAATAGCCTAGTAAAGAGGTACTAATTAGAAGAAAAATAGGATAATATTCACTACTACCTTTATCCTAGACACAAATAACTAGTAAAGCTATAGTAAAGTAGTGGCTAGTAAGAGGTAATAGTGTTATTAAATAGTAGTAGTAATCTAAATATAATAGATAGAAGTATAGTAAAGGGGGAGTAAGGCTATAGCCTACTCGTAGTTACCCACTTAGAACACTTACTTATAGAGGAAAGGGTACTAGTAAAAGAGGAAATTATAAAAATAATATAAATAATAGATAACTTAGGGTGTATAAAAATAATAAGAGTTCCCTTTATTATTACTAATTCCTTAAAGAAGATAATACTTAGAAGGTAATAGCTTTTAAAAGAGGATATATCTATATATAGAGGAATAGACTATTAGAACTTTATATTAGATAAATAATATATTAAAATCGTATATATAGTATAGGGCGTTTATAAGGAAGTAAGAAGGGTGAAATTTATAATAGTTCTAGTAAGTATTAAACTAGACTAGGATATAAGAGATAAAGTACCTATAAAACTACTATAAGAGTACTCTAACTTTACTAATATCTTTTTACTAGAAGAGGTAAAAAAGCTATTACTACTAGACGGCCTAATACATATAATTAAACTAGAAGATAGAAAAACACTACTATAGGGTCCTATCTACCCTCTTATACTAAGAGAGCTAAAAGAACTATATAAATTTATTAATAAAGGCTTAAGGTAAGGATAGATATAATAGTTAACTAGCTTAGTGTTACGAACACTGCTGCATCAATGCGGGGCTGGGCCGGACCGCCGGGGGTAGGCACGCCCGCAGCCTAGTTAGCACATGAGGTCACGTGATGGCTCATTGGATCATTAAGATGATCCAGCTACGCAGGATCATTAGGATAGTTAGATGAGCCTCATAAGCCAGCTTATAGTAGAGAGATAGACGGGTACTTAAGGAGGAGGTATTCCTATAGCTAGGTAGTCTAGATCTCTACTAATCAATCTAAGTAATAGTTCTACTATTAGGAGTAATCTCCTAAACGTGACTTAAGCTATAATACTGCTTATCTACACCTATAGTGCATTTAACCTAACTCACTTCCTAAGAAACAGATTTACTATAGATTAGAGAAGAGCCACTATTATATTTTAATTAGTCCTATTTAGTAAGTTACCTTAAAAAACCTTAAGCAGTTAACCTCTATAATGTCCACTATTAGTAGTAACACTACTAACCTAGGGCAGACTATCGCCTAACTTACTAAATAGGTTAATAACCTTATAGAGAAACTTAATTAACTTTAGGTCCTAAGCACTACTAGAGTTATTGCCCTCCCTAAATTTCCTAAACCTAACCCGTACAATAGAGTTAGAGGAGACGTGTGAACCTTCTTAACCTAAGCTAAAGCGTATCTACACATTAATAACACTATTAAGAAGCCTAAGGTAAAAGTGCTTTATGTAGGAAACCTTCTTATAGGAAAAGCGTTAGAGTAGTAGGAGCTAACCCTATGAGATTATCTTAATGAAGAAGAACCTAAAGAATAGATAACTAGAATCTTTAGTGATTATAGTAAATTTAAAAAGAAGCTTAAAACTACATTTAGGGACCCTAATAAGGAATAAATAGTAGTCTATAAGCTTAAGCAGCTAAGACAGACGGGCTCCGTGTAGCATTATACGAGGGAGTTCCGCCACATCACAACACGGCTCTCCTAGGATAATAATAGTTAAATAGAACTCTTCTATAACGGACTAAGGGAGGAAGTTAAGGACGAAGTCTTAAAAAACAATCAACCTAATAATTTTAGTAAGTTCATTAACTAGATTATTAAGATTAATAATAGACTTTACGCCTAAAAGCTAGAACGTAGTAAAGGAAAAGGGAATTAAGGACCCTACCCCTAGCGACACTAGCCTAACACTAGAAGACGTGTACATAGATCCACGGCCTACAGAACTCATCTAGGTCCGATGGAACTTAACGCTACGAATAAAGAGAAAGCTAAGACTTACTATAACTATAGTAAGAAAGGACACTTTATAAATAAGTGTGGCTCTAAAGAAATAGAAGCCCGTAGGAGAAGGAAAGAAGCTTAATACAGCTAATCGTGAAGACATACCTACACGTAATATTAGTATGGCTAATAGTGAGGAATACTTCTCTAACACTAATAAGTAGACTCACCTATAATGAACCCACATTAGATAAAGACTAGAACTTTAGAACACAACCGTTGCCTAAAGAAGAGGACTAGGAATATAGAACCCAGCCGCCAGCATATGCGTCTATACTGGAATTAGGAATATAGGAAGACACTAAGTGTGTTCCTGCCACTCTAGAATAAGGACCTACTTATACGCTAGAAAGCACTATAAGAAAAGAAGGACTAGAACCTATCGCAGTCACTATCTAGGGAACGGACGTATCCGACCCCACTGTACTCTTTAACCTACTCTACTAGCTAGTAGTAAGAGAAACCTACTATATAAAGAAGCACCCTATAATAAGTATATTATATTAAGAACATATAATAATCTCGTGGGCCTTATATTACTATAATAGTTATAGACGGCACCTTTAGAAGAAACTCGAATATAGGTGGTTCTTAAGTTAGTAACGCTTTCTAGGCTACGAACCTTATTTAGAAACCCACCTTCGTTACTAGACGATTTAGAAGAAACACGCTTTA